AATGATCGCGGCCACTGCCATTCAGCGATTTGTCTTCAAGCTGATCATTTCCCTTGCGCTAACGAGAGAATTCCGGCAAGACTCCTCCAATATTGCATGGTGGACTGGAAAGTGGTACAACATGGGCTGGCATTCGATCTCTCAACCCGGTCGCGAGTTCCTTTGCAAAATTACTGAACTCGGGTTGTTCGCTGCCGACTTCATTCTCGGTCATGTACTTTTGTTCTTTATGCTTCCCGCACTTTGCATCCCATTCGTCGACAAGTTCCATTCAGTCATCTTGTTTTGGTTGCGCCCAAGGTATGTAGCTTGATATCCCTTCGGTCATTAACTCTCATATCGTTCTAACAGTATCGTAGTCGTCAAATTCGCCCTCCGATCTACTCTCTGAAGCAATCTAAACTTCGAAAGCGCAGAGTTATCCGCTTTGCCATTCTTTACTTCCTGATGCTCATCCTTTTTGTTATCTTGATTGCAGGGCCATTAATTGCGCGTCGCTTCATCACCAAATTCCCGGACATCCCCTTTGATCTACTGCAACCTATTAATCAGGATAATGATGACACCACAAATGAAGAAACGGGTTCTGGTTTACCAGACATGGCGTCGGCCACAGCCCGGATGATGTTGCTTTGAACGTGAGAATACATGTGCATCTATGATTCCCAACATTGTTTAAGATGCTTCAGTGTATAACTAGGGTGTCAATACCGCCTTTTTGAAATTTTGCTGTGTCTCCTTTGATTAATGAACGGCACTGTCATTTTTTTTTTCCCACTAAATCTCCTACTTTTGTGAATTGTTGGTGTTGGAAGGGCTAGTTATCTGCGGGGCCAATGACAACCTTTTAGAACCTTTTTTTTTTTTATTCTCTTTTCCTTCCCTAGTATCAGTGTCCCGTGAAAAATACCTTTCATGATGTGTTTTGCAGGCCATCAGTGTCTCAGGCCGCCAGCATGCAACCGTGACAATGTGTGAAATGCGTGTTGCCCCTTTTCTCCATCCTGCAGATGTATATTGTCAGAAAGGCCTGCCTGGGGTATGTTATTTTCCCCTTTTTTGCAAAGTTATAGAGTGTAATGAAATACTTTTAGGTTGTTAATATGAATGTGGTGATGCTCTCGATTGACACAGCCTCAGGATTTGAAAGTATAGACACTGCGCCCCGTTGGATTTGGAGGGTCGGTGGCTTGGAATGGAACTTAGCGATATCTCCACTTCTTTCTGTAGGATGAAGGGAGCATCGTCGTAGTCTAGGTATTGTGGTTCATGCCCGTTGCTGCTGGATTCCCTTCTGTCGAATATCCAAGATTGTGATCGTCGGCCAACACATGATTATTAGTAGATTTGATTTTGATTGACTATATATTTCTGTACTTCAGGCATCGAGAATGGAAGACGGAGCGATGGGCAAGAGAACGCACTATGTGTAGCATACACCGCCAGTGGGCTTATGGTTGGGTTCTAGGTCGTGTCTCGACTTCGAGCGTGGTGATGAGAGAGGTGGCTTGCTGTCGGGGATTAGTCAGAGAGCTTGTGTTTATCACGTGATATGACACGATAAGGGGGAAGTTGGTTCCCAGCTTCGGAACAGGCAAATCCTCCGGGGCGAGAGATGAATCTGGACCAGACGCCCTGCGGCAGCAAGAATTCATTTATAGCCCTCTTTCCAGCCTCAAACGTCCTTCCGTCCTCCATTCCTTGTTTCCCGCGCTTCTCATAGCAATGTCATGATGGATCTCCAGGAGGCTCAGCGGGTCGTCCTAGCCTGCTTGCAGGCGCTGGCAAACCAGTTCCAGCGAGTTCCTGGGTCGGCAATATTCATACGCTACGTGAAGTCGAGCTATCAGAATGATCCGGTGCGGTCGGCTGTGGAGCTATTTTTGTTTTTGTTCGCTGTGAGATATCTGTTGGCGCCGAAGTATTCGACGAAGCCGAATTTTGTGTCTCTGTGTGAGGAGGTATGCGTTCTTCTTTCTTTACATTTTCTTTTCTTTTCTTTTCTCTTTTTCTTTTTCTTTTTTTTTCTGTTTATTTGTAGCCCTTTTGGTTCTTATTTTGTGGGATAGTGCTGACTGGTCTGGGGTCAATTGTAGGAGATCGATGATTTGGTCGAAGATTGGAGCCCCGATCCTTTGGTACCGAACCCGTCCCCGGACGATGAAGCGGAGGTTGAAAAACGTGTAGTACTTGCTGGGTATGTTCGTCTGATGGGGTTTTCTTGCGAAGGTACCTGGATTGGCTTCTAACATTGAAGAACGTGTATAGGGCGACCGGACCAAAATCCAAACTCACGAACGGACGCACCGTAGTCAATCTCGCCTCTTACAACCACTTTAACTTTGTCGGAAGCGAATTCCTAAAAGAAAAGGCAGTCCAGACTCTCCGGACGTATGGCGTCGGTCCCTGTGGCCCTCCCGGATTCTATGGAACCCAGGATGTTCATATGCGTACCGAAGCGGATGTGGCGTCTTTCCTTGGAACTCCGGCATGTATAATCTACGCACAGGCTTTCTCTACGATCTCTAGCGTGATTCCTGCTTTTTCAAAGAGAGGGGATATCATTGTTGCTGATAAAAGTGTTAACTTCGCCATTCGAAAGGGAATCCAGATTTCAAGGAGCATTGTTCGGTGGTATGAGCACAACGATATGGAGGACCTGGAGCGGGTTTTGGCCAAGATTACGAAGGAACAGGCGAAGAAGCCACTCACCCGAAGGTTTATTATCACTGAAGCGTTGTTTGAGAACCGTGGGGATATGGTGGATTTGCCGAAAATCGTTAGTTTGATTCCCACTTTCGTAGATCTCGTCTTAGGACGTTGTTGCTAACCATTTTACCTGTAGGTTGAACTGAGACTCAAATACAAGTTCAGACTCATTCTTGACGAGACCTGGTCCTTCGGTGTCCTCGGCAGAACCGGACGTGGGATCACGGAACATCAAAACGTCGACCCTGCGCAAGTTGACATGATTGTCGGTTCGTTGGCCGGTCCACTGATTGCTGGTGGAGGTTTCTGTGCTGGTTCAGAGGAGATTGTTCATCATCAGCGTATTTCGGCTACATCGTACTGCTTCTCGGCAGCATTACCAGCTCTGCTTTCCACCACGGCCAGCGAAAGCTTAACTCTGTTGCAAGAAAGCCCAGAGCTACTCACGATTCTAAGAGATAATATCAAAGCCATGTGGTCGCAGCTGGATCGCAGCGATTGGGTTTACTGTTCTAGCGCACCTGAGAATCCGATTATGTTCTTGCCCCTGAAGCCCGAGGTTGTGTCCTCCAGGCGTCTTTCAGTTGAGGATCAGCAATATATCATGCAGGATATTGTCGATGAGGTAAGCGCATTGTTTGCTAAATATATTACCAACATGGCAGCCGTGCTAATCAATTGCCCTTGAATAGGCCCTTGCCAATGGCGTTCTCATCACTCGACTAAAAACAATACCCGACGAATCAGGGCCAAAGCTTCTCGGCGGCCAGGTACCACCGGCGCTCAAGATCTGCCTCACGACCGGCTTATCGAGAAAGGAAGTGGAGAAAGCAGGCACCATCATTAGGCACTCGATTACGAAGGTCATGAGGCAAAAGCGATGATTGAATGACTGCATGATGCACATCCTATACGCGGCAACGGATTTTCTTTCTCGGTTCCTAGGCATGTCTTCTATCCGCTTTCTCCTTGCCTACCCGCTTCATCACGTTGCCTCGGCCCTAACACGCCCTTCCTAGCCTGTTGGTTGGGCGCGCGGTATCTCCAGGTGATGCCGTAGATATTCACGATACGCATTTTTAATATATCCTTTCGCCCCTTTGCCCTTTCTGCCCTAAAAGATATGTAATCAATTCCATAGACACATATGTCCCAGTGCTGTTTTTCGCGCCATGTTTCGCCTTGTGCTCTTTCTGGCCGTTTCTCTTTTGAGTCGGAAAGGGGTGGAAATAGTTGTTGTGTGTACCGCCTGCATGAGTTCCGCTGTACATTATTAATCTGTTATGGACGAAAAAGTAGAGAAATCCAATGATTATAGATTGCTGGAGTGTTGCTTTTTTGTTTAAAAAAAAAGAAAGAAAAAGGTAAAAAAAAGAAAAAAGGGGGGGAGGCAAATATCAATACATATACGAAGTAACCTGTGTTGACAAAGATATTTTAGGTATAAAAGAGTCTTCATCCTCCGTGGTCTTTGCAGGTCGTGTGAACTGTTGATCCCGAACCCATGAACTGTCGTGCCAACCGTGTCGTCATGGTATGCCGTATACCCACTAACAGGTACACTACAACAGCCATGCGGGGGGCAAACAAAATTCTCCAAGATTATCGAGTTGTGTGTTGGATCTGGGTCTGGGAGGCTCCTTATTCTCGCTACCTAGATGTCGGTGAGAATTGTCCAGCCAGCCAACAGCAAAATGAAACAGGTATACAACTCCAGTCACAGAACAGCACTGTTGTTCTACTAAGCAGTGAAAACCTGCGATCCTTTCATCAGTGCTCAAGCAGCGGGGAGTGTTGCAAGACCAATCCTGTCCTGACACCACGTCTCTATAAGCAGCCTGAAAAGCATCCAGCCATACACCTTTATTAGCTAGAGATTTGATCTGCGATTTCAGGCGGTACTACTCCGTGCCGCAATGTATCTAGCAGCTAAGGATGCAGATATGTGCTTGTTGCTTCTTTGGATAAAGCTTGATGCGGATATTGATTTTCGTTTGCACAACCCCTAAAACATATCCAACACTCGAAACTTCTTGAACAGTGGCTATCAGTCATGTCCCAGCCAAAATGTATGCATGCATGGGGTAATATGTACAGACCCTGTTGGCGGCCGGCCAATGCGCTGATCAACCACAAGGGGAGTTAGTTAACTAACTATCCGTACTCCGTAGTTCGTTAACTACTCCAAGAAATGCTGACGACCTCACTTCCTCGCGATCTCTTCAGGAGCTGACCTTCAATGGTATCAACAACAACCTACGGAATCTTATGACTACGAGTCGAAGCCGATCATGGGATCCAAGACACCACATGATCATCGTCGAAGTCCAAATGGTATGGAAAAGAATGTATTTGCTTTGCGTTGAAGCTACTCTGACAATTTGAGCAGAGTCATCGGCACACGCTGCAATTGCTGCCGTCAGTCTTCCCAAGCCGGCCGCAACAAGTGGACTCTTCCATGGCCCACTCGAAGGGGAAGGCGAAGATGGAGAGAATGGCGAAGACGATGAAATTAGAGCTGACCTGAAGTCCAGTGGTCAGCCGAGCAAAGGTAAGCTAACTTGAAGGTTAATGTACACCTGATGCTGATCCACAGCATAAGGCAAAAAAAGGAAAAGAAGGAGTAACAAAAAGAAGAATAGGAAGACACTAGGTGCACAGCAGACGACTCCTCCGAGAGTTGCACTCGCCAACCTCTTTCACGATCAGCGATATCCAGAGGGCGAGATTGTCGAATATGTCTCCGACAATGACAATCTTCGGCGCACCACGGCTGAAGAGCTTCGTCACCTAGCCGTCATGGACAGCATGATGATGAGTTCCTGAATGACTATCGCAAAGCTGCCGAAGTCCATCGCCAGGTTCGCCAGCATGTGCAGACAATCACAAAGCCGGGCATGTCCATGAGCCAGCTTGCCCAAGAGATTGAGGATGGCGTTCGGGCACTGACTGACCACGAAGGTCTCGAGACTGGAGACGCCCTCAAAGCTGGCATGGCATTTCCAACTGGACTCTGCTTGAACAAAGTAGGGGCTCACTGGACTCCCAATCCTGGAGCCAAAGACGTTATCCTCCAGTATGAGGATGTCCTAAAATTGGATTTCGGAGTTCATGTCAGCGGCAGGATTGTTGACAGTGCCTTTACCGTGGCTTTCAGCCCGGCGTACGATAATCTGCTCGCGGCTGTCAAAGCAGCCACTAATACTGGGCTCAAGGTAAGCGAATTTGGCCCTGCATGGCGTCTGCAAAGCTAAATAAACGCCCAGGAAGCTGGCATTGATGCCCGGATAGATCACATCAGTGAGGAGATCCAAGAAGTGATGGAGAGCTACGAAATCGAGCTCAACAGAAAGATCATCCCTGTCAAAGCGATTCGGAACATCACTGGCCATAACATCCTACGCTACAAGATACATGGCGACAAACAACTCCCCTTCGTCAAGACACGAACCACCCAACGCATGGAAGAAGGCGATGTATTCGCTATTGAAACCTTCGGCAGCACTGGAAAAGCTTATCTCAGAGATGATGTAGGAGTTTATGGCTACGGGTGCAATGAGCATGCCAGCGCTACTGGCCTCCGTCATGCCTCCGCCAAGTCACTGCTGAAGACGATCCATGAGAACTTCGGAACTCTTGTCTTCTCCAGGCGTTACCTAGAGCGCATTGGAGTGAAGAATTACCATCTCGGCATGAGGTCGCTTGTCTCGAATGGTATTGTTGAGTCCTATGCACCGATGGTCGATGTTCCTGGCTCTTAAGTCGCACAATTTGAACATGTGAGAATTTGTCCACAGTTGAAGACTGCGGAATATACTGACACCATCTTCTAAACAGACCGTTCTGCTCCGGCCCAATTGCAAGGAGGTGATCTCCCGAGGAGACGATTACTAAGGAAACGTGGGAAATCGAGGGTCGGATTGATTTTGTGTGTTCCTGACTTCAACTGTCATGGGAAACGCCTTGGTAAAGCATTTCAACATGCCTTACATTATTTATACATATATCGCGCTGACAATGCCCTTTCGAGCCACAAAGTATCAAGAATCAAACACCACTATGTTTCTCAAGATACTGTGATGTGAAATGGCACATTGTTCTATCACTGATATCTACTTCTCAAGTACTTCCATGTTGAAGCGATACATGCCCTGATTTCTGTGTGAGGACTAATTAATAAAAACAGAGCAGACACCAACTAATCACATCAAACTTCTTTCCCTCAATTTGTTCAGAAGGTCCCAGCCTAGTGAGGTTGTGAACAGTGAACTTGTGATGGAGCTGAAGCTCCAACTGATCAAGCTGCGGCAAAAGTGACTAGTCCTGTTCTGCATGTGAGATCCAATCTATGCCACCTAGTTTGCAGATTCGGAAATGAACGAACTGGTTTGCGAACAAGTAGTGCTAGGAATCATATTTATTCACACACGGCTTGTAGATAAACTGTATGGCCCTGGAATGAGACTCGGGCTGTCATAAATTGACACAAACATGGCAACCCAACATCGCGACAATATTTGAAATCAAGTAAATTGACCTTCACAGGCCATTGTCAGCTTACATCATCTTGTTGAGGAGCCCAGAAGCTCTACTATACCTTGGTCCTTGAGCAACAGCCTTTCTAGGCTTTTGGGGTTTTGCATTCTTTTCAGAGCAAATATGTTGCAGGGTTAGCTAATATTTTCCAGGTATCTCCAAGGCCTGGGCGCCCTTAGCATGAAAGAAATCTGTGCCTAATGTAAGAAAAACCTGGGCAGAACAAGCCGCAGAAGTAGAATGCGTCAGCTGTTGAAGTTGCATGCTGCATGGGAGTATATGTCCTCGCCGCATGATGACAAGATTCGCAGCAAACCTGTGGCACTACTGGAGGATGTCAATGTTCTGGCAGCAGCCGCAGCATGTCTTCTGGAATTGCCCCATCTAGGACCCCAATCAAAAAGTCAGAAATATTGCAAGTTACAACAATGATGATCACACTCTTACTGAGAGACTCATGGTATGTGGGCTCAATGTCTCTCAGTGCTGACTAGGTCCAATTTCCAAATCACAAGACATATTTCAGGAAGAATGGTTCCCTACAGATAATTGGCCATGCTGATCTCTCAATCTTTGTGTTGCTACAGTTTTGGCAGAATGAAGTAGTGAAACTCAATTCTGTTCAAAATTGAAAACCAACAAAGGAAGTGAAATTTTCTCTTATATGACCTGTATGTGATGGAAAATGTAGCACCAATCTGAGATTTTTGTTCAGGCTATGAAAGTCAACAATTTGGGCTGTTCTTACAAATGAATGAGAAACAGCTTTATCATGTAGTTAAGCTTGCTGAGCTTCAGACTCTCCGAACAAAATGACAGAAAACGAAAGGATTGGGGAACGGAAAAAATCAATATGCTCCATCTACAGCCAAACATCAACATCCAGCGAGGCCAGATGTCAACTTCAATTCAAAGCAAATGTCAATATTTGCCAGAAGCTTTTTGATGAGACAGCCAGAAATGAGCAAGGAGTGATGCAGAAGATTTGGCAGCCTTGGCCAAGGTCTCTGTGGATTTTCAATGACAAAGAGTCAATCAGGGTTTCAAGCTCTTTGATAACCATTATAGCATTGGGAGTTTAAGCTATCTTGAGGTCTATGAACCTACTTGAGCGATTGTATGTCTCGCCTAGGCCTCATTAGTAGCCTCACCCTTTCTTGCAGTTTGTTCACTAGTCCTCTCCAGACCCCTTGTTAATATCATGGCTCTTTCTGGCAACAAAGAGTACTTCTGTTCTCTATTCCTCTTTGTTTGCTAGGCACGAGCTAACTACAAATCTTAACAGGTCACTGCTTCTCATTCTTTGACCTCCTTGATCTCATAATTCAATAATTCTATTGGCGTGCTATTTGGGGACTTGTTTCCTATATGTAATCCACTTTGAAGTTTGTTTGGCCTAGTTGAGGGCGCGGTTGGGAACACTGGTGCAGAGAAACTACTTTCTCAGAGCTGTCAATCCTTATTTCAGTCAGACCCAGAGTATATGCCTTAAATTTCCCTCCCTTCTGCTTATACCTAGGTTCTGCTACACATAGTGTCACATTGGTACAATGGGATGTACTAGAATACCACTGTATTTCCCCGACGGAAAGCTCTTCTGGCGGCTTGAAACAATGACATGTATGGGATGCTAGAGAGCGGTAACACAGGGATGGTGGTCATGCCCGAATCCCCGATAGAAAGGTGCTAAAATCTTGATGCAACAAATAGGTATGAAGTTTAGAATGGATAGAGCACTCCATCTTCAATACATGTGCCAGGGCCAAAAATACCCAACTACTGATGAGGCTTGCTGCTCATAATCATATACATGTCAAACCAAAAAACTAGGTATATATTTGATATTCTCTGTTGGATCACAAGTAGGTGCCTCTTTCACTGTTGTAGGCATGCTGAATATCACGAACAATAGTCTGTTCTAATGTTGGAGAATCTACTGGGCCATCATCCTGCAGTGCTCTTTATATATTTGAGGGACAATGCCCAATATCAGTCCATGTACCCCGCGCTAGGATCATGTTTGTTACTTGTGGTCTCTCCACAGTGGTCTGTTATCATTTGTGTTCAAAAATCTGTACAACAATACATAGGTTATCCTTAGTCTGAGACGCAAAACAATGATGTTCGTGGTTGGCTTTATCTTTATGAAGATAGGCATTTACCTGCTGTTGCTCCTAATGCTTGTTTCTAGTATGGGATATACTATGTATTCTTATCTTCTTCAAGGATCTACTAATATAGGATATACATCAATATTCTGTAAACATTATCAAGAGGCCTTTTTGATGGCCAAAATCTGCGCTTTAGCTTTTTTGGAACAATACACATGTACACATCATCTAGGATTCTAGTGAATGGGGATCTTCTCATGTTTCACAGGGTGTGTGCAGCTGTCTGAAGCATTGATGTGTTCCTCTGAGGGAATAGGAACACATTGCTGCGAAGGCAGCTATTTCTGTCACATCACAACAAACACCCAAAGGAGTAAGCCCGCAATGGCAGAACGCGTGACTGTAGCCATATATAAACCCTTTGACACCTCCATTCTACACCCCCCTCTCTCTTTTTTCTATCTCCATAACAATACTCCCCCATCTTTTCAATTTTGTGAGCTGAAGCCTGAAGGTAAGCTGCTGTTCTTTGCTCTTCACTTCAATGATATCCAGTTGATTGCCCTGAGTTCCATCATCAAGCTTGCACCACACGTCTGGATAGAGCTCGTGCCCTGCACCATCTTATGAACCTTGATGAAAGCATGTGTAAGCAGTTGACAGAACCCTTGAAGGCCAGTGCTTCTTGCTTTTGGAGCAGAGCATGTTATTGAAAGCTGCTGCTTTAGCTTCATGAAAGGCCAAAGGAGGTCCCAAGTTCTGTGAAGGAAGCAATTCACCCTCCTTAGATCCTAGGTTGCACCTGACGCTGCTCCTCCAGGACAAGTGAAAAAGGGGTTATAGATGCCATGCAAAAGACCTCTTGTTCACTGTTAACTGTGTTTTTGGACCAACATAGCTGACAAAAGGCCCAGATATTCCAGGCATTTAAAATTTTCTCCAAAATACGCGTTGACATAGCCATTTGAAGTCATGCAGGAACTTGCAGGCTTTCTAGCCCATTTGGCTTTCTTTCTCAGCATTGTCCTCTCAGGATATGGTTGGTACCTTATATCCCTCCTTGCGCTTCAAAAGGCTAACATTGGAAAACAAGTTGTCTCTGGTGTGCCAATCTTAGAAGAACGAGCTGCTGCAGCAGGATACTTTAGTGGTCTCGGCATCTGTTATGCCCCCTATACGGACGGCGGTCAATGTAAACCACAGCAGGAAATCGACGCTGATTTTGCCAAGCTTAAAAAGTACCAAACGATCCGGATATACGGTGTCGACTGCAACCAGGTTAGGATGGTCTTGAACACGGCAAAGAAAAACAATTCCAAAGTTTTCGCTGGCATCTTCAACCTGAAGAACTTTGATGGTGACCTCGAATCACTGATCAGCCAAGCAAAGGATTCCTGGTCCAATGTCGCCGCTATTAATATCGGGAATGAGTTGGTGAACAGGGGACTTAACTCACCAGACCAAGTTGCCGACGCTGTCAAAAAAGCACGTGATATTCTTCGTGGTGCAGGCTACCAAGGGCCTGTGGTTACTGTCGACACATCTGGCATGCTGATCAAACATCCCAAACTCTGCCATGCATCGGATTTCTGTGCTGCAAACGCCCATGCCTTTTTTTCAAGCCAGACAAAGGCACAAGATGCAGGCAAATTTGCACGTAATGAAGCTGATGCAGTTTCTAAGGCAGCAGGTGGTAAATTCACTGTTATCACAGAGTCTGGATGGCCATCTTCTGGACAACCAAACGGCGTGGCGGTCCCATCTCCTCAAAACCAAAATGCTGCAGTTGAGAGCCTGAAAAATAGCTTCAAAGACAGGGATGGTCAGCTTTTCCTATTCTCTGCCTTTGATGACAAATGGAAGCAAGACTTTGATGGTTCCTTTGGAGGAGAGAAGTTCTGGGGCATTGAAGAGTAAAAGCAAAAATGGAATACCTGGGAGGAACGGACCATAGTGAAGTTGCGGTACGATCTGTGAGGGGGATCAAGTCATCGAGCTGTCACGGTTTGCTAGTTATGGACAGGAAGGAGAAGCCTAGCTAAGGGAAGGGTACACTGAATGTATTCCCCAATAACTTCTTCGTATCAGTGTTCGGTCAATGGGATAAATGTTTTTTTCTGTCCATGTCCCTAATCAGTTGCTGTTGATCCGCTCCAGAGAACCATAATACATAGGTACCAGTGTCTCTGAAGCTGTTTTCACAGCTCTGTGCAGATGATAGAGTCCCACCACTTGCATGCACAATTTAAAGCATGTGAAGGGATTGCTGACAGTATCATGATTTGCGAGTTTAGAGCAGACCTGCGCATTTATATACTAATTATGTTTGTATATCCAAGTCAAATTGATCCATTCATTTTGGACTGCGTACATGGGAAGCCCACCTTCATGCCTCCACCAAGTGCATTGCTAGACAGTTTTCTCTATCTCTGCGATCCCATCTAGGGCAGCATGATCAGGCTCTCCAGGTCTAGAGACATTCGAAATAGACGACTCACGCGAAAAATTACTGGTGTCATCTCCATCACTCTGCGGGGTTCCACATCTACTCCTCTCATCAACAGCTAAACGGGCATGCAGATGAGCGCGCCAACGACGGGTCTTTGGAGGCTCCGGTTTTTGTAGACCAGTCTTGCTGGAGACCTGTGTTTGAGGATGAGAATGGTTGTGATGATGATGGGGTGGGGTCGGAGGAATAGGGGAGCGGTGGTGAACGTCGCACGCTACAGGAGGGGGAACCGAGTGGGATGATCGACGTGGTGGCGGCACGGCGGGTGGCTGGAGAGAAGAATGGTGAGCACGGGGTTTGGAGACAGGTATTGTCAGGTCGGCTTCCGACGTTGTACTAGTCGAGGGTGGTGGAGACGGCGCATCAATGGTGATGGTATGAGAAGTAGGCTGACATTCGGACGCTGTCCGACGAATAATTGACCGTTTCTCGCGAAGGTGAGTTGGCCCCGGTGACATATTTGTCTCCTTATGTTCTTCCTCCTCCCGTCCTCTACGACCTCGCCATCCCCGTGCCTTTGGCGGCTCTGGCTTTTTCTTTGGTAGTGTCTGAACAGCGGCGCTTTTCCTTGGCATCATGACTCCGGGCTTCTCTCTTTGCGTGGCGATCTCTGCCATGCTCACAGACGAAGCACGCGATGGCTCAAGGCCCGTGCTAGGGGATTGAGCCTGCATTCGGTCAACGGGAGATAGAGTCTCCATGGAGCTCTGTTTAGGAAGATTCGTCGCAACACATGTTTGGTCCGGGTACGGTGTCTCGTCAGCTGTGGCCTCGGTTTTTGCTTCTGAATGGGTCTCTTGCGCCTCATTACAGATACCAACAGATGCCGACCCTTTTACTGGTAACCGTTCTTCGTGTTCGATTAGCCAATCAACTTGCGCGCAACGCAGTACCAATCTCTTAGTTGTTTCATCAACTTCATCAAAGTGAAGGATCTTTTCGTACTCGTCTTCATAGCCAGCAATCTGATCCCTAATAAGGATAGCAAACAGTCTTCTTAGCTCATCGCGCTTATAATACGGAGGATTTTTCAATTGAGTATGGGTTAGCAATGGGTAGAGAACACGAAGATATGTATGACGAAGAGCAGAGGCCTCTTCCGGAAGGTCTAACAAGTTACGAATTAATATATCAACGAGAACTCGGAGGTCGTTAGTATAAAAATATTCATAAGTAGAAGGTGTTGTGAAGAGTAGATATAGGAGCTTGAGCGTGAGAAGTTGAAGAGATGTCTCATCTACTCTGCAGTCAGAAACCAATGACATTTGCAAAGGGAACAGGTCAAAGACATACTTTCACGATTTAAAAGAAGTATTATATTTTCACCAAAAGTCTTGTAAACGCCCCCGTACATTGACAAGACCTTGATAACTTTGTTTGTAGGTGGGACGAGGGAAGGGTGTTCTGCAGGAGCATCATGAGTAGAGACCATGAACTGCTCATTAAGTACCAACTGGCCAAGAGAAATTAGCATCATTGGATCCATTATTTGGCGGAATGCTCACCAAAACTTTGATGACTGGGTAATGATATGGGTCGTCCACATCATTTGAAACCTCCTCAATTATGCTAAACAAAAGCTTTATGAACTCATCATCCACAAGAACTGCAATCCAGAAGTCAGAGTGATTAGTTGTGCAGGCAATAAGGTTCTCAAAGGGTACACGCAGAAACATACGCAGGTCTTCAATCTTAATCCTCTGAATTCTCGACATCTCATAAAACAGATCCATCAATAATCGATGAAGACCAGCTTCATGGTCACCGGTTCTGCGTCGCCGCGACTGTATAAGCTCCAATAGCCGTACGAAGGCCCCTTCGCTATTCATCATTTCAAATGCAATTTCATCGTGGCGGCCATCGACAAGGAGGAGCAACACGATAACATAGAGAGCGCTAGGGTCATCTTCCTATGTAGTGTATGAGAACTAATCCGGCGCCGGATCTGTACCGTTGAAAGACCGCATACCTGAAGCAAGCTGTATATTATCTGTCGTCGTATATATTCTGCATTTCCGGAGAATAGCTCTGAGGTGAGCAAAATCTCAGAGCATCGGGAGAGGTTGTGCCCGAAATGGAGGAGGTCATCTGTTGACAATACCCGGGGAAGTTAGTATCCATGTTCGCTTCCATTTCATGGCTAGGCCCGATAATGCGCAAGAACTATGCCGAACAAGTCCTGGACAGTCAAAAAAAAAAGGGCTATTCGAAGGTCGCATCTACCTTTATATCTCGTTGTCAACTCGAGGTATGCTCGAAGAACGTTGTCGATCGCCGCATGGGAGTCGCATTGCGCGTCAACAACGCGGTGCAGTTCTATTCGAGAACGGTGCAAATTAGCTACATTCCTCATCTACAGAGTTTTCACATCTTGAAAAAGAGCGAAAAGACTCAGATACGGGGCCCGATTAGAAGACAATCGTGTCTTCAGATCGACACAGTGAACACCCACCGTCCCAGAATTGATCCTCATTTTCCAAACTGTGCGAAACTTCAAGTTCCATTCCCAAACCCATGCATTGCTAATAACTTCTTTTTGTGCCGCTTCGGACTTCAAATGATTTATATTTTATTCTCGATTTATCTTCGGCTGTGACACGAATGAACGCGATCGATTCGAGTGGCTGGTTGACAGGAAGCGTCAAACTACTGAGTACTCCGTACCTAAGATACGAAAAGGTAAACGCCACGGGTTCCTCCCGCGCTAACGAACGAGCTGACCCCTACGGAGTACACGACTGACATCACACCGAAAAACGTGGGTTACACAAACAAACCGACTGACGTCTTTGAAGAGCTATCGATCCGATATTTAGCCCGTCCTTATATTAGACTGATCCGTTCAAATTAATGCACATACAACCGTTCTGTACGCTACAAATTAACACCCTATTCCTAAAGAACCGTCTAGCAAAAATAAAAATACAATCAAAAGCTCGAGACTGACATGTACCACAAAGTATAGAAAAGGGACGGTTAAAAAGTAAAAGGGCCGGTTTGTGAATGATACCAAATATATATGCAAAGTCTGTTAAACCAGAGCGACCCATATCTCCTAGATATTAGCTAAACCTGCGTTGAAAACCTATCCGTTACATTGACCCAACAAACAACACCAAATATACGGCGAATGCTAACAAGCATGGCGTAAGATATATATATCGAATGATACTGGTCTATGTCGATTAAACTTTCTGTGGCATCCTCAAGGGATGCGCTTCGGTATTGCTATTACAAGTGAGCACGGTTAGTCTACGGGTCTAGCTCCCCCCGAAGGCTACAGCCGGCACCGGGGAATTGACTTACAAAATATAATCGTCTAGGCTGACGACGTCAGGATCGCTGAAAAGGAGGAAGAAGTATTTCAGAGTTTCTCCGAGCCAGAACGACTCCATTTCGTTCAAGGGTATAGGCACTTGACTCGTCACGTCCTTGATCGCGGAGCTTCCGAGTTCAGTTCTTGTGCTTGCCTCAACGGCCTTAAACATCTCCCACCCCTTTTCTCTCCATGACTCGTCACCTGTGATTCGGTACATGTAGAATACGGATTCGATGGCTTCGGGTCTGAGAATGTACTTGCGTGAGAGGATATCAGTCATTCCATAAGGAATACGCTCCTCTTTAAGTCGTTGCTCCACGAAGTCCTTATGAGGAACGAACGTAGGTTTGGGTCCAAGAATATCAGGAATTGAATCGTCAATACCACTGATGCGTGATGGATCGTCGGGCATTGCTCTCTGCCTTTTGGCAAGTCCAGAACTGCCCTTGCTAACGGCGGATTTAGAAAGGTGCGAAGTCTCGATTTCGGTAGCTTGGAATTCTGCTCTTTCCACGCCCTCAACCTTTTCAAGTTCGGCCTTTTGATCTAGCCAAGTCTGAACTTGGAGCTTTCTCTCCTCTTCATAAGGATCGATTTTTTCATAATATCGTGTTTCATTCCATTCGCAGCGCTCAGTGGAGGCGCAAGGAAGCATTTCAAAGCCTTCGGGCATAATGCCAGTGGCAGTAGCATTGTATGCCCAGACGCACGCATCGGTTAGCTTTGCAGCAAGATCCAGGTCGCCGTCAATCCCAAAGATTTTGGCACCGAGGGCGAACATTCCTCCTGCGAAACACCCAAGATGAGTGCCTTCATATTGGGAATATAAATCTTCTTTTTTCTCCGGTGGCTTGCTTGAAGTTACCTTTGCGTGAAACAGAACATCACGATTGTCCGGCAGCATTGGCCGAAACAGCAGATACTTCTTGGCCGTATCCATTGCTAGGGTGTACATCTTGTGGTATTGATAGCTGAGCCCGCCAAGGAGCAGATGCATTTTCGGCAGATACTCGTATGTTGAATCCGCCAAAGCGCCCAGCGTGTATGTGTTCGACATTTGGAATGGCGGTGGCATGAGGCCCTGTTCTTCGCAATCGGGCCCATCTTCGAATCCGACCAAATCACGTTTCTCTGTAGCCTTAGATTGTGAGTTGGGATTTGCTGGCTGGGTATTCTGCAAAGGCTTAAAGGCCGCCTCATTTCTCTTTTTAGGGGCCTCTGGGGGCCCATTGGCCTTGGGCATTAACGGCGGCATTTTCACTGAACCGTCCACATCTTCTAATTCATCGCTGTTACGAAGTATTTTCTTGCATCCCGAGGCATCAATTAGTGAGGGCCATAGACCTGGTAGTGTGGTGTTAGACTGAAACTTTTCGAGCTCATTTGTGATCCGAGCAACAGCATCGTAGTATTTGTTCTGTAGCGTTAATTGTGCTAGTCGTGTGAACTCAAGAGACAGAGAGCCAAGCTCAGCAAGAACGGCCCGGGTAGGTGCTCGATGAGGCTGTGAAGCGTAGGACCTAGAAGTTGTGAGCAGGTGAATATGCCAGGACAGGATACGGCAAAGTCCACAACTTACGGCGCCCACCAATAATATGTTTGCGGCATTCGATTTGGCGTATCGAATGCGCCCATTAGGATTTCGGCTAGCTCAATCGCCTTGTCCAGCAAAATGGGATACCTTCCTTCACAAATATCATATGCACCAATCAGGCCTCCCAAATAGCGAATGACAGTTTCAAACAAAGGAATATCTTTTCGATTGCTGGTTTTGAAGTCAATCTGTTCCACAGCCTTGACAGCCTCAGCGAATTCTTTCTCAAAGCCCATTATCCAAAGAGTGTCCAAACTATCAACTAAAGTTGCTCCCCATCCCATGAAGGGATCCCGACCGCCACCAAAGACGGGCTTTAATTCGTCTCGACCCCAAGCATGTGTTTTATAGCCAGCCCAGGATCGTTTGAATGATGCCTTGATAAGTGATAATCTCTTCTCACGGGACAACTTAGCCTTCTGTGATTCCTCTGGAAAGTTGAATTGGATCTTAGGAATATTTTTCGGTTTGCCCTTGGGCAGAGGAATGATGTTCGACGGAACCACGGGGAAGTTTTCGGGCTGTTTCACCCATCGGACGTCAGTACGATCCAATTCGGGCACCTCCAATCTTCCCTGGCCACCAGGGCCGAATTCAGCCTTGGGTGATGACGGCGGTGAAACAAGAGCAGGTCGTGTCGGAGCCGGCGAGCTGGTCGGTTGCACAGACGGCTTTACCGATCCTTGCTTTGTGTTAGTGACCACAGATGGTATCCTTGCCTTGCTAGGCGATGCCGGGGGGTTCTGAATCTCCCCGTTGTGGCCAGCTTGTTCTGGAGGTCGTTGCGGCGGAAGCGCGGGAGGAGCAGCTGGCTTCTGTTGTTCCGCCGTCGATTCATTCGAATTGTGGATTGAAGACCCCAGCTCTCGAAGTCTAGTGAAATGGAAGAGAGCAAGGATGCTAATAACAGCGAAAACGAGAAAGACGCGATAACGACGAAAACGGGGCATTCTGGCTTGTGGACCGCTCTTCCGAAGAGCTCGTCCCTCTCAGTCCGCACTTGAACTAACTATTGAGCAGGAGGAGGCGCCGCTTCAATTGGGACCATTGCGCAACGTAGAGGGATTTAATGTCACACGATACCTCAAAACCAGACCTTTCCCACAGCACGCACAGCGACAACTTCGATGGCAGCCGTCGACCGTTTACTGCCAGCTGACAGAGTAGAGTTGCGTCCCCGGTTAGTTACATAAGCAAAATACGGGGTTAACTAGTTAGTTAACTTAAACATAACCGCTAACTAGTTAGCTAAAACTAGCATTGTCCAAGCTCTGACATTGGGACCATATGAACTGCAGCAGTTTGTGATCCTCGTACACCGTCACTGAACCCGATATCAGGCTTCACGTGGCTCTCTGCGATCACAGACAAAGGAAGGATGGGGCGGCTTATGCGTGGGGTGAGGCCGATCATTCGGCATCCTTGAAAATATGGAGAGGCGCGCGGTTTGAATTTAAGAGCCAGGAGTTCCACGGCCGAGTGCAACCGTTTCCTTGCAGGGGAGAATCGTTGGGACCAATTTGGCAATTGGCTCTGTAGCCTGCCTCTTCTCATTCTGTTGGTTCTCACTCGTGATAAATATCCCGAGTCAAAGGGCCGCAGGAACTACAGTGTAATCAGAAAAGAAGAAAACAGCTGGCTGACACAGCCGCAAACTTTGTAACAATGAAGGATACTGCGGTACCGAGAGGTTCAGGTTCGAAGCTTTTCCAGCCGCTGAAGATCGCCAACGGCAAGATCGAATTGAAACACCGTGTCGTGCTGGCACCCTTGACGAGAAATCGCGGGACACCTCTTCAGCCAGAGAGTACAATTGAAAATCCGAATAGGGCCTGGCTGCCAAATAATCTGATGGTGGAGTATTATTCGCAACGGGCTACAGAAGGGGGGTTATTGATTTCAGAGGGTGTTCCGCCATCCCTGGAGGTGAGCGAGATTATCAAAATTGTCGCTGTACAGCATGTTCTGGCAACGGTTGTGCTAACATGATCCTAGAGCAATGGAATGCCTGGCGTTCCTGGGATGTTCATACCCGAACAAGCAGCTGGTTGGAAGAAAATTGTTGATGCTGTCCATGCAAAAGGTGGCTACATTTACTTCCAACTCTGGCACGCTGGACGTGCCACTATCCCCCAGATGACCGGCTCACCGGCTGTTTCTGCCTCACCAACGGTCTGGGACGACCCAAAGGAGTGTTTCTTCCACACTCCCGTTGGATATAGTGAGCCAGTGCCTTATTCTAAGCATCCACCTATCGAACTCTCTCACAGGCACATAAAACGGACTATTGAAGACTACTGCAATGCTGCCAAGATGGCCATGGAGGCTGGATTCGACGGAGTTGAGCTTCATTCCGGAAATGGCTATCTTCCAGAACAGTTTTTGAGCTCAAACATCAACATACGGACGGACGAATACGGAGGAACGCCTGAGAAACGGTGTCAGTTTGTATTTGAGTTAATGGACGCTTTGGCTGCGACAGTTGGACAGGAGAACTTGGCTATTCGCCTTTCGCCTTTTGGGCTGTTTAACCAAGCACGTGGAGAACAGAGAGTGGAAACTTGGACACATCTATGCCGAGGCCTGAAGCAATCGCTTCCCAATCTGTCCTATGTTAGCTTTATCGAACCAGTACGTATTCCTCTTAGCATTCTATGTTTCTTTTTCCCATGTTAACACCATCACTCAGCGCTACGAACAAATCTTCAGTACCAAGGAGAAAGACGATTTTCTCGCATCATGGGGTCTCCTTGACGTCGACTTGAGTAGCTTCCGTGAAATTTTCGGTTCGACACCGTTCTTTTCGGCCGGTGGATGGGACCACACGAATTCCTGGGGTGTGCTTGAGTCTGGTAAATATGACGCGTTGCTTTATGGGCGATATTTCATTAGTAATCCGGATTTGGTGGAGCGGTTGAAGAAAGGGTATCCATTGAATAAATATGATCGGAGTAGGTTTTATGGGCCATTTGATGATCCGGCGATTGGTTATACGGACTATCTCTCCATGGAACAGCAGGTTGGTGCGAAGGCGGCGGCGCAAAATAACCTTGTGAACTGAAGATCTCTCCAGTTTCAGGGCATAGTATAGTGGATTTCTGTAGGCGCGTAGATACATGAGACGATGCTTAAATGTGTATATTTTGTATTTTTCTCCCACAAGAGAGGATGGGATGATTTCCAGGGCCTGCTAATATGGCGGATTATTTGGTCATGGCTCTGAATTGAATTTCTCTAGATTGACATAGTTATTCAAATAGGTCAATCGATACATGTCTCGGCTTCACTCAGTATATATTGTTGACTACCCTGCATAGCCGGGAGTATCGTCTAAATTACCTTGTCTAACAAAATCACACAATGGCTGGCATACTCAAGGAACACGTGCGTCCTACGAGGTTCTATGTAGCGCCCATATCATTGTTTCACCTTGACCCAAATATTTGCACCGCCTAACTAATCTCACCAAGGAACCCCGGTTATGCTGTTATATGTAAACTGCAAGCAGCCAGTGCAAAACACAGAGCATCACAAAAATGAAGTTCGCCATGTGAAAAAAGTATTACATCCCAACAGCACCGCGACCTTCATTTGTGACTTTCTGGAACTGGTGAATCAAGCCCAGCACTCCTCCACCACCAGCAACTTTCTCCACGTCTTCAGCCTCGTCATCTTCGCCGCTGTTTGCGTCTTCTGCCAGATTTATTCGCCATGATTCTTCTATCTGGCTATCATCAGTTGCAGGTCCGCCGCTGGAAGTTGTGGTCACGTTTGAAGGCTGTATATTAATTCCGGGAAGTTGGTCTTCGTCGACATCTTGAATTGTATCCGCCATTGGGTGGGCTTGCCGAGACGGCCGATAGCGGGAGGCTGCTGTTGGATGGGCTTTCGATCGAAATCCGGACATAGAGGGTTGGTGATGGGGATCTAGTAGCATTGAGGCCATGGGCGATGCATGTCCTCCGACACCTGTTATAGCTCCGAATCGAGAGGTTCGAAGGGCGGATTGTCTCATGGTAGAGTGTTGACCATTGTCCCACCGGTCAATGCGACTTGAATGTAGATGGTTTGCTCCCGGCTGAGCACGATGGGTTGGGCCGGGAACGGGCTGCTGGGGGTAATTTTGGCGCTGCGAAGCATGAGGTCCACTTGGGCGTGCAGGTGGAGCGTAATGATCGAGGAACCCATAATAAGATGCAAGCATCTTTCCATCTTTAGCAGAGAAATAATCACCTCGTAGATCGTGTAGGCCATGCTTAAGGCCTCTTGGACGATGATGCTGGGGTTCAGGGGGCATCAGATTCGTGCCTTTCTTGAAATCAAAAACTGCGAAGGAACAAACGTAACCAAGGCCGTCGACATGAACTGTAAACTCCCTAAAAAAATCGATCAAACGGTCGCTGCATTTAGGCAGGCTAAACCATAGAACGAAAGGAGTGAATATCATACTCAGAATCTCCTCAAGAAAGATTACCACCTTCAGTTGGTAGAGTGTGGCGAACTCCTTCCTTACGTCGTCGCTATGAAGTTTGCCTTGCCAGTGAGCGGGTTTATAGTGGGTATACGCAGTCACGTCTAAGAGGGCGTGTTCCGGGTCAAACACCTGGGCGTCGTCTGGTACGACCCCACGTGCAACAGCGTAGACAGTCCCAAAAAGTCCAATATAGAACAAAACGGTCCGATCGTGAGTAATTTCGAACCCGAGGAATAGCTCAGGGTCTATAACGGATGCCAACGCGAGGACAGACAGAAGGGCACCTGCAATAAAAGCTACAAAACGTGACAGCTGCACTGTCTTGTCTTTGGGAAACTGGTTGATATACATATTTGCGGACTCGTAAGACATATGGATTCGACGTTCGAAAAGGTGCCATAGTTCGTTGAATTCGCGGAATTTCCATTCCGCCAAAGGTGTATATTGGCGAGAGCCGATTTTGGAAGGGTTTTTTTGGTACTCGTTAAAATAGCGGAAGAAGTAATGCATCAAAAAGTAAGCCACGATAAACGGCGCAATGAAAATATTCATGACCCCAGCAAAAATAAATCGACGCCGGAGACCCTCGCTTAGAGCTCTTCGGTGAGTCGCTTTCAGAAAAAGTGGTCGTAACTGGCCCTGTTCATTGAAGACATAATCGAGGATGCACAGGTTAAGATTCCATTCAAGGGTCCGAGAAAACAACTGCCGATTTCGTAAGAACGGTATAGGAAGGGTAAGGTCCAATATCTCTTTGTTGAACAGTGCAATGAGATAATTTTCCTTCCTCATAAGACGATTGGCAATGTCATGAGCATCCATCCGCTGTTTTGACTGGCTACCAATGTATTTGCGATGTTTTGTGGACACGGTGCCTGCGGTCGCGGGATTCGCATCCCGCAGTGCCATGAGCCTACCAACCACCTCCTGCCATGATATTGTCTGTATATCCGAGTCGGGCACGTCCAAAAGATAGAGGTAGAAGTCATGCATATGCCGTAGTCGCCTGAAATCTATAATGTATTGGAAAACCTTTCCAAACCAAAAGACTGTAAACAGCCATAGGAAAAATGTAGATGAGGCTGACATTTTGTTGGTGCACTTCGGGACAATAATCTGATTCAGTGTCTTGCTATGCGGGACTTTCCGATAGTCAACACAGTTTGTTAGGAATGTCGTAAAACCAACAACAAAAGCCAAGGTTCTATGCGGCCCAGTCAGCCTCTGAGCTCGAGAGAGAGAGAGAGACACCATCCCGACTTACAGAATATTCAGCATCCGACTTAATACTATACACCAAATCCCGTTACCGATGAAATAAATGTAAACGTCTTTTAGAAAGTTATCTAGATTCTCGACATTGGCCCATCTCCACATTGCCTTTTCCTTTGGATTGGCAAATGCTAGACCAGCTCTTCGATTTGAATGAAGGTTTAGAGGAGGCGATGGTTGAGGGGCAAGATGGGGGGTTTGATGCTCCTCGGCAGCTTCCCACTGGCCTCGTAATCGCGGGGAGCAGAATTCTGCAGCTGGCGCATCGTCAAGGATCCTGTTACGATTGGAAGGAGGTCGAGGGGGTGGTGGAAGGGGATCCTCCTCGCCATCGCCTTCAACGAGAAGGGAAGCCGGAACTTCATCATCGTGCTCGGCTTCGTTCACTGACTCCTGCGTCCATTTCGGATGGCGCGGTAAGTGGGAATCACCCGCTGCGGGAGACTGGAAACTGCTATGCGTGGACTGTGTGTCCGAAGCTTGCGCGAGAGCACCCTCCAGCTCATAGTCCTGGTAAGCTCCGTCCAAGTTCTCTTCGTCCACAGCCATCGCAGCTCGTTCCTCAGTATCCGAATGGCCGGAATCATCATCGTATTGCCGAATAGTTTCGTAGATTGAGGGCGAGGTGGTGCTGTTGATGGGCAGCAAGCGTGTGATGAGCTGTGATGTCATGATGGCACAGGCTCAAGAAAACCAATGATACTGCCTAGCAGTTAGTGGATATCGAAGGGTTCAGATCATTTCTTCATCCCCATAAGTGCTGTCTCTGCGACATCTCGGAATAAGGAACAAGGCGACCGATGTGATGGATATCGCCGTTGACTGAATGACTGTAGACGTCCGGCGGTCGGCGAAAGGTCGACGAGCTGCTGACACGGCAAGGAATAGCGAGTTTACTAGTGAAGAGCAACGGTCCCAGCAACAGGATCGAAGCAGACGTAGGTCCAAAGAGTCGTGTGACGAGCTCTGCGGCAGTGCAGCTAGACAAAGCTCGAGTCATCCGCCTTTGCAGCTCGCTAGTCTTGACTCTGGTCAAGCTCGTGATCCCCTCTGGAGCTTCCAACCTTCAGGCTGACGGCGTCGGCGTAGGTGAAATTCCGGGGGGTCAAAGAGGCTTGGCGGATCAAACCTAGCTACCATGCTGCGATAAAACCCCGTTATGTAATGGGAGACTGGGGACGTGTCATGCAGGTCGTTTTGCGGGCTATTTCGTTTCCATTGACGAGCATACCGCAAGAGTAAAGATGTTTGGGCTGCGCAGGTCCATCATGCAGCTCTCAGGTGCCCATCATCGCCGTTGTCGGAGGCGACCAGGGCGGGCACGACAGAGCTCCGGGGTTGGACGGCGGCAGAGAGGGGTAGGTACCTAGTTACATCGTACATATGTCCAGCAATTGCCGTAACCTACAGATTTTTACTGTACGGAGCACCCCGTACACGCCATACATACAGGTACACGATTGCTGGAGCTCAGCGTGGGCAAGGGACGCCAAGGATACACGCGGCCATACCGCTTCCATACGCAGGCCCGGCCAGTCAGCGTACCCCCCGCGGCCTGCATTGGACTATCCCCCGGGCCGTAATTTTACGCACGAGGTCCTGTAATGCGAGTCTTAGGTAAGCCGGCCCACCCAAAGAGGCAATTCGCAGTGATCTCGTTCTTGGGACGTCTCTCTCCACCGTCAAAAACGTGGGAAGAATCCAAACGGCAGCCCTGGTTGATCTTCGCCGAACCAAAACCCGTGCAGGAATGCCAATGCCTGCCGGTTCTGTGTGCTCAAGTCTCGCTTCCTTCCACGCTGCTCTCGGAGAATCCGTAGGGTGTTTGTGTGCATTGATTAGCCCTCTGGTTGGATCTGAGCCCTCTCCCAACGGCTTATGTCTTCTGAAACGGCACGTTACTCCATTTCAGATGAGCAATGCGCAATAGGGTCAAAACTTCGGACTAAAGGTATGTTTTGGCAAGACACCTCAGCTACTTCGCCTGCTTCGCTTGTCTCTCTCATCAATCCACGCTTCTTTCCCTTCCCATAGTTAACAAACATGTTTTCTCAATAATATAGATTCTGCTGATCGGTAATCCTCTCCTCAACAACATCTCCCCGTGTCCCTCTGTCTGGCGTGTGCCTTCTCACCAGTCCACCGGCTGGCCAAGCTTTGTTCGACGAGTCGCCGTCCCCATCATTGATTGCCAGTGCCGGTCGTACGTATTCGCCGCAACTTTCGCGACGTGCTTCACTCCCTCCCGTATCTCAGATCCCCTAACGCAACCCTCTCCCCCAAGGCCATAAGGATTCGGCCGTTAACTCTATATGCTATGTTGCCCCTGATCGTGCTAAAGGAAAATGGAGCCAGACCGTCGTAATGGTTTTAGGAGGGATCCAGACCGGCAGGATTACCATAGACGACCGATTGAACGACGTCCAAGTAAAAAGTCCTCCTCCAAAGATCGGCACGGTGTTGTATATCCTGAAAGTTTTCGTGACGCTACTATCAGAACTGTCACGCCGGATTCAATGTCCGACAATGCCAATAACTCTCCAATGTCCGACGCAGAGTATATGTCGGAAACCACAACGTCCCCGCATGCTACCCTTCGTGCGAAACACCGCGAACGACGTCAGGAGTCTGCTCCCTATTTCTCCGCAGGTGATGACGAGGATCTAGGGCTCGGGCCGAAAAGCCTGAGGGCAAGATCCAGAACCACCCTGGATGATCAACGAAGTGAAATATCCCAGAGTCTTTTGTCACGGACCAGAACAAGACTAGGTTCTATCAATGTGGCCTCGCAATCTTCAAAGGGATCTGAGGATTCGGTTTCGTCCATTGGATACCCTTCCATAATCCAATCCCCGACCCAACGACAGAGGCTTAGCAAGGCACCATCAGGTGGGGCATCGCTTGTGGCTAGTTCTTCGCGTCTATCGTCATACGGATCACCGTTGTCGAACTCCGACTCTTCAAAAATATTACAGCTGATGAAGACAACATGTGGTAGAATGCATGGCATTCTTTCTTTCCGTGCTTCAGGGAGTACTTCCTGGACCTCTGGATACTGCGCCATAAACGTGGCCAGCGGAAGCCTAATATATCAGGCGAAGGGAGAGCCGGCCGCAGCAAAAACACTGATACCAGACCTCAGGGGATGTCGCGTCCGTACTCTGTACGATACGGAAATACAAGGCTCATATCTGAGTGTTTCAGCTCACTCTTCTACTGTCGGCATACACTTAAGACCCCATGTAATTGAAACCTTCGATTCTTGGCTGGCCGCTCTTCTTTGTTGGCAACCGATCCGCCCCAAAGGTGTCCAGAATAAAATGACCAAACCACAATCGGTTGCAATTGGTAACCACCGCTTTCCAGAGCGGAGAAGAAACTCTGAAAGCACAATACAAAAAGAGGCCGCAATAATCAAAGTTGGGCAGATGCTTTTGTGGGACAGACAGACGGCATCCGGCCTTCTCCCGCCCCCAACGCCTAAAAGAATTTCCACCTTCAAGCAGCAGCGGGCCTTATCACCATCGTGGCGTAAAGTGAGCTGTTCATTGCAAGAGAATGGCCACATGAAGATATTCACAGAAACTGATGTGACCTTAATTGCTTTCGTGCAACTATCACAGCTCTCCCGGTGCGCTATCCAGCAATTAGAACCATCAGTCCTGCACGACGAATTTTGTATCGCCATTTATCCCCAGTACTCTGTTCATGCTGGAGGAGACCAGCTGACTCGCCCGATTTACCTGTCTCTCGAAAGTCGCATCCTGTTCGAAGTTTGGTTTGTCTTATTACGTGCGTTCACGATACCAGAGTTGTACGGCCCCGAACAACCTCCGCCGAACGATGATCCCGCGCGGAATCATTCCCTGGCTGTTGCTAACGCAACTTCTACCGCTGACATGTTCCGTATTGAGCGATTGCTATCGATTCGAATAATAGAGGCTAAGATGTTCACCTCTGTTAAAGACAGTGTGGAGGTCACAAAGACCAAAAAGGCTGTGAAGCCCCACCTGTCTCAAATGAAAATACGCGCTTCTGGCGACTACTATGCCGAAGTTTTACTCGATGGAGAAGTGCGGGCGAAGACTGCTGCTAAACATGATACTTCAACGCCTTTTTGGCGAGAAGATTTTACCTTCCACGATTTACCGCCTGTCCTATCTAATGCATCTATAATGGTTAAGACGTTGAATTCGACCCAAAAAGACTGGACATTAATATCCCGTGCGCCATACTCCTTTGAGGACGTTAGCAGTGATCCTTTGTCGATAGTGGGTGACGTCGAGATTACTTCGCAGGATGCTACATACGGCAGAATTGACCTCCGTTTGGAGGATTTAGAGCGTGGATCTGGCCCGGAAAAATGGTGGCCAATTCTGGATGATCATGATCAGCCGGTAGGGGAAATGCTAATGAGGGTCCAACTGGATGAGACGGTTGTCTTGATATCCAAAGAGTATGAAGCGATGTCTGAGCTACTACACTCATTTTCGAACGGACTTACGGTGAATCTTGCGCACCTCGTCCCTCCAGAGTTACGTCAGTTGTCGGAAACCTTCCTTGACATTTTCCAAGTATCAGGGCAGGCAGGAGAGTGGATTATGGCGCTTGTTGAAGATGAAATAGATGGAATCCATAAAGATTCAACAGCAAGTCGATTGAGATACACTAGTCGAAGTCGTATTCATTCGAACGACTCGTACGAATCGACCCAGGAACGAGAAGCTCTCGTGCGTGATCTGGGTAGATCAGCTACCGTTGAAGCCAACTTGCTTTTTCGGGGTAATTCTCTGCTAACAAAGTCTCTGGATATGCATATGCGTCGACTCGGAAAGGAATACCTCGAGGAAACCATTGGAGCCGGATTAAGGGACATTGACGAGAGCGACCCTGATTGCGAAATTGATCCCAATAAAGTCAGTCGACATGAGGATTTGGAACGTAATTGGCGAAATTTAATTTTGCTCACGAGCAGTATGTGGAAATCTATTGCCAATTCTGCCTCTCGCTGCCCTGCTGAATTGAGGCACATCTTCCGGCATATAAGAGCCTGTGCGGAAGATCGCTATGGTGATTTCTTGCGGTCTGTTGCATATAGCAGCGTTTCTGGATTCCTATTCCTTCGCTTCTTTTGCCCTGCAATACTGAATCCAAAGCTGTTTGGATTGCTTAAAGGTTTGTCAAAAATGGTCGATCCCTTCCGCTCTTATAAACATAAAACTAAAGCAATCCTCATATTCAGAACATCCTCGTCAACGGGCTCAACGCACCTTGACCCTCATTGCAAAAGCATTGCAAGGACTGGCTAATTTGGCCACGTTTGGAAACAAGGAACCATGGATGGAACCTATGAATAAGTTCCTGCTGTCCCACCGCAGTGAATTTAAGGACTTTGTGGATTCTATCTGCTCCATACCAGCGGAGCGCCCGGCTCAAATAGTCAACCCATCTTACGCCACGCCAATTCAGATTTTAAACCGCTTACCACCCACCTCGCGGGAAGGATTCCCAAGTCTCCCATTCTTGATTGATAATGCGAAAAGCTTTGCTTTCTTGGTTCGGTTATGGCTTGAATCCGCACCGCCGAATCTGATGGTCATGTCTGATATAGACGAAACTGTCCTTCAGTTCCATAAGCTGTGTCTTCAGATCCAACAGCGCACCAAGGATTGCCTCAACAAAGCCGAGCAAGCCGAACGTCCAAACGGAAATCTTGAGGTGAAATGGGAAGAACTTGTCGAGCAGTTTGAGAAGTCAAGCACATTCTATGAGGAGAGCTCGAGCAAGGCGAACACTCCCTCCGTGGAGACAGCGATGTCAAACGTTGCAGCAATGTCGGGAAACAATAGGAATTCGATTGGCTATTTTTCTAGGCCACCTTTCCAGCATAGAAATACGGATATGAGCAATGCAAGTGAAGATGCGGAGGATGACCCACGGTCACATGCAATATCAACAAACTGGGATCCTGGCCGGCCTAAATTCACGGTGCCAAAGTATTCAGAAGCCAGAGAAAGCGCTGACAGCTCCCATAACTCGTCTACGTATTCTCTGGAATATCCTGAGCAACCAAAAATCCGTCAATCTAGCGTTTCCAAAGAGTCCTCTAGCAAATACCGATTGTTTGATTTGGTGGGGAACTCTAGGCGGAAGGCTAGGGAAAAAGAATCCCAGCAATTCCTCCCATCTGACTTGGGTCCTCGAGATGAATATATATGACTTATAGAGCCGCCACCTTGACCATCTACAGGTTTGGCTGATATGGTAACTTGCAGCATATGATTTTATGAACTCAATACTCTCCTATCTATTCTTGTTACACCCTTTAGTTTAAGACTAGTATACACTTCTTTTCCCCTTCTGATGCCTCTCCTAACCGTCATGCATGTGTGAAGCTTAGATTTCTGCTTGTTTAGGCTCTATGATTTCGTGCACATATTTTATTTTAATGTTTCTCAACAAAAAAAAAAAAAAAAAAAGGGAAAAAGAAAAAGAAAAATTAGTAGGACATGCTGATTCCCACAAAGGCTCACAATGCCTGTCATCAATCCCGCCCCCAATTATCTTTCCTAATTCTATGGAGATTGGTGCATTTCTGAGGTGTTGGATACCCAGCGGTGAAGGGCTAGGGCTTGACATTTCATGACTTTGCCGATTTCATTGCTCTCCCTTTTGGTCACATTGACCATAACTTTTATGGAGGTGTCGGCGGCTGTATGATTAGCCCGAGTCCGTTCAGGCCCGGTGGTGGTTCTTGTATTTATTTGGTACAGCTTGTCGGTAGTTTTCTTTTGCCATGCAAAAAGGATGTTGATATTCATGGCTGGAGTATTCACATAAAGCATGTAAATTGATTGGGGTTGAAGCTTGACCTGCGCTGGTTTTATCAGGAACCAAAGAGTAAAAAGACAATGAAAATTATGCAAAACAGGTTTCTGATGTTCTTTGTGGGGATAATAAATCAATCTGACTGTTTGGTCCCTGGGCTCCAATTGCAGTAGAATCGGGTATGAAATGCTCTTCTCTGTGATGTTTCCAGTTGCTGAGGCAATGGAGGGTTTCCGGACCATCAACAGCGCCGCGCGGATTGTGAACAGAGGGGCGAACGCATCAATAGGCGGCCCTCGCTCCTTGACTTCTTCTAATTCCTGTTTGAACGAATTTTTTTTTTTTTTTTTTGTTTCCTTTCACTTGAGTTTCCTTTGTACCCAGGTCCTCTACTCAAGCTCCTTACTTACCAACCTAGCATTTGGCAATTTCTTTCCTTTTTTCGCACCCCCAAGAAGCGCGCCTTTTTCGCGTTCTTCCGTGTAGACCTGGGAGAACTTCTCGACAAGAAACAGCATTCCCTTTTTTTTTTTTTTTTTTTTGTTTTTTTAGCTCTGTTTTATTTAGCAAAATGGAGTTTTGAGCAGCGATGTTGCTCATATATTGCTAGAGATCTTTTTTCCTTCCTTTCTTTCACCCTCTTTTCTCACGCGACAGAAGCCCGGTACGTGCGAACCATCCTGTCAAATGCCTCAGGACAAGCTCGAAGGACCCAGATGACTGATGTTGAGGGTATAGATACTTGCATTAGATGCAGATATGTCGAGTTTGGAGTGGATATCATCACCCGAGCCGATCAATGAAGAGAAGGACCAGCAGACCGTTAGCCCGCCAAACTGCGACGACTTCGTTGGCGTTGTCATTCCCCGGCAGACTCTGAATACGTCTGCCTTTGAAGGCTTCGAACCCCCCTTACCGAAGTCCACAGAGAGAGACGCGATTGACACGTTACTTCGCGATTTCTCTAGCTACGAAATTTATGACGGATCTGAATTTCTTAGCTTCCAGTTGGATGACTTCAGCATTTATAAAGATAGAGCCACAAATGAAAGCAATTATGGCTTGATTGCACTTAATGATGTTGCGAAGGTTGCTGGAAGCCCGGTATTTTTCTTTGACGGGACTGTGAGACCCGAAGTTGTGGATGACCCTGTTTTTTATCTAGAACGCATCTCTTTTATGACTGTGTCCATTGGCGGTTATGAGGATTTGGAACGCCACGGCGTTGGGAATGACGTGTGGATTCAGTCTACCCACTGCAATACTAGAGGTCAAATATGGTATCGCCTTGGAAAGCCTGCTCGAGAATATGCGCCATATCATCACACTTTCCTGTGGGTGGCCAACCTCGCGAAGCACTTCGTCGATTATCTCAAAGAAAACCGCAACGTCGCACTATCCGCTTTCAAGTCCCACTTTCGCGAATGGCTATGGGAGCATCATCACCTTGATTCGACGTTTCGAGGATGGCTTGAGGAATTTGGGGGATCGGATTTCCGTCAGGCAATTGTAGCGCATGCCCCCTTTCTGCGTGGACAAGCGCTGGGCCTGGGTTCTGAATATGAAGAACACTTCCTCTGGGATGAGATAGGACTCTCATCAACTCCAGCTGTGCCTAAGCAGCCATCACGCGCCAAATATACAGTTGTGACACCGTATATTTATAAGTGCTTCAAGGATATGCCCTGGGGGCAATACTTGCAAATTGTTAACCTAGACTCTACAATGGCAGCTAGACATCAACAACTTGTCCACCGGATGGGATTCGTGCCAAGAAAGAGGGGAGTAGTGACTGGTTCCAAGGCACCAATCGAGCCGGGCGATGTGGTGGCAATCAATAGAGACAATCAAACATCATGGAAGGGTGATGATGACCTCTGGTATGCCCTTGTCCAACGAGTTTCCGGGGCTGGACATTATCTTAGTCTGATTTGGTTGTATAAGGCCACGGATACCTTATGCGCGGACCTCACATACCCACACAGCAATGAACTCTTTTTGTCAGATCATTGCAACTGCGGGGATAGTAAGATCAAAGTTACAGAGGTTGTGAAGAAAGTATCTGTGACCTTCTTCTCTGACAGGGCCATAGATACTGACTTTTTCGTCAGGCAGACTTACCACTCCGGAGATGAAACTTTCAGAACTCTCCATAAAGGAGATTTCGAATGTCAGTGCAGCAAATCGCAAGACAGGAAATATAACGTCGGCGACACGGTGTTGGTTGAAACTTCAGACGTACTTGAGCCTGTCGAAATTGTTGAGGTTAGCGGTGATGAAGTTAAAGTCCGCGTGCTCCTCCGTCGCTCCCGTGATTTCAATGATGACAGCTGCCGTCCAAACGAGCTAGTATATACAGGGCATTTTCGGCACATTCATCTTGAACAAATCAGGAGACGTTGCCATATCCGTTTCTTTTCGGAGGAACAGAGGGACAAAGGTGATATCCCAGCACCATATAATCGAGATGGAAATGGAAGTGCATTTTACATCACATGTGAAGAGAGTGCTCAAGAGCTACGCCCAATGACTCGACCGGCGAGTTTCTGCGATGGTTTTGATCCTCTTGAGGCCAAAAGAAAGCTACGCGCTCTCAATTTGTTTTGTGGCGGTGGCACCTTTGACAGAGGATTAGAAGAAGGCACCGCGATCAGAAGTGAATGGGCGGTGGAATGGGATCTACCGCCCATGTTGACCTATCGCGCAAATCATACAAATCCTGAAGAGGTGAAGCTCTTTCGTGGATCAGTGGATGATTTTCTGGCAGTGGCAATTAGAGGACAGAGGTCCGACCTTGTTGCAAAGCTTGGGCAAGTCGAGTTCATTTCCGCGGGAAGTCCATGTCAGGGATACTCTCTGGCGAATTCTAGGAAAGGCAATAAGGTATCGTTACGCAATTCATCAATGATTGCTTCTGTCGCTGCATATGTTGATTTCTATCGACCACAATATGCGATTCTTGAGAACGTACCTGCCATGGCGAGCAAGACACATGAAAGAAACCCCCTTTCGCAGTTGATATGTGCGTTTGTTGGCTTGGGTTATCAGCTTCGGCTCATGCACCTGGATGCATGGAGCTATGGAGCTCCCCAGAGCAGATCCCGTTTATTTTTACTTATTGCTGCACCGGGTCTTCAACTGCCTGAGCATCCTGCATTGACCCATTCCCATCCTATGGGAACAACACTTCGATCTCTTGGAGAAGCTCCAAACGGGTTGCCTTTCGGTGAAAGGCGCTGGGAGGTCCCCATTTTCAAATTCGTATCTGCGTACGAAGGAACTAAAGACTTGCCGGACCTTGACAGAGCGAAGATAGCGTCAATTCCCTGGCCAGACCACCGAACCTCTCGAAACGAGTCGAACATGACGCAGGTAATAATTGACCAGGTCCCTAAGCACCCTAGGAAATCAGGGTTCCCCGAGGCTATGACCAAGGGCTTTTTGAATTTTGATCCATTTCCCGGTGACATAAAGCGAAGAAATCCACCCTCGAGGGCTTGGAGTAGGGTGGATCCGAATTTCTTGATACCGACAATTACTACTGCGATTTCTCCTCACTGCAAATTTACTGGTCGGTGGCTCCACTGGCGCGAAGACCGCCTCTTAACGATTATGGAAGCGCGAAGGGCTCAGGGCTATCCCGATTCAGAAGTTTTGGTCGGGCGAGCCGCGCATCAGTGGAAGATTGTCGGGAATAGTGTTGCGCGTCAAGTAGCTCTGGCTTTAGGTTTATCGATCCGTGAAGCGACTCTTTGCAATCCACCGCTCCCACCTTACGGAGAAACAGAGGAGATCATCGAAACGTGCTTGAATAAGAAGAAACGAAAGCGGCGCCTCTCTGAGATCGTTGTAAACACTTCCACAGCCACTGTGGTGACAACGACTACGACAACTCGGTATCGGCTAGAGCAAGATTTATCGGTTGAAGATAGTAGCACTGGCATTTCGACATTAAGTCTTGGAGAACGGACGGGAACACCGTTCAACGACATCTCAAATCCTCTACAAGTGAGTTTGTCGCCACTCTCCAAGCCGTGGAATCCTATTTTGAAGACAGTAAAATCGGTGAAAGATGAGGGCTCTTCTAGCGAAGATCCCATACTCATTGATTGATTTGGTCTCCCTTGCAGTTCTGCAGGCTGCAGGCGTTGCCATTTTTCTTCGAGGCCAAGCCAAGGGGGCCACTGTCACGCTTTTCTATTGTTTTATCTTATATATGCATTTTGATAACTGCCGTTCATCATCATAGAGAATGCGATACTGAGACACCTGGAGCTCGGGTGTTATTAGCCATTTTGGAACATGTACTTTTACATTAAAGGATCGCTCTTTTATGTGCCGCCATAGTCGATCGACAAATATACGTGTTACTATATAATTCGTATCAGGTGCAAGGAATGCGAACACAGGGGATCCGGTATAGCTTCGCGAGGTCCAGCCTTTACATGTACTTCTCACAGTGACAAAACAAAAAAGTGGGAACCGCACAATGAATGAAGCTCTCTACATCCACAAGCAAACCTTCGCGCTCCCCGTACCTCCAACGACCCAGTTTTGAGTCCGATGAAACACCGCAACGGCCGGAACAGCAGTTATCACATCTGCACCTAACTGGGCCAGTTGTTCCCCTGTTGATGTGTATATGTCCACAAACCGGTTCATGTTTCCGATGCAGAATCGCTCAACGGGACTATCCGGGCACGCTTGCCATTGGGGGCGGAGACTGCGAGCGCGATAAAGACATGTTAATTCAACGCGGATTATAAGGGTGCAATTAGAGGAATGGAGAGAGCAGGGACGTACATCGTAACCCATTTTCCAGTTTGGCAATTGTGTCTTATCACAGCATCAGGCGCCATTTCGTCCTCCGAGAGTGTATGGTTTGGCTTCCAGTCTTTCAGACCTTTCGAAGCTAAGTCGTAGATTTTGATGGAGTTATCGTAAGAGGTTGTAGCAATTTGCCCTTTCTGGTTGAACGCTGCGTGGGAAACTGACAGCGAGCTTTCGTGTTCACCCACGGGCTTGGGATGCTTAGTGGAAAGATGTCGCAGATCCCACACTTTCATGGTTCTGTCTAACGATGCGGTTGCCATGTAGTGTGGTTGGGTAGGACATAATGAAAATCCTCCAATCTTTTTCTCTGAGAGCTGGTAGAAAGTGACAGCGGATCCATCGCCCGGGTTCGCTTTGCTGGACACTCGCATATCATGTCGTCCGAAGAATCCGTCTAAGGTAGTAAAGTAAAGAACATGGGGATCTGTTGGAGCCATGTCTATGCCTGACAATGGCTCATCATCAGAGCTAGAAGCCGGTGCATATGCTTCAGTTGCGACTGACTTTTCTAGATCCAGGGCGCGGATGGAGCTGTCATAGCTCCCGCTGTAAAGTTTTGAAGGGTCAGATGGGTGAATGTGCATGGCACTAATAGTGTTTGTATGAGGCTTTATAGTTGTGATTGTTGGGTCGGGGTATTCATCTTCCTCGTCGCTCTCATTTTGGTCAGGCTGCTGCGATGCGTCCAAAATACCCAGATGTCCAGTTTTATCACCAGCAAAAATCAAGGGCTTTGACTCAGTGGGATGAAATAACATGGAATAGATTCTTTCTCGCGTAATTTTGATTCCTAAAGAGAGTTAGATTTCCCGTAACGTGGAGAGACGGCGACAGCAAAGGAGGCATACGGTTTGGCTCCCAGGGCTCCCAGAGCTGGAGGCCGCTCATTTTCTCCCTCAATTCCTTTAATTCTTTATTTGTCGTCTTTTTAATGTCTTCTTCTCCAAATGTCCTTTGATATCTTTGAGCTGAATTGACGATGCCTAGCCCCTGTAATCCTGTCTCGTTCCATTTATTTTCTCCCACAACGATATCTCCCACGTTCAAATCCCCGGAGATTCGCATCCTTTTGGCTTGAGCGGCTGCTTTCATTGCTTGGTATTCATCCTCAGCTTTCCGCTTAGCGATCTCACTTTCAGCCGCTAACCCCCTGAGACGTGAGGACATTCGCCGTGGCACAGGCGGTTCATCTTCTTTCTTAACTCTCTTCGGCGCGGGTTTCTTCTTTGTTTGGGAGGAAGATTTCGAGGCAGGCGGCTTGGAGAATATGCCTGCAGATTGGGCTTCAAGTGTTAGTTTCTTCAGAAGCGCATCGCGCTCGGCGATATTCGCCGCGCGCTGCTTCTCGAACTCCGAGAGCTCTGGTTCCTCCTTGGTACGTGGCATGATTTTTCGTAGGCTCAACAGTTCTAAGGGAATTGATTATCACCAATAAATCCAACACACAGAAAAAGGGGGAAAGGATTTCTCCAATTGATACCCCGGCCGTCTCATCCCCAGCGACCTGATGAGAGCAGGATGCTGCCACGCCCAGTTCGCAAGTCGCGTCACGCCACACCGCGGTATCACGTGACTTAAAAAGGATTGGAAAAAGAGGTCTGATGAGTCAGCAAGTATATATCTCCAGCTCTTGCTGTGACCGAGAATTTTTGGGCTATTTGAGCTGCGCAAACGACAACTTGTAAGACGCAGAGCTCACATCGTTTCGCCTAGCAAAATGCGTCGCACGATTCCATCCAAGCTAATAAGTGCGAGCGCTGACTCCACCCTCCTTCCCTTCCTTTATTACACGCGAACAATCATAACCCCTAACCGCAATCACCGAAGCTCCTCCAGGCTATGGCCACTGGCACCGAGTCAATCGTGCCCTTATTCAACGGCTCGAGAATTATCTTCGGATGGAAAATTCAATAGAACCTCATTTCCCACAACCGAGGGTTGCGACTCAAGCAGCAATGTCAGTGAATCGACAGATTTCCCAGGCTATTTGAAACAACGGGCTTCAATTGTCCCTCTCCGGAGAGTAAAAGCGTCGCCTCGTTCAACTTTGACCGCCGCAGAACTAGAAATATTCAGTCGTCTTGCGGACAATCCGGTTGATGAATCTCGGCCTGGCAATAGACAGGGTGATCATCCTCGATCTATTCTACCAAAGCAAACATTGGAGGCCGGCTCTAATGACCCAGAAAAAGCTGAAATTACCTCTATTTTCAATTCCGTTGTTGAGAATTTGAATCAAGAATCCCCGCGGACCATTCAGATTGCAAATTCGAAAAAAGCAAATGATGAGATGGACAGTGCCGCCACCTCCGGTGGTAACCTCCACGATATCGCACCGGACTCCGCACAGTTTTCGAAAGTATACTCTAAACTACGTGCCTTTCGAGACAGTGTTGTCGACACTTCTACTCCGGAAGGCATACAGCATGCTGGAATTGATCCTTACCTTCTCGCGAAATTGATTGCGAAACGAGAGAGTTCTAAAATCTGCGAGGAACTCGATAACGCTGTTACTAATGGCAAGGGCGACATTGGGATTTGGCAGATTTGTGAAGATAAAATCTTTGCAATGCTAGGGATGCTCAGCCAGGAAAGCCTAGCATCACTCCCCGGGTTTCAAGACGAATGCAATCAAGGCGATGGACATGGACAGAAACGGAATGCCCTCAATAATGGTTCTGAAATTATAGGAAGCCCCAAGACTACAATCAAAGAGGCCAGTCCGCTTAATATCCCCGATAACGTACCTATCGCTCCCGTGGTTTTACACACGTACCCAACCGTACTTCTCCATGCAGCAAAACTGCTTCATAAACATTATCCCATGTCCCAGTTCAGCACACAATTACTCGATACTGTCAAAGCGCACGGGCGACTTTCTTTTCTAATGGGGGTATCGGCGAGCCTCTGCAACGAATTCATATCATTTAGATGGCGAGTATACAACGATCTGCCATACGTGGTATCAGTCCTCGAAGAAATGGAGGAGGCTGGAATTAAATTCAATCGGGAAACTCTTGAGATACTCGATAAGATACGCAGCGACCGGCGGGTCGATAAAATGAGACCAGGATCGCAGGATGATGAACAGGGCGATGGCACCTGGTGGTGGGAGTCGGAAGCCACTAGAACATCATATAAAGACCTAGTAGGCTGGGGCCGTGGTAAAGTCGGATGGATTACTCGGATTAGGGATCAGGTCAGGAAGGAAGCGGCGAGGAAGAAGAAAATGGCACTGCCTATTCACCAAATGTGACACAACCTTTTACCACAGTTGTGGCATGCATTGAATTCGTGCATTGTTTCCTAGTGTTTTCAAACTACAACATAGAATAACTTCCAGTATATGATTATTTTATAGGGTAAATATTATACATAATTACTCCACACTAGGGGATCACATTTGCATCTCAATAGACCTGAAGCCTGCATTTGAGGCATTCATACCTTCATTCCCCAACTCCTTCCAGCAGCAACTACGCTGCCAGCAACATATCCCATGTATCGCTTTACATCACTCAATGTATCCGTGACAGCATCTGCATCATTTATCCGGCGGTCAACAAATTCCATTGTGGCGCTAAAGCCCGGAGATACATCTTCAGTCATGTTTATATCCGCGCTAGCATAAATGGTAGCTACGGAAATGCGTCTTGTATACCACGACGCATCAACGGAACGGTCATTGGCAAGGTATAGGATATCAGAGGATAGCCTGTACAGTTCGCAAAGAGAGGGTGGAACATGTGGAGGGAGAGACATGATTGCTAGGGCCTGAGAATAGAAAAAGGAGTAAGCATTATTCCTACAAAATGACTTCGGGAAAGTACATGTAAAAGACAAAAGGCCAAATACTCACATCCTGCCAATGATGTATTATTTCCGTATTCATTTTTAATCTCTCCATGATCAGGGTCCTCACCCTTTGGTCCACCTCCGCAGGTGTGATGGACCCACCAGCATCGTCTTTCTGACCAAATATTTCACCACTTTCGACTTTCTGCTTTAATAGCCCTCTTCTGCTCGCCAACCAATATAACACCAATTCGAACTCGCCCCCACGAGGGAAAAGCTGCAAAGAAACATCCAAGTATCCCGCTTCCCGGGCTCCCATAATCACTGCCTTGGTTGAAAACCCATACTCAGGGATATGCTTCAGCGCAGTCGAAAGGATGGCCGATTGCTCAAGCGTGTAGGTATCCGCTGGCGGGTCTGGAAGAGGGTGGAATTCGGAGTGGTAGCTCCGGACATACTGTAAGGGAACAGGTCTGTTCTTTGGCCTGCGGAAGCATGTGAGAGAAGGATAGAGGTATCGGGAACGGGGGCACTGCGTCTGGAAGTAGCTGGCCTGTTTACAAAAGGGCCCGGAAGCTCCGACAGAAGGTATGCTTGTTCGAGGGCTTGCCGGCTTGGGCGCTATGCAAGCTATGGCAGGGCGCCGTAGAAGACAACCGGGGTGTGACATTCCAAAATTTTTTTAAAAGGATGTAAAGCGAAAAATTAACGAAGCTGCGTTCCTTTCCCCGCAGTGTACTTGGTAATTATCTCGCAAGGGTTCTCCGTAGTAATTAGCTACTCATAAAAATTCAGATCGATCCGTTAAGGTTGGCCCTGACCGTCACGTGGGCGAGATGTCTCGATTTCCGAATCCGGTACACCCAGCGACCTCAATGTCTTCTCGGCCTTCTTGGGTGGAATCCAAACCGTCAATTGCTCGAGCTGACTAGGTTATTTGCATTATGATGGAGTACACCCTTTGGTTACATGTGATCAATGCGTTTACTAGTATCTGACTATCCTAATATGAATGTGCGCCGCGGTACGGAGTGACTCTGGGTGACGCCAAATTTGATCGCACTGGCGGGTTGGCCATGGGTAGATTTTATGTTGCCTGCCTTTTTTGAAGGTTGCCGCTTTTATGTGATCCGGTACCCCATCCATGTTGCCGCTTTTGTTATTTTTGGAGCAACCTCCCAGAGCGCTTCCATCCAGACTCTATCAACACAAATTACACACATCATGGCAGGGTATACTTATATACTTTTTGGTATTCCACTGAGTTGTCTTTATTTTCTTTTCTATCTTTCATCTTTTATCTTTTAGGATTAGAGCTCTGTTTTACTATCTACCTCTTGCACTCCCAATTTATATCAAGACGGGTGCCATTGAACGCAAGGCTCGAAAGCCAAAGCCCAAGGGACATTATATGGACATCATCAGTCAACCATCACAGGATATCAAACCGAATCTTGAACCCTCAACGCTTCGAGCCATGCAGCGGGTGGAGAATAACTACAAGGAGTATGTCTCCATAGGCTTTCTTTCCCTTTAGTCGCTTTGATTACTTCAATTTCTCAGATTTGTCTTGGAGAACCTTAAACCACCCTGCCCAAATCACTGGCTTAAAAATTTGACCATTAATGTCATCGAGGCTTTCCTACGCTGGTATCTTGATTGTCATAATGTGGGATCCCTGCCAGGTTTCCTCGTGTTGGTCCGCTTCTGGAGGATATATTACTGCTACGAGCTGGATATGGATTTCCCTTATCATTTGAAACGAAAGACTAAGGAGGTGGGCCTCCAGATTATTATGCTATTTAATGATCTCATTTTAATTTTTCTTACAGTTAATCTGTACGGTTCTCAAGTTTGACTATGGACTCTGTGAGATGGCCAAACTTCAACCACCTATCAACCCAGATGATCTTTTTGCTCTTTTGTATCATGCTGTTGCTATATCCCAGGTGTACTTTCCAACCCAGAGGCAAAGAACCCAGCATGGGACGATTCGGAAAATGATGACAGGTACATCCGCTCGGCCTGGAACACTTCTTGAAAGCTCAGGGTATTGCCGAACAAATGATTCACTTCTCTGGGGAGATATTGAGCTTTTCATGGTTATGGATCCTGAACATCCAACCTGTCAAGTCCTCCTTATGAGAGTAAAACACCGTCTCAATAAGCGCAAGAGAAACAAGGGAGTACCGTAACTCTCACCCACTAAACTCTTTAAGGTTTTATCACTCACCACTTGCTCTAGGCCAATCTACTCCTATACTGAGCGAAACGATAATCTAGGATACTGTGTGATTCAAGACATACTAGATTTTGCATTCGAGGATGATGCTTTTGCAAGTGAATACATCAAAGAACCTTGGGATATCTGGCGGCATACCAAAGTCCCGGAACACAGGAAGAGCGTTCCAATCCATATCAAGAAGGAAATGTGGAGAATACTGGTTTTCCGACCTGGAGTTCAAAATGAAGAGGGAAAATGGATCACCCATCCAACAAGAGCTCTAACAGCAAAACAATTTGGTGAGGATGAAAACAATCTTTCTCGAGCCACCGGCATGGAGAAAGTTGGTGGGGTCATACAAGTACAGAAAAGGGGCAGCTGAGGCATTTGATAGTCAGTAAAGCACATCAAATATACATGCCTGCGAAATATCTAACCACAACTCCAGAAAATTTGACTGAGCACCAGCACAATCATGTCATGGGCCATACCAAAGGCGAGATCTTCCGCGCATATGTGAACCCTTACGCGGGCGACACACAGTCGATATATCTAGGAACACCAACCAGCGAAGCCCTGAACAAATTATCCACTCATGCAAGCCTTACACGCGACCCAGCTGCACCACAGTGTCTGACTAAGGAGCAGAAGGAAGCGGTTGAGAACTATCCAGAGCTAATTCAGGCTAAGCAAGAGCATCACAATTGTAAACAACAGCTAGTCCTATGGTATGGAAAAATACAGAAGGCAGCGGGAACTCTAGAAGCGCAGGAATATGTGAAGATTAATTGGTTAGTTCGAGCCACACACAAGAAACTGCAGAAATGTGCCTTCGAGCAAGTATATGATGAATACTTTCAGAGTATTGGCAATACCATTATCAAACAAAATTACTGCCGCCAACCTATCAGGTTCGAGACCTGCTGGAGGATCGGATCAAGTCACTGGAGCTTCATCTTGAACTCCATCATCTCCATGTCCCCAAAAACCTGTTAGGAAAAGTTGTTCCAACGGAGCTGGCGCGACATTGTCCATTTCCAGTCAACTTTCCTCCCCAAAGCCCGACTGGGCTGCAATGCCCTGAGTGTCTAAGCAATGGAGACTATCACCCAGCAGCGCGGCAGTTTAGTTTCGCCAGCAGATATAACCTGAAGGATCACATTGACTGCATGCACCTAGCAAAAAAAGACTTCTTGAAGGTGGTGATGTGCGGTTATCCTGGTTGTAAGGAAATTGTGACTTCTAAAACACATTACTATCATCATATAGTTACTGTACCTGGCATCCAGCTCCCTGGTGCATGAGTTTCAATTATGCTGGCTATCGCATAGTTAGCTTGTATTCTAATGGAAATTATTGGCATGGAAAATCTGCAGCAGTTTTTTTTTTTTTTTTTTTTTTTTTTTTTTCAGTTAAAAAGCCCTTTGTAAAACTACTGAAGCGGGAAGGGGGCTGCACATTAGGCGGCAGCTAGCAGAAAAATAGGGAGGAAACAGCCAAAGGTATTCATTCTCAGTGGCTAGCTAGGAACAAGAACAAGAACAAGCACATAAGACATAGGAACAAGCAGTAGTGAACATAGGGAAGAAGGGAGCTCTCGACAGGTAAGAACAGGCATTGAAGTCCAAAGAAGAAGGCTGATGCTCCCAAATAGGGGTAAGTGGTGGTGGCGGAATGGGGCGCACTGTAGGGGATAACATATGCCAAGAAAGGGGCCCGAGGCACATGCAGCAGGAAAATAGATGGGCCCGGATCCCCATGACACATCAAAACACCGTCTAAGAAGAGGACCGCATCATCGGCCAAGCCTGGAGACCAGGAGGATATAAAGTGGCGGCGACGCCATTACAACAAGGATGTGACTGAGTTTGGGATTATCAGAGAGTAGGGGATATGGCACCTCAAGCAGCCATGTAGCAAGGCAACAGGTTAGGGACAGGTATCTTTAATGACAAAATGCTTCCCCACCACCTTATAGTAAGATTCCAGGATGCCACTCTTCAAGTTCCCAGCAGATGCTTGGTTTATGAAGAGCCAATTCAAAAAAATCCTGGAATTTTTTGAATTCTTTGTGCTTCCTGATGATCGGTGATGAAACAAGTCACCTTATTTGGTGAGAAATCTGCGATCCGAGAGCGTTTGTCACTTATAGTCCGCTGTACTCTAGATACCTTAACATTGCAAAAATCAACCTTGATGCCTCGTACATCTGTCGCCTGTATGTGGTGACGATGATCCACCTTCATAAGGAAATCCTTGAAACGTTTCGCATTATCAGTCAACACTGTGTACCTCACGTGTCGATCTGCCAGATGCCATTCCGCACCATGTCTGCGAGTCGTTCACAAGCCTGCTACTCCTCCTTGACAGGTGAGTTTGCTACTGCCGAAAATATGCAGTTCAGCAGTGTTAATTTGATACAGCGCTGAGTTCGGACCATGAATTTTTTCGTTTTACGCGTGGCCGATTCATTCAAAATGAAGCTCATGAAATGGCGCAGCGATACATCCACTTTGACGTTGAGGAGTTAGCTCGTGTCGGGGCGGCGGCTGTTGGTGCCAAATCTTGCCTCAACATCAAGAAGTACCCTGATGGCATGTACAATAAAGCCTTTCTGCTTACTATGGACAATGACATGCAAGCTGTGGCGAAGATTCCCAATCCTAATGCTGGGCTTCCTCACCTTACTACTTCCAGTGAAGTAGCGACGATGGAATTTGTACCTACCTATTTTTCACCCCAACTATTGAGTCCATGTTGATTTATTGTTAATAGGTGCGAAGCGTATGCAAAACTCCTGTTCCCAAAGTATATTCATGGAACTCGAGACCAAACTCCGTGGGTGCGGAGTATATCATTATGGAGAAAGTTCCCGGCGTGCCGCTAGATTCAGTCTGGCCTAACATGGAAATTGGGGACCGCCTCGCGGTAGTAAAAAATATTGCTCGGTACCAAGAAGCGTGGATGTCTGTTTCGTTCGATCACTTTGGTGGTCTGTACTTTGCACAAGACCTCGACGGATTTAGACATCAAAGCATGTCTTACGAGAAAGGAGGGGTCACACTATTGGATGGAAGGTTTGCCATCGGGCCATCCACGGCCAGAGAGAATGTTGATAATGGGAGGAGTACCATTCAATTTGACTGTGGACCGTGTAAGTCCCTTCATTATGAGTTGTGAGACCCTCAAATTAAGAGAACATAGGGTCGACAGTGGTAGAGTACCTTACAGCCATAGGCCGCCGAGAGATCGCCTGTGTGAAAGCGCTTCCAAATTTGCCCAAATCGCCAATTGCACTGTATGGGCCAGGGACATACCAGCCCACAAGAGCAAGGAAGCTCAAAGCTCTAGAGAGCTATCTCACCATGATCAGATATCTGTGTCCAGTTGATCAATCTATAACATCATCATGTCTCTGGCACAGTGATCTCCACGTCGAAAACATCTTTGTGGACTCTAAATCCCCCACAGAAATTGTCGGAATCATTGACTGGCAATCTACTGAGCTAGCTCCGTTATTTAATCATGCACGCCAGCCTCACCTTCTGGATTACGACGGCCCCCAACTTCACAATCTCAAAAGGCCTAGCTTGCCCGAAGATTTACCCAGGCTGGACATTGAAGCCCAAAGGGAAGCCAAAGCTCTATACTACAAGCAAGCCTTATGTTCGTTATACAGAACATTTGTCCATAAAACAAATCCACGGCTATACCGCGCGCTAGAATACAGAGAAAGCCCTAGCTTTGACCTACTGCTCCTTGCTCGAAACCTTCTGATCGACGGCGAAGCAACCTACCTCGCTCGGATTGTTGAACTGGAGGGCACATGGACAGACCTTCCTGGTGTTGCAACCTCAGAAGGCAAAGATCGTCAGTACCCATTCTCCTTTTCTAATGAAGAAAAAGCAGAGATTGAAAGAGACCTGAATGGATCATCACTCGGTATGCAAGCAATGCAGAGCATCAAGGACAGCCTTGGGGATTTGTTTCCGGAGCAAGGGATTGTTAGACCAGAGCAGTATGAGAAGGCTAAGGATGCTCTGTGTCACGCCAAGGAATTCATCATAAGAGAATTCGCCCGAAACCAAAATGAAGAGAAGGCGTGGGAGGAAGAATGGCCATTCAGTAGTTGATGCTAAGATTAAATCTTTTTTGGGATCAAGGTGGTTGGTTGGGTGAGAGGACAAATGTGATATCCAAAGTGCTGGTGCAGAGGCTGATTCTCATTTTAGTTGGACTGCCAAGATGCTCTTTGAATGGCGAATGCCCGTTTCTGGTGGCAAGGCATAAGATTTAATTGGCTGGGCTGGCCAAGTTCCGCCCCTGCAACATGGGACCTGTATCCCTGAGTCAGGCCTGCTGTTTAACATCAGCTTCTGAAACGTCAATGGCTCAAGCATGTAGGCAGCAGTCGGGATGATAGGTGGGAAGCGAGGGCATGCACTTCATACGCTTCGACCCTCGTGAGGGGTTACGGCGGGAGTATATTTAAGGGGCTGTCCGCCAGATGTCAGTCCTGGTTGTCCATTCACCATTCATCCATCTATGAAACTCCATTCTTGGTAAGTGAAACGGTGCTCCTGATATACTCCGCGTGCTAAGAACCGACGTTATTGCCTCACAGCATACCATCACAGAATATCGAACCTATTAAATCATTGTCATCCGATAGTATGAGCCGTCAAGTAGTTGACTCCCTCAAAAGGCTCCGGAACTAGGTGTTTGCCGCTCCTTCCCGGGTGAGCAAGATTGCGACAGGAGAGGGCATTGCCGGCACCCGAGCGGCCCCTACGCAAAGCGGCAATAACGATACAAGCATCGGCGGCCGTCTTGACCATGGCGAGACCTACGAGAAGGACGGAAAACGATATAAGCGATATAATTCCAGATAAACAAAATCGCCGACAATCCAACTCTGAGACAATTTGCAAACCAAGACAGCCACCGTGTTTGGGCTAAGGCGGACCTAGAAATAGGTACGATACCTGACAAAGAAGCCGTGGAAAAGCTATTCGATGATATGCAGTCGGGCCTAGAGCACCAGTAGTATTGCAACTAGGGGCATGCAAACCACGCACTACCACTGTAGCACACTCTCTGAGCTCTCAGCGCGCGATCTCTCGAGTTTAGTCTAAGCAGTATGGCAGGAAGCGACTCCATATACAGCTCTTTGCAATTTGGGGACGAAACGAAGCTAAAACAGATGAGGGTGAAACAAGCTCTCCACTGTCAGCTGTCTCGCTGGCATTGCTTGTCCGAAATCGAGGTTTCTACTGGGCACAGGTTATATCCTCGAATCAGAGTTTTATCCTTGGTTAGCATTCCGTGGATTAAAGCCACAGCACTGCTACGAAATGCGGGAGGTTGACTAGCTAGGTGTTTGATTGGTACGCAACCTAGCTTAAGTTATTTTCCAAAGTCGAAAAGTTGATACTGGCTGCATAATTATTTGGACAAGCAAGTAAATCAGAGCAAATTAGCAAGAGCCATTCATTTGACTGCTGCGGTATCTTTAGCTGACATGTGCATCCAAGCCTGGGTTTGCCCAATCTTAGCCAGCCTGCATAGCAGCATTCGTGAGTGTTACGATCCGGAACGAGGCTGGGCCTGTGCGTAGACTGCAAGGTCAACTTCGCGTAAAAAGCCACAGCTTGGCGCCGTTCTGCTGTGGATAATATGCCTTTTTTTGTAAATTGCTGGTGGGTGTGATCACCTTTTTTGGGACCAAGAGTACTCCGTACTCCGTATACAGATCATATACATAGGGGCAGGTGGCGCGCCAGAATGGGGTGGTTCTGCTGAAGACAAGCCATTTCCTTCCACGAGTGCATCCGATTTCTTCAGTATGGCTGTGGGATTGGATTGCGTCTCAATAATAAGGTCAATACCCTTGGATGCTCAACCTTGGCAAATATTTGCAAGGACTATTAAATATTAAACCCGACCGTCATCCAAACGTCGGAAAAATTTTTTTTTTTTTTTTTTTTTTTTTTTTTTCCCAGAAACAAGGCAAGCGAAGAAAAGGAGCTTCATTTTATTTTAACACAGCAGCATCGTCATTCTCGTACGAAACATTCCATGCCTTTGTACGACGAATAATCATTATATCCGATCCCGCCGACGATGGGGTGTCTGACCCCCGTTGACGTAGACGCCCTCGTGGTATACTCTCCAAATTGTCGATTTCGTCACTGCCACTTACTATTTCCGCATTTGCGGAGTATTTCGTTCTGTTTAGGTTCGAGAGAGCATATCCGTCACTATGAAGCGAGGTATCCACTCCTCTTGTGTCGAACCAACCGGTGTTGAAGGCTTTGACGAATGGTTTTAAGCAGGGAATCGTTGCTGCCATCAGTCCATAGTGCAGCGCAGCTTCTAAGAAGACCGAGGAGTCGGCCCCATAGAACAAAGGATCGTTACGCACGGATTCCCGCCACAGATAATATAATCTGAAGGCAATGATGACGAAAACGCTATTCGAATTAGTGCAAATTCCGAAATTCCATGAAAAAGAGCAGACAGCACCACACTCACGGGAGACGGAACGAGAATGCGAAAAGGACGACAAATTTCGCCTTCAGTCTCATTCTCAAACTCCAAACCAGATATATAGGGATCCAAGCTGCAATAAGCTCCACGAAAGTTCCCAAACCCTCGATGATATACCAGCGAGTAGTCTGCACATTTTGTCACTTCAGTCAATCCAGCCAAGTCCGCATTGAAATTCGGATATTATAAACTCGTACCGTTTCAGAGCATTTCGGGACAATCCTCCATGGTGCGAAATTGCATCGCAGACCGAGAACAAACATTGATACAAAGCCCAGTACTCCTGTTATTAACACCCCGACATACGCAGCTCGTGCATGGTGTGTCTGACGGGTGAGTCGTGCAATAAGCAAAAAGGACGCCGCTCGAGACAAAGCCATTCCGGCGATATATAATATGTCCCCTGCAAAGCTCAGCTGTAAACCAGTTAAGCCTTACCCACCAATGTCTATCGAGCCGGGTGAATTTCCCACCTTTCCTATGGCCTCTATATCATCTAGGCCTACAGCATCCGTTCGCTTCCCAAGTCCATGCCTCGCTTCCGATATTTTCAGCGCAGATTGGATGACAGCAATGATCTGTTACAGCGAATGTCCACAGAACGGATTGAATTAGCAACGCTGCTTTGTTCAAAGCTTTCCATAAAATAGAAGGAAAGGGTCTGGTTCACCGATCCAGCAGCAACGGTCCAGTCATCCGCCCCTAGAGGCCCATTTATGGTGAAGCGCATTACCAGCCTCGCGATAAAGCACAGAATCGTATAAGTCATAAGAAGGGCCGCGAAAACAACGACGTATGGGCCATGCTCGTCATCGCTGATATGATACGGTCCCCTCGCCATGAGGCTTGGACCAGACAAGTTGGGCGTTTGGTGGCGATTCGACGTGTAGCCAGTTCAATGCTCCAAAGAGTCAATGGACAAAGTGGGCTCTAACTAATGTGGCGCCTTTTCCATCGTTAAAATTGAAGAGACAAGGTATCGAAAGGGTTTTTGGTACCAATTCCTTCACCCCTCAGTAGCTGAGAAAATCCTTGTCCAGGCGCACATCAAAATCACGGTGCTATTCGACTAGATATGCACTGAATGAACAGAAAAGCCTCTCATCCTTATAGCGTGGAAAGTGATGTCGGACCAAACTTTGTCAGATTTCAAATGCTGGCCTGATATATGGGACGAAAATCTCCGGGAGTACTTCTAACTTCGTATCGCCTTATATTTCTGAAAGGGTTTAACTAGGCCATAAGGCTCTTGATAGTCCCATTCGCATGGCGGGTGTCGTGGGAAAATTGAGGGCAGATGGATATCCCGACTTGCGAGTTGATTGACAGCGACAAGACCTCGCCTCCACAGATCTTTCACGAAACAGTATTTGGGCAGGCGTAGATCGGCTCGGTGCGGCGAAGAATGTGTACATGGTCTTGTCTTCTTTGGCATGGACTCTTTTCGAGCCATGCTAACGCGGAACGAGCAAATGCTGGGGCTTGCCAAGTGACGCTGCTCCCATGCATTCAGTCGGCTGAGGATTTGTGCAAGGGGATGCTGGCCCGAAACATATTTCACCCGTCTTCCAGTCCCTTGCATCGATTTTCAATTGGACAACTTACCGGTCCACGAAATTCAAAAGAGGCCGGCGGAATATACACATTGGCAAGTCACCTTTTTTTTGCTCGTTTTCCTTGGGTCTCCTGCTTTTCAACCGAGGCACTCTCGATTAAGCTCCACTCCATGATGGCGACGGTGGGCTAATTAACTAGTTGCTAGTTAACTAACTAACTAACCAAGTGAGTTAAGTGACTAGTCGGCTCGCTCATCATCCACCCTCCGCATTTTTGCTGCCGTAGCATCCCCTTTGGCCCACATTTTAGCTGCGGGAGGCGGTAACTAATAGCCACTGCCTGGTTGAAGGCAGGTTCGTCCCGAGAAAGAATCGAGAGCGACAGTGATGGTATGTACTCCGTACGGAGTACTCCGTACAAAGAGTCCGATTAAGTTGGTCCTAATAATAATTCTTAAGCCTGTTTCAGCCTTCCTTAGGGAGCTTCACCAGCCAGGCTCTAAGGTACTGATGTCGAGGCTCTACTAAGAAACAGCCAACCGTCACAGCGGCATGAAGGCACCTTTTGCGATCGCCTCGCCGTGGCATTTGGAATTACGAGCTTCAACGTTATCCAGATCCCTGCAAGAGTCAAACCCTGCAATAGCGAAATTCAAGGGCGGACTGGGAAAAGGTTTCATTCGATTCCACAGATAAGCTGACCAATAAGTTAACAAACGGTTAGATATCTCTTCCCAGCGGGCGTGCTACCATGACTGTACGGGAAACACGCTAGAAAGCGGATTTCTGTGGTTCTAAGCATGCTTTTGAAAACAACAAGTGACGGAGCCTCGTCACTAGTTTGTTGAGTTGATGCTAACACGCGCACCATACGCTACTGATCATGCCATGTCCAGTTAGAAAAGCTAATGCAGGTATTGTCTGTGTGCATCTTCAGACTTCTCCTGTTTCGATCTGATCGCAGCGCTTTGGAGAGGCAAAAGTTGTTGATCCCCCGCTGGCTTCTCTTTTGTCTCCGTAAAAAGTGGGATGCCGCTCGTTCTTTGGCTTCTCTTGAGGACCATCTCTTCCTTTTTCAGATTTTCCTTCACTACACAGTACCTCCCTTCTTAGACCATCGGTGTCTCGAGGTTCTGGACTCGATTTAACGATAGACTTTTGGAATCTTCAGCCTTGGAAAAGGTGCCCTTCTAGGCTTTCTTCTCATATTGTACCATCATTAGAGAAGACTGTGCTTTGAGCTTTTACGATAATACTAGCAATTGACCTCGATATCCGTTAGCGTCTACGCTGGTTTCATTTTTTTTCTTGGGAGCTTTCCTCTACCTGCGACTAAGCTCTTCTTTATTTTCAACGGAGATATCTGGCACAAGCACGATATTCCCAGCTGTACAGGCGATGAGAGACGGACCAGTCATCGAACAAGGGGTTGACCCCAAAATTGACCATATCCACCTAAGTCTAAGCACGGTGGACGATGCTACTCATCGAGATCGAAATGACATGGCACGAATGGGGAAATCCCAACAATTCAAGGTAAATAAATACCTTCCTAAGGTATTCCCTTCACAGGAGGGAATCAAAGAAATGCAAGGTGATTGAGCCGGGGCCATTGCGGGCAGTTAGCTAATGGTAACCCAGAGGAATTTTCGTTTCATGTCGACACTCGGGTTTACTTGTACACTGATGGCAACTTGGGAGTCTGTTCTACTGTGAGTGCCTATTGTTGCTTATCCAGCCATTTTCTTATACTTACTTCCCGAGAATAGCACTTCAAATTTGGGCCTGGTGAATGGCGGTCAAGCCGGGATGGTGTACATCTATATCGGGACATTTGTCGGCTTCCTTTTCTCGGTGATTTCAATGGCCGAGATTGCATCACTGTTTGTGCTCCCTACTCAAGTGCGTCTTTGAGATTCGGAAATGCTAACATAAGGCTAGCTCTCCTACATCTGGCGGTCAATATCATTGGGTAAGCGAGTACGCAAGCCCTAGATATCAAAAGTTCTTAAGTTATATCACAGGTATGTGAAATTCGGTAAACCATAAAATTCCGCATAAGGAAAAGGTAGCTTACGAGGCAAATAGGGTGGCTCTCCGTACTAGGGTGGCAAGGTGGATTTGCTAGTATCACCTTCCTCTGTGGCACTCTAGTCCAGGGGTTTATTGCATTGAACAACCCAACTTCCTATACTCCTGAGAGATGGCATGGCACTCTCCTGACTTTCGCAATTGCACTGTTTGCCACTTTCATCAACACCTATGCTGCAAGTCAGTTACCCAGTCTCGAGGGCTTAATTCTCATTCTCCATATCTTTGGCTTCTTTGCTACAATGATCCCTCTCTGGGTAATGGCTGAGAGGGTGGATGCCAAAACCGTTTTTACTGAATTCAGCAATATCAGCGAGTGGCCAAGTACTGGCTTGGCCGTTTTGGTAGGGCAGATTGCCCCAATATTCTCATTCTTGGGTAAGTTGTGTTTCTTTATTTAGCAGCATGCGTGGTATAAGCTTATTCTCCATGTCCATTTAGGGCCTGACGGTGCTACGCATATCGGTGAGTTGTTATCCACCCGGCTAACAGTCCGGATCCGGCAACTAATTCAATTTTCTCTAGCTGAGGAGATTAAAGACGCTTCAAAGATCGTCCCTTGGTGTATGGTTGCGACTGCCCTCATCAATGGCACTCTTGGTTTTGTGATCCTCATTACATATCTCTTCACGATGGGTGATCTAGACACAGTTCTTCACCCACCAAGCGGCTTTTCTTTCATATCTGCATTCAACAACGCCCTGGGTAGCGCAAAGGGAGCTACAGCCCTTGCTTCGCTTATCCTCGTCCTCGAAATCTGCAGCGCCATTAGTATTTTAGCAACCTGTTCTCGGCAGGCATTTGCGTTTGCCCGCGATAACGCTCTACCTTTTTCCAGTTTTTTCGCCAACGTCAACCCCAAGTCCAAGATTCCCGTCAATGCGGTGATGTTCACCACCACTGTCACCCTTCTTTTATCGCTAATTAATATTGGCTCAACGGAAGCATTCAACGCCATTGCCTCTCTAACCGTAGGATCTCTCTATCTCTCATATATTTTATCCATTGGAGCCTTCATCGCTCGCCGCCTGCGACCCGAGCCGCTGCCCCGAGCACGGTTCAGCCTCGGAAAATTCGGACTACCGATAAATATATTCGCGTTCTTCTATCTGTGCTTTGCGATCGTCTTCACTTTTTTCCCGGGTCAGCGCCATGTCACTCTCCAAAATATGAACTGGTCGGTTTTGGTCTGGGGGGTTGTGGTTGTCTTTGCCATTGTCCAGTACATGGTCCACGGCAGGAAAGTATACGAGGGCCCCGTTGCATATGTTCAAAAGGCACAGTAATGGAGTTTTGAGGGTTTCCTATTTTATTGTTTTACTGCTCTTGCAATCATTTAGCTACACGGGGTTCTTAGCGCATATGGACATTGAAAAATGAACGTATATTTCACGATACTCTACCCCGTACTCCGTACAGATGCATGAGAGTAGGAGCAGAAGTCGTTTGCAGATGTAGGAACACTTTTACAGCGCCCACTACGGAATATTTCGACTGTTATTATTCCTGAAAATGGCGTATTAGGCAAGCCGCAGGCAAAAGGCACCACGGCTTTTATTCCGCAGCATGGCCATTGCGCTAAGACTTTCAGCAAGCCATACGGAGTACATAAGCCCTGGACACGAGCAAGGAATATAAACTCGCGAGTTATGGCGGTGGACCTATCCTCATCTCTCTCTTTCTCTTCCCTGAATTCTTCTCGAAAGGAGGAGGAAGAAAAAAAAAAAAAAAAAAGGAGGAAGAAAAAAAGAAATCGAAAAGGGGCGAGAAAGAAGATCAGCCGCGAGATTGGCAATGCGAGTATGGTTGACTCGAGCCACGAGCGACGATCTGCAGGGTTCCCTCGTCGCGTGCGGGCTTGGCTGAGTTAGATGTTCCCAGCTAGTTATATTTTCTTTTTCTCTTTTCTTTTTGAGGGGAAGAGGAATTTCCAACAGAACAAACCCTCCATGATGGCAAAAAATGGATGCCGAATTTCCAGCTTGGATGAAATCTGACGAATTTCTTAACTCGGACATAATGATCAATACACGCTAATATAAATACACAAGCAACAACAGAGTACGCCAGTCACTTGTCAGGATGTTGGGTTTTCATCACCCGCAAGTCCAACGTCTGCATTGCCTTGCTCCATCCACGCCCTCGACACGTGGTATTATGCGGGGTACACCAAAGCCAGGGGATGAATGAGAGGTGTACCATGCTCTGTACCTTGTGATCGGCATCCTGGGTTTTCTCCCGAGCCACCCATATTCTCCAGGACATGAGACGACCAGGAGGAAACCAAGTCCTGTGGGCACCCCGTAGGCAAACTGAAGACCATCCAACACACAGTCTTACTCGTCGTTGATTTGAAGCCCGGCGGCTTAATTCAAGGAATGGTCGAATACGCGGATGCTGAGTATGGACATGTAGGATGTTGCATATTCGGCTCATGACGGCTACTTCGAAGGGATCCCTAGATATGACGTCCTGTCTATTTTTGGATTAATTGCGTCTAAGACATTTAATTTCATCAAGGACATGCGTCCAAGCGAGGATTAGGAGAGCATACAAGGGTTGATCAGCCGCCCGAGTACAGTGACAGCATCGGCGTTCTGCCTATATGGCTAGGATCAAGACGGAATATTGGGGGAAGCTTGTGTATTAACGGGAACCAGCTCACACGCAGTCCAGAATAGCACGCACAAAATCCTCATATAACTGAGCTGTATGTCCACAGCCCACTTTATCTCCGCGAAATGCAGATAGAACCATGGCTGTTGTCTGGAACACATCCAGCGCCTCTATTGGCATCCTCTGCATCGAGATGGTTGGTGATATTGTAATATCTCCGATGGGCCCAGGTATACCAACTTGCCGCCAACAGTTGAAGAGCCCTCGAGGCCTAGCAACTACCGTTAGCTCGTCGTTGCAAAACCGATGGAACGGAAATTGGTGCCGTCCGGCGATACGCTTCAGGCTGCCTCGATTGTTCACCGTCAGCCCAAGTCTTCCCGTTGAATGCTGGCCAGGGAAAGTGTGAGATGGATTGAAGTAGCCTAGGTCACCAATGGATATTCATTGATATTTTTCCACAGGCTAGGGTGTTGACCAAGCGCTCTTCTGGTCCATACGAGGTGTACCGCCTTCATCCGTACCTTGCATGTTCCTCTTGCGTAATGGGGCTCGTTATGCAGCGAATGTACCCAGATATCCAAACAAAGTATCCAGTCAATTGGTTGGGAGCCCGGGGTCCAAAGAAGAGGCAGACTTTGTAGGATAGACGGGACCAGCTGGCTCGAAAATTGCCTCTTATCCGTCCATGTTGCCGTCCCCTCCCTTTTTAAATGTGTTAGCAAGTGCAGTAGTTTCGGATTTTAAACACCATTGAAAACCTATATACTCATGGATTACTGATAAACTTGTGCCTGGTATTTACATTCAGCATTATACCAGGCACAAGTTTATCAGTAATCCATGAGTATATAGGTTTTCAATGGTGTTTAAAATCCGAATCTAGAGTATACAAATAGCATCAGCGAGCCGCGAAATCACAGGCTGATAAGTCCAAGCAACAATCCATAACGGTCTTAAGATACTCTCTCCTTCTGACACGTACAGGATTGGTGGGAATCACACCTGGGTAGACCCGTGGAGCGGGCGTCCTCTCCGACGTCGCTATTTTTTGTGGACTTCGACGGAGCAGGTGGTCATGATGAGGGGGCAGTCGTCGCTGTTTGAAACAATCAACAGTGATGGGTGTACAAGCCATTGTTGATGATTGCAGCATAGAAGATATCAAGAGAATTGATGCGAAACAGTCATAACCCGCACAAATTGGCAAACCGCAGCTATTGACAATTGTATCACCCAGCAGCCATCTGATCCACATATTGTCTAACTACAGCATTTGGCTGACTGGTCTAATTAAATCATCCGTGGTTGATGATTGCTCGAGAGACAGGCTTACCGAGCGTTTGTTAGGGGTTAAGGGCGGGTTATTTGGGGCACGTAGGAAGTTTGGGGTTGCCTGTTGGGGTGGCTAGGAATTGATGTTTTAGGGCAGGTCCAGGAGGGTCTCTAATATCTTCGGGGGCAAACTCAGGCTTACCTTTAACGAGCGGGTTAGTTAAACGAGCCACGCAAATTAAAGATTTGTGTCTTTCACAGAGATCAGCAGCACTCTCATTCGGAGCAGAGCGACCGATAATTCTCCATCAGCTTCAAGAAGCTACCATTTTCCGCTTTGGCAGTGTCCAGGATCCGTCGACCCCCGACGTGTCGATTTCAATGGGATTTAACCAACAGCCTGACGGTGGCCAAAGTTGATTCGAGCCTCTGGAGAGCGTTATCTAAATTTAACTGCGGAGCAGGAGGACTCCTCTTTGAGTTACATACTCCGTATATCTTAACAAAACACAGGCCAGCGAAATTCACGCTGCCATTTGGCCAAGTCTCAAGGCGGACGCAAGCAAGAGGACGCCAACTCAGTCTGCAACGAAATCTTATCCTGAGTGTGGATTAAATACTCCCCCTGGAGTACAGTCATATGTTCAGACATCTAGTCTACGAGGAGCTTGTGCGGAGCCCGTCCAAGGCCACAGGAGTGCATAATGTATGAGCATACATATCTCACCACAGTGTGCGATGACGTTCGAATGAACGCCTTGTCTCCACTACTATATTTACCCAGGCAGCAATTATTACCTACTAGATATAAGAAGGCTGAGTGAAGCTGGCGCTTTGTCCCGCTTTCGTCTATTTCCTAAATGATAAAAACTAGCATTTCCCTACATCATCTCGACTAAATACCCCAAGAATGTGGTTGAGCAACAATAGAAAGCCGGCGACTACGGGTCCGCCGGTCATCTTGGAGACAAGTTACACTTCCAAAGAGGTCCCCATCCCGGATACGTTCCTCACCACTCCGCCGCCAGATGCCGAGCCAATCACCGCGAATATTATCGATTTCTCTTCGTCTTCGTTGCCCGAATATAAAGACTATTATGCGGTTATTCTCGACAATGTCCTTAGTCAGTCAGAATGCGCCCAGTTGCTTTCCCTAGCGGAGCAGAGCGTAGAGACTGGTGAGGCCTGGAAACCTGCACTTGTCAGTGTTGGCCCAGGGCGCGAAGCATTAATGACAAACTACCGCAACTCGGACCGAATAATTTGGGATAATGACGTGATTACATCTCGTCTCTTGGAGAGGTGTTTCCAGGCCGATGGAATCAGGAAGCGGTTAAGTGTCATCGCCGGAGAGCAATATAGGGGCATCTTGGGAGCCTGGGCACTAGAGAGCGCACAGAGCTGGCAGGTTGTGAAGCTGAATGAGCGCATGCGATTCTTACGCTATACCAATGGGCAGTTTTTTAAAGGTATGGCTGGGACTTTAAAGTGCGTACATTAAAGGCATTAGGACTAATTGTGTTGGGGTGAACAATAACTCGTCAACAGCTCATTGCGATGCACCCTACACCACGGGAAACCAATGCACGTTTTACACTTTACAGTTATACCTCAGCGACGGCAAGGAGGATGAAAGCAAGCGGCTTGTCGGAGGGGCAACTACATTTTGGTCTAGAGATGAGCGGAGGCGACTGGATGTCCACCCAAAACCAGGCAGAGTGCTGATATTTCAGCATCGTGGCCTATACCACTCTGGGGATCAGGTTTTGCAAGGTGTGAAGTATACCATGAGGTCGGATATCTTGTATAAACCGGAAACACAGGGGAAATAGGGTGTTCTTTGGCTTCCTTGGTCCCAGTCCAGGCTGTAGTCTAGTCTGGCTGTCTAATTATATGCTAAATATTGGTATGCACTGCTCATATAAAGTAGCATGAATTTGTGTGTTCTGAATATATTTATTGAATTGATAATCAGATGTTTACTGAAGCTGATCTATGCTGTTGTGGTACTCTGTAGTTAGTAAACTAATATTATTTATATCCCAGATGATCTTCAGATTATCTTTCTATTATGCTTATAATTCTTACAGAACTGGCATCAATAATTAAACATATTGTCTTCCATTCTTCCGGATGAATATGGAGTACGTTGGATTTCTGTCGGACCGAGCGTGTGAGGCGTGCTTTGAGTCTGCTAACAACCAGCTTCTAAGAGCGGGGTTCCAGATCGTAATGGAGGGCTCTCAAGCAGCTGGCCTAAAATTGCTGGTTTGACTGGACTTCCATTTGACACCACAGGAGTTCCATGACCTGCCGAAGCATAGTCCAAATCAGCAGAGAGTCAATCCTCGAACGGATGCTATTCACTTCAAGATGAGTAGCTGTCGCCAGGGACCAGATCCCAATGGATATTATAACCTCGGCTCTTACCACCGCCCAGTGACGACCTCTAGCCCTGACGCCCAGACCTGGTTCGATCGCGGTCTCATCTGGAGCTACGCATTCAATCATGAAGAGGCTGCAAAATGCTTTGACCAAGCTATTGCGGCTGATCCTGGCTGCGCAATGGCATACTGGGGTCTCGCATATTCTCTTGGCCCTAACTACAACAAACCATGGGAGTTCTTCGAAGGTCGGGAGCTCGACACAACCGTGGCTCGAACACATCGTGCAACCGCACAGGCTAAAGCCAATGCCTCCAGTGCATCAGCTGTGGAGCGGGCACTCGTTGACGCACTTCGGTTTCGATACCAGCAGGACCACGCAGCCGAGGATTGCTCAGTGTGGAACCGGGATTATGCCGATGCGATGAGAAAGGTGTACAAGGAGTTTCCGGATGACCTCGACGTCACGACTCTCTACGCAGATGCGCTTATGAATCTGACGCCGTGGCAGCTATGGGATCTGTCTACTGGCGAACCTGCTCCGGATGCGCGGACTATGGAGGTGAAGCACGCCCTTGAGCAGGCTTTAGCTCAGGATGGAGGCCTGGCACACCCGGGCCTCTTGCACATGTATATCCACCTTATGGAGATGTCCAATACACCCGAGATAGCTCTGCCTGTGGCTGATCACTTGCGTGGACTTGTCCCGGACGCCGGTCACCTTCACCACATGCCCACCCATCTCGACATCCTCTGTGGCGACTACGCGCGTGCCATAAGCTCAAACTCAGACGCAGTTCGTGCGGATGAGAAATTTTTAGCACGAGCTGGCCCATTGAACTTTTACTCACTCTATAGGTCTCACGACTACCATTTTCTTATCTACGCTGCAATGTTCGCAGGACAGTCCGAAGTTGCCCTTGGCACCGTCGCACAACTGGAAGCCTCCCTCCCGGAGGAGTTACTCCGTGTCCAGTCCCCGCCTATGGCTGACTGGTTGGAAAGCTTCTTGAGCGTACGTGTGCATGTTCTCATCCGTTTCGGGCGGTGGCAGGATATTCTTGATCTACCACTTCCAGCAAACCAAGAACTTTACTGCTTCACTACCGCGATGGCGCACTATGCAAAAGGCGTGGCACTGGCTGCGACTGCGAAAGTCGAAGACGCAGAAAAGCAACGTACCTTGTTTCGCGACGCAATGCAGCGGGTCCCCGCCTCTCGCACACTGTTTAACAACAAGTGTATCGACATCCTTGAGGTAGCTGGTGCAATGTTGGACGGTGAACTCGAGTACCGTCGCGGAAATATCGAGATTGCGTTCGAGCACTTGCGACGCTCTATTCATCTGGACGATGCACTTCCTTACGACGAACCTTGGGGCTGGATGCAACCAACCCGACATGCCTATGGTGCACTTTTGCTCGAGCAGGGCTATGTCGAACAGGCTGCCGCCGTGTATCGTGCAGACCTTGGCACTGACAACACCCTCCCACGAGCCCGACAGCATCCAAAAAACGTATGGGCTTTACATGGGTACCACGAATGCTTGGTGAGGCTTGGGCATGAGGCCGAAGCCCTAGCGGTCAAGGAAGAGCTGGCCCGAGCGACTGCAACAGCAGATGTCCCAGTACGGTCGTCTTGTTTTTGCCGCCTAAACACAATGGAGGGTTGATCCGACTCTCAGCTATTTGCCTTTGATGTTAATAGTTGAACCTATAGCATGTAGATAGTCTTTAATTAAGGTAACATGAACCGTTGTGTGCGCCATCATGTATACGTCATGCCCACTGGCTCCACTAAGTATGCCACTGCATAGATTGCTGGTGCCCGGTTCATTTGTAGTTCGGTCTTAGGCAGTGATAGATTTCTCCCCAAAAGGATCATTAACTGTTCTCCGAACATAGAGCCTCAATTTAACCTAGAGTTGCTCCCCCAACTAACAGAAGCCAAACTTTCCATTCTTGATAGGAGACAGGGAAAGAAAAGACATGCATATATATATATAAATCATTATAAATATGTACATATCCCAAGGGAAATCATTAGTGAGTCGCCAAATTCATTCAATGCTCCTATAGAACGTGGAAAGTTCCGGTCTTTCAGTAGCCATATATTCACTGTGAACCTCAGACAGCTTTATTCTGCTGCTGGCCAAGGATATGTATCCACGCTGAATTGGTTTTAGAGAGGGAAGTCTATGTATAAAATGATCCACCAATACCCTGATCTAGCAGGGTATCCGAGTTTAGATCCATCGGGCCAGCAGAGATTAAAGTGCGCAGGACCTTCTCCTATTCGACCCATTATTGCCAATCTTCACTAGCGCATTAGCCTATCACATAAAATACGTCCGGGCTGGTGCTGTGGGGGGATCCCGGAAGGGGTTCTCAGCATCCCGTCCGGGAGGTATTCCTGTATCCACCTGCGTTACTGGTGGTGGTGTACTATCGGGGAAGTCCTACAAGAAGACTAGTTAGCTTTTCATCATATATCAGTTTCCAACACAGGGAACGTATTGCTGCTCACTTGAGAAGGCGGGCTGATGCGGACTCTATTTCTTCGTTTTAGTAAGATCAGGCTGACGGTGACGACACCTGCTATGCCAACTGTTATCGAGAAGGTTAACCGACATTGTCGTAAATTGAAAAATATAAGACAACATACCAATAAGCCCAGTTGCGACTAGCGAACCAATTAAAGCAGGAGAAAATGCCTGCGATGCCCCCATGTTGCCCATCGGCTCGGTATCCGGAGCTGCTGTTTGACTCGGTCTGCTCTGACTGTTTGTTGACGCTGTCCTCTCCGCGCCTAATTCTCCTCGCGATGGGGTAGGCGTAGCCGTTATCTCCTCGACTGGACGGACAAAGAGTGCCGTTGACTCTGTACCAGTTACTATGGCCGTGATTGTCGAGTCAGGCAAAGTGATGAGAACTGTTCCAGCTTGGCACGTCCCGCTCGTATTTGTCGAACAGCTTCTGGATAATGTGCTCTGGCGCAATGTTGTTGATATTAGTGACGCGGCTTCCGGTGGGACGGTAGATGTCGGCGACGGAAGCTCCATGGAGCTCTCATCGTCGCTGTCATCACTATCACTCTCAATTCCATCCTCACTGTCATCACTATCGTCACTATCGTCACTCTCGTCCTCTTCTGGTGCAAGAGATAGTGGTGGAGGAGGTGCTTGTCTTCTTCTAAGCCTATATCGCATTCTTGATGTTGTGGTGACACTCATCACTCTGAACGCTTTCAAAGCAAAAGCTGAAGATCTCTAGAATATATACGGAAGCTAAACAAAGGTATGAGTAATGAATTGGTTTAGAAAGACAGAGACACTGACCAGAATCAAATCGTTCCAGAGACGGAGAAGGTGGGATCAGGACAAGCTTTATCAAAGTTCATCGAGAGGACCTTACTTGCGTTTAAGCAATATTTGAAGAACCTAGTGTCTCGGCCTGTAACAAGGTTGAGGAAGATTTGAAAGTAGCGTCTATCTACCTCGATGATCCGACATTAGCCCAGAGGAGCACAGTCGTGAATTGTCTCATTGTCAGCATCGAGTAGATGGACCGGGTGCTGAGGCTGGGGATAGCGTTCATCTCTCTTGCGGGATCATGCACGCTGAAACGACGGCATCATTTCCTTGCTCGCGGGAGTCGCAAACTTTCGGATTTAGATCGAATAGAGACCATAGTTAAAGTTATCGTATTCTTTTTCTGTTTTAACGCTCCGAAGACGTCAGTAACCGAAGGTCAGACACCAGATGAAACAAATACCAGAGTTTATCCTCCAGCCTCCTTGGGAGAGGTTGGTCTTCTCGCGAAGCTAGCGACACAACTTCCGTTTTAGATATATCGTTGCAGCTGAATACAACCGACCCTTTTCCAACCTCCTGCCTACGCGTCGATCTTTCACTTCCGTCTCAACCTACACTTTCAGTGCCCAGGTCCCCTGGTTCGCCACCGGTTGCGTCCATGCAAATGGTGAGGCAAAATGGCGTGAAAGTTGGCCCACGATTCTGGCGATGCCATAATACTGTCAGCAATACCTCGTATCACACACCCAAAAACTCGTGATTCCGTTGGGCTCCAACCGTCTCTTCCACAGCGAGCGTTATCCTCAGCAATAGGGATGTATAGGACAATGAAAGACGGGGAATGTCGGAGGGAAGGAAAGGAGAAGCAAAATTTCATATCGGGGAGTGTTCGCTTTGACGAATATTCTCGAAGATATCAATAGGCCTGACACGTTAGCCGGATCGAAAATTTTTCGTCAATCAAATGAGCTTCGGCTTATGTATCCTTATACAGATACATCCGATATCAGAATGATTGCCGAATGAGCAAGAAAGAAATGGAAATGATGTAGGTAAGAAATTCCTTCAGTCAGTCCATGAGGTATACGGCGGGCTAGAGTATGTTCATGCCCAATTTTTTTCTCTTTAAAACTAGAGATATTTCGACGTCCATTTTGCGCTCTTCAAAGTGAATGTGCAGAATATCTGGGTTCATTAAAGCCATGGAAGCCCAGCGCTAGGACTGGGCGCCTGCAAGTCAAGCGGTGAGAGGCCCAGCTGCTCATCCAATGTTTGACCAACACAGCGAGGGAATCCTGGGATTGTACAACTTGAACGCGATGTTTTGGACAATTGAGGTTCCTTTGGACTACGTGAAAATGCCCATGCTTATGTTTCTCGATGCTTTGATGGCGATGAAGTGCGGTAAGGACTTCATAATCAATAGTCAATGCGATAAAGACGTTGAGTAAGAGCTAATGGCAGGAAAACATGTCGGAGACGGGCACTGGGACAGGGCCCGCAGTGATGGTCTTAACCTTTTTTTTTTCCCCTTGTTCTTTTCTTGGGTACTCCATAGCGGGTGAGCAAAAATTCACATTCGCTACTCCGTAGAGAAAGACTGTTGTGCTATCAGTTGCATACCGCAGATCATGATTAGAAAGACAGGGAACTGATGATGCGATCAGGCAACCGCTTTTCCCTATAAACGACCTGTCACCCCTTCTGTAGTAGCTTGCCGCTTATCGTGGGTAGCTGGAGTGAAGAGCGGCGAAAGGGGCTCTTTAAGGGTTGGGTGGGTTTAGAGTATCATGGGGGCATCCTGAAACAGTAGGCAAAAATGCTCTCCTGATAACAACCCCTGGCTTTGTGGCTTGGTTTCTGAAGCACCGGCGGGTGGTAGAGAGTCGAGGGAAACCAAAAATGAAGAACAACAGAGGACGTCGGATGTGCCTCATATGAGAGTTCACGGCGGCGAAGTACAAAGGAGCGGGTGACGGTTGGTGTTGCCGTTTGTTTGCCATGTTTGCAGCGCCGACCTTGGCGCGCGTTTCTTTCTATGGAGAAACATAATTCCACGACAACATTTTAGAAAGCCGCGAGATCCAAACGCCTGAGAAGCACTCTGAAATGACAGTGGAATCGGCGATTTCTTTCCTTTTCCCGTCCCAATAGCCTCAGTAGGATTAGCATAGGTGAAATTTTTACACCAGAGATGTGGCTACTTCATTTACGTTTCTCGCGGTAGAATTATTTTAGGATGTACGCATGGAGTCTACACTCCAGGTAACTATATCATGGAGTATTCGTACATTCCGTACCAACATAGCATCATATCCAGTCGGCCGTAAACGTCGTTCAGGTCGTAAAGTGAGTAACTAGCTAATTGGTGGGGCATTTCATCAGACGAAGATGCTCAGAGGTATGCTCATAACAACAGCGTAATTTGGCATATCCACAACTTCAACCATCTTAAGATGTCCGGTCACACTAGCGAGCATATACGCTTCCTCCCGCGTGAGATCCTTCATTGAGACCAGCCAATTAATCAAGTTTCGCGTGGCTTTTCTCGTAGCTTCACGAAGATCGGCGTCAACCCCCATGGCGGCATATTCCCCTTTATCCTGACTCAACTCCTCCTCGCTTAAAATCTCTTTTAACGGAGGAGTCTGGAACTGCGGTGCAGTCACCCACGGCTGATTCTTGCATACGGTAAAACGTAATGTTGCTGTTAGTGATGTCTCAATCGCTGTCCCACATACTTCCCCATCGCCTTGGATCGTATGGCCATCGCCACAGCTGAACAACGCTCCCTTAGTCCGCACAGGGAGATATAGCGTCGATCCAGCAATTAAGTACCGACAGTCCATATTCCCACCTGTCTCTAGTGGTGGAATCATCGCAAACTCTCCTTCCTCGCCGGGAGCCACGCCCATCACGCCCAAAAACGGCTGTTTGCGAATATGTATTCCGTCTTTGAACTTCACGTAAGGCAGGTTTGGATCAATATCCCATATCCTAAGAGCCGGATTGAGGAATTCGTCCTCCAGCAATCCAAAGCCCGGCATGATCGCTGTCCACCCCCAGTCCCCCAGCTCAAGATTCAGAATTTCCACTTTTAGCGCGTCTCCTGGTTCTGCACCGTTAACGTAGATAGGTCCAAAGGCTGGGTCGGCCAGGTTGACATCGAAAGTGTCCAAGGCGTCCACAGTGGAAGATTTGTTGATCTGCCCGTTGCTGCCATCAAGGGCGTCGAACGTGACTGTATCGCCAGAGTCAATTGTCAAGACGGGTGTGTTTGCCTTTGACCACTTTAGATGCTGTTGGTGGCGGTGGATGGTTTTGCAAGATACCCTACGACCCATGGTGCTATACAATGTGAGCCTGTGGATTTTTGGGGTTGGGAATTTTTTTTGAAGATGGGACTCGATGGTTTCAAATCAGTCAAACGTGAACCGGCCGGCTGAATTATAAGTTAAAGCATTCAATGATAAAGAAGAGGGGAATCAAAAGAATCTTTTGATTCCTTACCCTTTAACTATCCAAGGACAAGTAATTGACGGGCAAAATGAAGATGAACCGCCATCGATTGGAAAAGAAAAGAAAGAAAAATTTAAAAAAGGAAAAGGTAAAAGGCAAAAGAGCCAGGCCAGAGGCCCCATAGCGATCGTCTGTTCCCTCCAAGCGCAGGTTCCAGAGAAAAGAGAGCAGAAAGACAAGATTGAAGATGGGGCCGAGCGGTCACGGACCCAAACAGGAAGGTCGCTAAAGGAGCATTTCACAGTTTGCTTCGCACACTGGTGGGTGAAAGAGCCGAAATCAAAGCCTCAGGCTATAAATAGCACCACGGAGGTAATTAATTCTCTCTGGGTGCATTGAGCAATCCTTGTTTCCTCTGCATCTATGTATCTACTTATCTATGGCAAGCAGCAATTTGAGAGCAGTTGCTAGTCGTTTTTGTGCTGGGGTGGACCTCGCTAGTCCGCTGCTAACTCTCGAACTACACTAGCTGGGTTCCCCACGACATACGGTGAAGGAGGGGAAACAGAAACTCGAAACTGCTGGTGGACGAAACGTTTGCGTGAGCAATGCTACTGGACGTATGTAGGTCTATTATACGTGGTGAGCAACCACCCGCGAGGATACGTAAGACAGTTGCTATAGAAAGGGAGTTTAGGGTTCTGATAACGCCCACGCAGTGCACTGTACTGTAGGTCCCGTAGGCCGGTAGAATCAACCGAGCTTTTTCAGAGGCAGATGGCATCATGCGAAGGGACCCCTTGACAGGTATAAACGAGCTGCCTATTGGAGTTACCCTCTTTTTACAGCCCATCCAATAAACGTCACAATCCGAGAGGGTCGTTCGGCTTAAGGAGTGGAGGCGGCAGCCCATCCATTTGAAAGTCCGCATACGTCCTATTGCAGACACGCGCTGCATCATTGTGACGTCGATCAAATAGATGTTATGGACTCTCAGTTAAAGCACAGAGGGGAACCCGAGCTTCTCATATCTGGACAGATATGATATGCATAACTGTCGGCACTACTCATTTGTGTCACTCTGTCAAAATCAGGCAGTTGTACGGGTACAAACAAGATAGAGCATCTTTGGCAAAATCCACTTGAGTCGTCTACCTCTTCGTAGGACGACCGTCCGTCCAACATACAGGGACGACGGGTCTGAGAAGCAGACAGAAGTAAAAAGGCGGAAGGAATAGAACAAAGACTGGTACAAAACACTTTGTGCTTGAACAGAAATAGATTTGTTTGAAAATGGAGCTGTATCACGCTTAGGGTTCTGATAAGTGTAGATGGGGTATTATGAGAATATCTGGACTCTGAAATAGATTTGAGGCCTATGTTCACCTCAGCATGGCAGAATAGTATTACCCGCAACAAGGGTCTTCCCAGGGTGTTTGTGCTGCATGCGTGCTTTAAACATCACGTGAGGAGATGCGTATATCATTTCACCCTTTCGGCCAGTCTTCAAGCAGCACAGTATTGTGATGAGCACCTAGTGATACTGAACCACAACTCCAAAATGCGCCATCAAGCAATGCAATGTAGCTAATGCGTTGGAAGTGCCTTGAGAAACTGACAATCCAATCATATTGTCATTGAAGAGTGATGGGCGAGATTGATATTTTCGTGTTCTCATCTGGTGAGTGTAGAGAGCACAGTTTGTTGCCCGTGACATCCAAACGCTAAAAATATAGGAAGAGCATTGCCAACAAGAGCATGCTCTGTCACATTGAAAAGGGGCAACCATCCTTTTACCGCCATGACATATTCCGGGCAAATTGCAGATGGCTGGTCTTGACTGAATCTGTGAATATGTAGAATCAGCCCGTAGAATTTCTTGTTGGAACGATTGGCCCTTCGGTGTGTGAAACACAGTTGTATTGAACTCTGTCCAGTAAAGCTAACCACCTCTCCAGCACTTGTTGAAAATGTATCTACTCAGCTTCAGAAAGGCTGCTAACGGAAAATGGATCATTTTGCTTCCTTTCAGAGATTGAATCTGCTGACGCATAAGGTGCGAGCAAAGGTCGCAAATGACCTTTGCAACGATACATATATCGACGCCAAAATGAAGGACTCGACTCCCAGGTTTGACTTTCGGAAAGTGTGGTATAAAGTGGAAGGGAGGCTTAAGATTAAATCGCTGAGGTGTGAACGACAAAGACTCTGATGGATCGCTTTTGCTCCCACAAGCTCCTTTGTTGACAATCCTCGCACCCAGGGGCCCCAGCCCCGGAAGAGGAAGCCGATAATCCATTACCAATAAGAACACCGACAAACGATGAGCATCGGCTTCATCTGAAATGTTAGTGCATGTAGGCTGACAAATATGGAATTTTTTGCAGGGGATAATGCCTGGGAGGAGCCCAGTAATTGAAAGAGGAGTACGAGTGGACAAGGGCCTGTGAAGGCCGAGATGGTATTCCTTCTGCAACTGCAGCTTCGTTATTGAATCTCCGGCTTCCGGGGATGTCGTTCACCGACAGATGATCAAGGAATTGGCCTGCCACCTAAATCATTGCCCCTGCGATCTCATAAAATATCGAAACCCTGTCGATACGAAAGAGATCAGTCTGGCGCAGGCCGGTGCGTGTCTAAATTGCAACAAGGTCGTGAACAAATGCGGCATTATGAAAATAAAGCTTGACGGCTTCCCCAATGGCTACTTTGCCGCACACATGAGTGAGGTGTGATTGATGGAATCTAGACTTCTGAAGAATCAAATTTGCGTGGATTGGTGGTAGTGTCACAAGAGGAGTGGCATCCAGAGACCCTTCTGAGATGAGAAAAGGAGCCCATTGTATAGAGGATAGAACAAATCTAAACTCCTATACTCTAGAAAAAGGAATCTGTGAACAAAATGCAGCCCTTGTTTTAGAGCCACAATGTTGGAGCGTAGCAGTAAAATTCGGCCAACCCTTTTCCCATCCATAAGGATGCGAAAGGTTGGCGCGCCTTACATTCATCAAAACAGGACCCTGTCTTTCGTCTAGCCATCCGGACTGAACAATGAGACGTTGCAGCCTGTGCTAGGACACCGCGCCGAGATGATGGTGGTCATGGCATAAAGGAAAACTCAAGATTCGTCGATTCTCAATGGCCACCGTAGTCATGATTGGGGAGATTTGTACTCCGTATTGATGATAGGTAAACTTGGGGCGTGTTTCATGTTCCTTCACAAGGGAGGGAAAACCTGTGCAACAGGACAGTAATCGCGTTGAACACCGAGTCGTTACACGAAGCGGCTGTCTATCAAATATGGCTGCCAAATTGGTTTCCTTTGAACGGGTGGGGTTGTGGATATCGTTAACGTGATCGAAATACCTAGCAAATTTCAGTTAGAGATTGGACTTGTACCTAGATCTCCAGAAGGAACAATTTCGAGGGAAGAGATGAAAAGCGATAGTGGTATCCTATGCCATTGTTGATAGGCGAATCTCATCCAAAATTAGGTCGCCCGTCGATAGCTCCGTGGAAGTTGTCACTATTTACTGTCTTCTGGTCACAGCACACGAGACCGAGCGAGCACTCTCCCGCAAAGCAGGGCAACGGCGAATAAATAGAACGTTGAAATCATTGCATGTAGCCCCTTAAAATGCCAAGAATTGGACCCGTACTCTCGACTGTTCGTCAGCATTGCAAGCATTTGAGCTACTGCGTTACAGAGCGCCGGGCCATTTTCCCATCATACAGCATCGGTAATATGTAGATCCAATCATATCACCTGGAAAGGCGCAGGAGGACGGAATTCAGTCTCGAACTCAATGAGGGGGTCAAGGGACCCTTTTGGAACGTAAAACGAGCTTTCTCCGGTGTATTTTTAAGAAGATGGATAGGGCCAGCGGAAAGGCAAGACTTGCAGCGGCGCCAGCCCGCAGGATTTAAGTCTATGTGGCCAAGAGATTCCATCCTTGACAGAGTTCCCGCACAACGACCAGAGAAGTTGTGCCAATTTCTTTTGTGGCTTCCAACAAAAATCATGTTTTTGAACACGAAAAGAAAATTGCTCATTACCGCTACTTGATGTTGTCTAGCCGCCGGGTAACTAACTTGTGGAATGATTGGTGCCTGCAGTGTGCTGAGCACATGGTTCATGGCCCGGTGTCTCCCAAACGACAAGGATTTATTTGCGAATTGAATGACGCCTTTCTGTCACAAAATTGTAAGTTAGCAAACATAACCTGGGCCAGAGAAACACGGTCATATGCCTGGAAAATGATGCTTTTGTGGGATGAGTCTCACAGAAAATGTTCCAGACCTTCCTTGACTTGGTTTGTCTTGGGGCGCTGGCAAGGGAAGTATCAAGGCAAGGCTACGGACAGTTTCACGTTTCGAGCAACAAAGCTCCACCTGATGGAGAAATGAGTGCCTTGGGAGACAGTATGAGTGATCGTCAAGAACAAAGAGCATGTGAAGTGGGAGGTTCGACGACGACTGTGGTCAGATCATGCTTCGAGGTAGCCGCGTGCTAGCCGGGTTCGTCGCCACGATACGTATCATTACATACAGCAGCGCGGATTGTCCCGCGAAATTACTGTATTACTGTACATATTCTGTAATATATACGTGTCCTGTACGGCTATACAATGCTAAGGGTGTTACAGAAGCAATCCTGCGGAATCTCTAAGAAATCCAATCCTTCAAGAATGTGCTTTGTACTGTAGAATCAAGGTATATTCAAACGTACGGAGTACAAAATATGTATTCTGCAAGCGGCTGCATTCGGGAATGGAGCATCCTGTGCCCACAAATTTCGGAGAAGACGGTTATTCTATCCCGTCCAGTCGGAGCAACGCAAAACGATACATACATATTCAATACCGTACCGTACCGTACCGTACCGTACATGCCCTCTTGGCGCGGCGGCAGCCTAACGACGTTCTCTTCGGTCTGGCGAGCTTCGTCGTCACCTCGAGACCTCGCAAGATCCCTTCTTTTTTTTCAGCTTTGTGACCTCTCTCATCACAACCAATTATCTTTCCGGCATCTGCTAATGGACTAGCAGAGAAAAGGTGCTGGAAGTTGGAGAGCAGAGGGCAAAAAGAAAATTTCTGTCGGGTTCTCAGTTCCTCCAAAGTCAACCCCAACCTTCAATCCCTGCACCGTGCTCAGAGCAATTATCGCCGTTCCTCCAATTACAGCTCCGCAACGCGCCGTCATCGTCCACCCGTCGAAGCTCACCCCCATCCGCTGCAGTCTTGCGCTGAACTGGAAAAGTTCACGGCCACGAGTCACCTTGGACGCAGCGTTGGGACAAGAACCCACTTCACCTTGAGAAGTCCTCCGTTTCACCTCTCATCTGCAACCTAAAAAAAAAAAAAAATCATGGGTGCGTGTCTCTTCCCTTGCCCTGCCTCATTGTTCTGGGGAACTTGCCTAGCTGCCATTATTTTCTGAGCTGCCAGTTTGTTATGCGACAGCTCTATTCGCTATTTCCAGGCCCCAAGTGATCGCTTTCTGCCGTTCTGCGGCTCTTTGTGCGCTTGTGTCTCTCCCGCGCTGTCTCAAAATACTTTTCCTTGAGCCTTCACCTCCCACCTTGCGAGTGAAACAACCTCTAGCTCCTCCTCCCTTCGGTGCACATCCTCTTTGTGTTTCTTCTCTGTCCGTACCATCCTGTCATATCGCCCATTGCTTGCCTAATAAGGACCCCCCCCTTGTCTTGGCCTTCCAGGGCACTCACCAAGAATTGTTTAACGGACTGCCTCCATCACACATCCTGTCACTTCACTCTCCACTCACACCTTTTCTTCTAATTCCGACCTTCACTCCTTCTTCACCCTTTTTTACCCGGCTCTCACTTTTCTTCTTGACACCATTTTTATTCCTCCTCTGACGACTGTTACCGTCCTTCATTTTATACTGAGGCGCAAGGCTCACTAATTATCGCTCCATTCCTAGGTTCAGCCGACGTTTATCGACCCCATCAAGTAAGTCATGCTGTCGGAGTACGCTTCAATTTTTTCCGTTTCCCCTTTCCAAAATCAATTCCAGAAGAGCCATGGGCGCCGTCCAGAAACAATAAGGACAATGGACTCGTCAACATCTATGCCGAACACATCCAGACCGATCGTGTTTATGGGCACATTAATATTACGAATCCTCATCTATCTGGTCCTTACTGGCGGTGCGAAGCACGGCTAAGCAAGTCTCTCCAATTTGGAAGCAGGCAGCGAAGAAGATCTTTGCAAGAGGTCGTCTGACGACGACTTTCCGCCTTAAAAGTCGCTTTCGTTGCTCCCCAGCTATGATATATGTCTCTTACTCAGCTCGTTTTTATCCCCGTCGGATGTGCTAGCAATTTTGGTTGCATGCCCTTCCCCAGTCCTTTGCCCCGCCTGTTTCTTGGTCGTCTCACGTGTGGTCAAGGGCTACTTCACCGCCTTCCACAAATCAAGCTCCAAGCTGACATGGAGGTCTCCCACGTGTGGCCCTTTCGCTTGTATCTGTCCACTTGGGCCCATCTGCGAGTCATCCTCTTGCAGCACCTTTCCGACATGTCATAAAATGTTCCACGTTTTTAAATCGAAAGTATAAAGTTTGACGATTGATACTGACTCGTAATAGCGTGAGAGGTCGCGTTCTCCACGCCGACGTTCTCGCAGCCCTCGTCGAAGCCGCCGTTCCTACTCTCCACGCAGCCGTTCCCGCAGCCGTGAAGACTACCGTCGTAACGACCGGCGATCGAGATCACCTATGAGCGGGGCAGCTGGCACTTCTGGTGGTTATCCAGGCTCTGGATACGGAGGACGAAGTGGTGGTCCGCCTACTCGTTCCTACGAAGATCGTGCGTTCGCCAAAGAACAGATGATGCAGGCTGTTCGCGAGTCTTCCCAACAAGACCGCCGTGTCTATGTTGGAAATTTGTCATACGATGTCAAATGGCATCATCTTAAAGATTTCATGAGACAGGGTGAGCTGGAAGCCATGGACGAATTCGCAGCCGATGGGACGCATGTCGTACCGTAGGTTTGGAGGGACGAGGCTGACTGCGACCGTGTCGTTTCTTATCTTTAGCCGGAGAGGTTCTCTTTGCCGATGTCTTGTTACTTCCCAATGGAATGTCGAAGGTGGGCGTCAATGCGTAGTTGTGACTGGTCTCCTGGTTTTCTTTGGTCATTTTTGATGGATTGTTGGGTTGACGGGTTGGGGCTCGGTCGTTTGGGCTATGTAGGGCTGCGGGTAAGTCTTGAACAATCCTACAGATCCGCTACATCTGCGAACCAAGTTGCATTCGAATTAATGGGTCTAACGTTACTTTCCTCTATCACAGGATTGTGGAATACGCAACGAGGGAGCAAGCTCAGAATGCCGTTGCGACGCTTAGCAACCAGAACCTCATGGGAAGACTTGTTTATGTTCGCGAGGTACGATTGATCATCTAGGAAAGTGAACCTCTCCTGACACGTCGTTATCATATAGGATCGTGAGGCGGAACCCCGATTCACTGGACCTCCCCACCGAGACGCCGGAGGCGCCGGCCGCGGTGGTTTTGGCGGAGGTTACGGATCATTTGCAAGCCGTCAAATTTATGTCAATAACGTTTGTAGCCCACTTTACACTATTTTGCCAGCTTCTCAACCCCATCCAATGACGGCCCCATTAGCCGCAAAGAGTTTTCTAGTGGACGACACATTAACTTGGTTTATTAGCTTCCATTCAATGTTGGCTGGCAGGATCTGAAGGATCTTTTCCGCCAAGCCAGTAAGTACAGCATGTTCTATTCTCTCATAGTTTTGTCTGCCTTAAAAGGTTGTACTCGGAAAGTACGATGCTAATATCAAAATAGCACAGCAAGGTACCGTTGCACGTGCTGATGTGCATCTCGATCCAAATGGACGCCCGAAAGGTTCCGGAATAGTTGCATTTGAGAACGTGGAGGATGCACGCAATGCTATTCAACAGTTCAATGGCTATGAATGGCATGGTCGAACTCTGGAGGTACGTGAAGATCGTTTCGCAGGTTCCACTCCAGGTGGATTTGGGGGTCGGGGTGGTTTCGGCGGCTTCGGCGGCCGTGGTGGTTTTGGCGGTGGTCGAGGTGGGTTCGCTGGTCGTGGCGGCTATGGCGGCTATGGCGGAAGAGGTGGGTTTGGAGGGGGTTATGGCGGCGGAGCTGGTGGTTTTGATGGCGGTGCCTCCATCCCCCCGAACCCATTTACAGATTTTGCAACCTACGGTGGAGAACGGAGTGCCACTATCTACGTCCGCAATGTATGTGACCCGGAACAGCGTTTCCATTATTGAGAGCGGTTTTCCCTAACACATTCCTAGTTGCCATGGTCGACCTGCAACGAGGACTTAGTTGAGTTATTTTCTACGATCGGCAAAGTGGAACGCGCCGAAATCCAGTACGAGGCAAATGGCAGATCACGCGGTACTGGTGTCGTCCAGTTTGATACAGTTGAGAACGCAGAGACTGCAATCAGTTCGTTGCTCTTACCATAAAGGCAGCCTGAGAGTATGGATACTAACAATATGTATAGGCAAGTTTACAGGCTACCAATACGGAGGTCGTCCTCTCGGCCTGACATTTGTCAAGTACCTGAATGCCAACTCCGGCGATGCCATAGACGCTACCGCAGACCAACCCTCCGGTATTACCCAGGATCAAATCATGTAAACTTCCCGGTTTCACGAAGGTGCGATAGAGGAAGAACAGACACCATGATCGCCCCTTCAACACTGCTTTCTCATAGAGACATGATCAATGGCGTTGGCGACAAATTGTCATCGGGTTAATGGATCGAAACATGAAACAAATCAAAAAAGGGGAAAAAAGCGGCATTTAATTCCTGTCAAATTTAAGCAGTCAAGTTTTCCTACCTTTGCTTTTGCCTCTTCTCCATGAAACCGAACAGCAATGTTTGAGGGGAAAACTTTTGTTTTTTGTTCTCGATTTGTCAATTTTTTCCTTTTTTTTTTTTTTTTTTTTTTTTTTTAATTCTTTCTGTACGATTTTTACTTCTTTTGTGGACTTAGCTTGGGGAGTGTAACTATGGACTTGTCTTCCTCTGTGGCCTCTCAATTGCGCATATGTGAATGCTTTGAACCATTATCTGTGTTTTTACCTGATCCCAAAGCCTGTTCCGTTTGTGTATGTATGTTACTTGCTTTTCTACTTTTAACTGAAATTGCCAGATCTGCTCCCTTCTTCCTTCGAAGTTAAAACAATGGAGGGAAACAAAGCTCTCGAAAGGAAGTGGGCTCCTGTTTTTGTCATTTTCAAATAGCTAATAATGCTGCTGATGTGTAATATCATTAATTGATAAAATTGGTATTTCTTGACTCCAACCAAGTAACACAAAAGAAGCCCAGGCATGGGTGACAAGGAATATATAATCAACGAACATAAGGGGTTTCACCCGTTGGGTGTATTTCCTCCCAAGAAGATAGATGTATAGAAAACGAGGGTGATGATTAAAGCGGTAAAGATGCTCGAGTGTGTCTTAATAGAAAGGATAGAAGAAGAGGCGCGCGGGAGCGTTGTCTAACCATGTATGTATATAGAAAACCGAAGAATATGCCAATTTGAACGGCGAGCGGAAATATGCTAATGGACCGGGGGCGAGGGAAAAGGGGGGAGAGGGGCGGAGGGAAGGAAAGGAAAGGAAAGGAACCCAATATCCAGAAAACCGGAAATGCGAGATGTAACAAAGCCTAGAAGATGCAGAAGTAGGAAATATGCAAGGCCTGGAAGAGCCGGAAGGAGATATAAAAATTGCCGGCAAGGGAAAAAAGGGGTTGAAAAGAGTTAAAATGTTTATATTTGAGGGGGCAAAAAAAAAAAAAAAAAAAAAAAAAAAAAAAAAAAAAATTATTCCCGAGAGTACTCTGTAGTGAGGTGAGGAGTAAGAAAAACATGTACTCAGCCTTGTTAACCGAGTAACGTGCGGCTAATAAATAGACACTTTTTGGGCAAGATCCCTGTTTAGCTACTTGCCATGGGATATTGCCCTGGTACTTTCAAATCGCTAACCGTCCCCGTCCGGCTTGACACAGGCGTCATTCGCTGTTTCGCCGAGCGGTCGAGATCGCTGACGGTGTTGCTCTGCGCATCGTGCAGATCCGCGATAGGAGGCCCGAAGCCGCTTGCCCCGTTCGGTAGATGAGATGTGTTTTGGGCGGATATCTCACTACCAAGCACGCCGAGTGATGTTGCGGTCGTGAGACTGGGAACTGTTGTATTTGTTGTGCCAGTAGGCTGGGTGGATAAGATTGAGGTATCCGGTTCGGGATGCAGGGTTGGGTGAGAACTATCCCCGGGCACGACGATGGGAGCACCAGTGGACAATGCGATGGAGCGAACGCGTGTTCCGGTGCGGCGGAGTTGAGGAGACGGACTGTATATTTGGTCGGTATGAATGCTGGTTTGTTCATGTGTGGGCGTTTGCGGAGGTACGGGACGATGGGTTGTCATCCATTCGTCGTAGATCCGGTTTGGTTTCTTAGAGAGCGTGGAACGAACAGAGCCAGAGCGAGAATTTATTGGCATTGTATCCGGTAGCTCTGTTTCGTGCGAGTGCGAATGCGTGTGTTGGTGTGGGTGTTGTTGGCCGGTGAAGTGGATCCCGGCTTCACGAAAAGTCGAATCCAAAGGTCCTTCTGGACCACGAGAGCTTGTTTCGCTGGACGGAGACTCAGGGGCCTCCAGTGTTCTATTCAAGTGGACTTCACTTGGAAATCGTCCCCCAGGGGGTGAACGCCACCGAGGTTCATCCAGGGACGCTCCACGTGGAGGTAACATATGTTCAGCAGAATACGGGGTTTCATCTGCTTCATCCTCATCTAGAACGCCGTCACTGCTGATAGATGCAGCTCTGTAACTTGCGCCGCTGAGGGTACGTACATGTTTCCGAACAAATGCGTTCCGTGCCTCGCCGGTTTTCTCGGTTAGGTTTTTAATATCTTCGTACCAGGCAAGCATGGTATCATGCGATTCAGCCCGGAATACCCAAGCATGCCCACGATGCATCGACCCGGTTTGACGTCCCTTGAGCATAAACTTGTGGGACGACGAGTCGGGCTGAGAATGAGAGCCAAGCTTTTGTTCTGGTAGATACAGCGACATAACCGGACTCTGAGATCTAATTCGATCCGCAGACTTGAACTCGTGTAGATGCGTTGGCGATAGGACATACCTAGTAAAAAAAAAGAAAAGGTGAATATAGAATTCATCAGGCTCTGATTATCGAATAAAACCTACCATCCCGGAGTATAGCTCTTCAAATATTTGCTCTTTCGTTCCAACATCCCCGCCCGAACTTCTGCCGCTGCCGGATGGTCACTCCCAGGATATGTGATGTTGCGTATGTTTCGCATGGGTATGCTGGAGTCGATTAGATGATCATTATGCGACACAAAAGCTTTCCATTCACGATCCTTTGGCATTGATAGAGGACCGTCTCGCAATCGCTCGACGGCATCGTACGCGGAGTCCGCGTCGCGTTTTAGAATGCTTGCATAAGCACTGTATGCTTTCTGTATCTCACCAACAACGATAGCTTCAAGTTCGCGACCGGAGCTCTCGAGATTAAGGTAGGCCTTAAAGAACTCAGCAATTGTATCGTATCTGGATTTGGACTGGAGTGGAGTGCTTACTTTGTGAAGATAATTCTCTTCCAACAGTTGCTTTTCAAGCTGCCTGTCAACACCCAATTTTATGATGAATGGATCACCTTTTCCAGATGTAGCGGCAGGATCGGTGTCAACTAGTCCAAGGGCCTCATGTAAATTTCGCACGGCCTTACGCGTGCCCTCCATTTCTTTGTCAACGGAATTCTTGAAATCACCTGCGAGGGCTTTGATCTCCTTTATTTTTGCCTGCAAGTCGTTTCTGAGGCTATTCAACTGGACAATAATTTCTGTTTCCACTTCCTTGGCCTTATTGCATTCTGCAAGCGCCTGCTTATGGTATGTTTTGAGTATGATGGCGGCATCCGCAATGCCACCAGACTGTAAAAAGGTGCTCGGCATCGCGATATTGCCCATCGAGTTTGAGGCAGAAAGGAGAATTTTAGCTCGCGTCTCATAAGATCTCTGGATGTCTCGAAAGACGGCGATAAGGTCCTTTAGCACTTTGCGCCATGCTGTATTCCAGTCAGCACACATGGCTGGGATGCTCTTGGGGGATTCGGGGGGTGGGGGGTAATATCATGGAGAACGCCAGGATGTGACAAGCCGAGGGGGGAAGCATATTACCTTGAAACCTGGTGGCAAGGATCTCCGTCGGAGCTCCCTTTGTTGGGATGGGAACGTAGAAAGCGCTATTCATCTCGTTTTCTCCCACGTCGTATTTCTCCTTTTCGCCCAGCCTCAGACTCCTCACGCTGCCTGCGCGGCTGCTCCGCTTACTTCCGCCCCGCCTCAAACTTCCCTTCTTGCCCAACGACGGTTTCTTTTTCAGCGTTCCGGAACGATGCGGGGCTGCTTGCTGCGAGAGTAACGGGTGGGAATCGTTCTGCGGCACATCACCGATGTTATAACCATCTATCAAGGACGAGCTGCGCTGGCTTAGCTCTTCGTGGAATCGAGACTGGTGGGGGGCGGAGGAGGATTCGCTAATACCCGTTCGTACCTGGAATTCGGTGGGTTGGATCGAATTGGATGCGACGAAGGAATTTGGCCGAGAGCTGGAGGTGTGGCTGCGGTGGAGATTGCTCTGACCGGAGGCATTGGGAACGGGCGAGTGGACGTCCTGCGAAGGCGTCCGGGGCCTCATGGAGGTGGCCATGGCGAGCCTCTCTCTTTTTTCTCCTTTTCTCCTTTTTCTTTTTTTTTAAAAAAAAAAATAAATAAAATAAAATAAAATAAAATTGGGCTTGTTACGGAGCCCTCGTACGTCACCGGGTGAGGGGGGCGGGAGGCGACCGCGTTCGCTATATAGTACTCGGAAAGGGTACGATCGAATTGAAGGAGAAAGGGGAAAAGGAGAAAGAGAAAAAAAAAAAAAAGGAAGCAAACTTATTTGAGAGGTCCTTTTTTGCTTTTTCACACTGTGTCCATCCGGGCAGAGTTGCGAAAAAAAGTGTAGATAACCGCTAGATAGGGACAGGACGATAGTTATGGTGGCTTCGTCGGCGGCGTTGCTGTCACGACTCACAAGCTCAACGCCGGCAAGCTTCGGGCAGCACAAGTTGAGACAACCAGAGCAGCGGGAAGGTGTGCAGAAAGGCAGTGTGTTCGCAGCCCTGTCGCATCGCCGATTCGGATCAGGCAACGGTGCAGGCGAGCCAGAACGAGTTCAAGGGCAACGTTGTTGGGCGAATGGACGATCGGGGGGAGGAATGACGTCTTAGGGGAGCGAGCGATGCGTGGGCTGTACGGTACCAGAAAGCTGAGCCAGTTCTGGGAGTCGGAACAAGATCCAATCCGGCCGGAAGCTGTCCCAACACCGAGAAATGGACAGAATTTAAGTCCAGGATAAAGGATGTCTGGTTTGAAATCGGGCGACGGAGATCCCTAGGTTTTTATGAATCTAACGTCTCCAGAGCACCCGTATCCCCTATTTATTATTCATTACAAAAATAAATAAATAAATAAATAACTCTATCGTAAAATATGGCTACAAAGCTACGAAACCACCGGGGTTGTGAAAAAAAAAAGGGGCAGGCTGGTGCTGGTGCTGGTTGAACCGGCGCTCTGCTGACGACTTTTGTATTTGGGATGTTTCGATAAATTACAGGGATGTTTCCAAGTGCAAAATGAGAAAAATGTTTCTTGCTGTCTCGGTGAGTCCAGATGAAGAGAACGCCCCGTGAACGGTTCGAATTTTGCGTTTCTGTTTTTCGCCGCTCTGCCAGCCGTTACGCGCACTGCGAATCCGGCGAGACGATTTGAGTGCGAACTACGCGCTGGGTACAGGGTACCTGTCTTGACGGCCTCATTTCGCCGGTGTTGGAAGTACCGGGCACGGAGTTCTACTAGTGAGTTTAAGGGGATTCCAGAAAAAGGAGAGAACACCGCACCGCCACAGACTGCCCGACGTCATTTACACGGATGAGTAAGCATGTGGCTGACAATATGGTCATGTGATACCGTCGAATGGGGCTTGGCAAGCGAGTCGTCGTTCTCCGGGCGAAGTTGAACGATAGCGAACGAGGAGATGCTGCGTGGTCGTGTCGTCTGGGCGTGTCTGAGGGGGAGAGGATGCTCTTTGGGCTGGCTGAGGGAGGGTGGCCAGTCACTCTGGTGGAGCTACTGTCCGGCAAACCATCTTCGGTCAATGCTGTGCCCCGTTTGATCCATGCCAATTTCCAATGGACACGCGGTTTCGCCCATCAAAGGTCACGCAGGGGGTGAATGGTCAACCGGATTGTGGGCGGAAAATATGTAAAATTGGAATCTAATTGAGCTCAAACATCCAGAGCACCATATACTACATGCAATGACTGAAAGATAGACATAAGATGAACACTGCCAGAACAAATAATTTTTTTTTTTTTTTTTTTTTTTTTTTTTTTTTGGTTTAAGAGGCCGAGGGTTGGGCGACTGGTACGTCGATCCCGTAGTTCTGCTTTATTCTCTCTTGTCGTCTCTCTGCGTAGCCAGGGCCATAAATTCCTGGAGAAAAAAAAAACTCGCATTAGGACTGTGTTAAAAAGGACGAACCCGCGGGTCCCCGAAAAGTGGGAGTAAATACGTACCTCTTCCCTCGCCCAGCTCGGCAATTGTCTGTTCTCCCGGGCTACGATAGTTCTTTCTCAATGACTCCCGTCTGTCATACTCGTCCACATTGGTCTCCGTCCCGTATCCTTCAAGTCTGCCTCCGGTATATTCGAATACGCCGAGAACGGTTGCGACGGTGGCACCGTAGCCAAGGACGGCGGGGAAGGTACGTGCTGCGTACACAAGATCAGAACCGACCTAGGAAAAGTTGGAAAGATTGAAGCCCACCTCTGAAGCCCATGGCTGCGCCGGCAAAGAATCCACCCAGGGTGGCGTTCCAGAAGTCTTCCTTTTCGCGCAGGTTTGCGGAAGCGGTCTTCACAAACTCATAGGCGCCGCCCATTGTCGCTGCGGTCAATGTCAACGTCAGCCCCTCTGAGACCATCTAATTGCCCCGAATTATTATTATTATCCGCTATATCAAACAATTGCGTACCAAACAGAGCGATAGTGCTGCCTGTTCTTGTAAAGACACCCCATGGCCCAAGGTTCTGTTTTGCGAGGGTGTTCTGTACGGCGGAGGTGAACAGACCCATGCTGCCGGTAATCAGCGTGGTCTTGGCTGCGGTAGAGATGGCATCCTTCGGATGGTACACATGCTGCTCTTCTGACGAGGACATGGTTGCTGTGCTGCGTTCAATTGAGCCGGTGCACGGGGGTCGAGGTGAGTTTCGCCGGCTGTTAACGATATGGAGGTTCAAAGGTTGTGGCCCGGCACCAGAGCGTCTTGGCGTGTTTGCACCAGATGCTTTCCATCAACCAGGCGACCATCATCATCATCCGTTCGTCGTGGTCAGGAACACACTAGTTACACCCCATATAAGGTTCTCCCCAGCTAGCTTCACGTATGTACAGACAGACAGACCAAAGCTTTGTAACGTTATAGCTTCTGGCTGTTCGCTTTGGTCCTGTTGGGCACATCTGAGCAGCGCCCCCTGGAAGATTCTCAATTGTCTGTCGCGCCTCGTGCTTTCCTGCCGCCAGCTACTGCCCCTCGCTGGAATCAATGAGCTTCGATGTTGCTGGGATAGAAGGCTCATCGCCCCGATAGCACAGGCGACCGCAGCTTTTCGGGAGGAGCCGAACACGCTTTTCCTCACCCTCTCTCTCTATATCTCTAGGTCTTTGCATTGGAACAACGCCAGGAAACCGCCGGGCGTCTTGCTTCGTCGTCCAAATTCCTGAACGGAAAACACCCTCCCAAATATTCGCGACGTCGTCCTGAACACTCTACCGAATGCTCAAGTTTCCGAAACCACGTATCTTTGGGCGACCAGGTAAGTAACCATCGATCCTATCAACTTCGGTGCCTACTGCTTGACGCTGACGACTCTTGTTTCGCGCACTTTTAGGGAAGACCTCCCCCCGCTTCATCCAAGATGTTCTCTGCTACGACCCGGCAACCCCCTCAGGGCAAGGATTCAATCTCCTCACAGATGTCCCGCCGGTTTGGGGGGATGCCAATGACTATCCAGAATTTGTCGCACCCAATCACTGCCCTCATCGTTACCTAACCAAGCCAAACCAGACAAAACTCCCACAGGACATCAGCACACTATGTTGCGGTAATGTCTTCAAGGTTTCTGCGGTTTGTATGTGGTGTCGCTATCATATAGAACTGGCCATCACATATACTGCCCCGAAACAAGTGAGACTAGATCACCTTCATCATCTGGTATTTGTTTCTGAAACATTAGCAAAAGACGATCCGGACTATCGATTCGACTCACGCACCCGACACAGTGAACGGTACTACTTTGTTTGTTCTATTCCGGAATGTACCGCCGAGTTCTCACTGAAATTCTTTGCCCCATATCTCACACCTCAGAGTGTCAGGCTGTTAGTAGACGAGCATCTATTGAGAGAGCGCATGGAAGAAGCTTTGAAGCTTTGCCCTGATCGCTTGGAAGGAATCAGTCATCCGCTTCCTATCACAGTCTTGGCCACTCTAAAAGCATATATCGACATTGCATTGAATGAGCCGGAAAGAAGCCGCGGAATAGATCTTGGGAATAAACGCTTCACAACATCATTTGGTGTCAGAGGGACACCTTGCAAAGACCTCTTAGAATTCATAGGATTCAAATTGAAGGTGCGCAAGGCTCTCTCTCTCTTGCAACCTTTCTTTCCCCCAGAACCCTTTTGTGACAATGGTTTTGTGAGTCCATGTTCTGACATCATATCATGCATTCTTGCGGTTATAGGAAGATAAAAACTGCTGGCTCCCACCTAACCCAGTGAAGTCTTCTCTCCTGCCATATCACCACCCCGAACGCATATTCCTTGACGACCTTTCGAATGAATTGCTTGCCTTGATGAAACAGCGCCCCGAGCATGAAAAGGAGGCGTACTTCCTGGATTTTTCGGCGGAAGCAGCTTCCACCCAGTTTAGTTACCTGCTTGGCTCAAACAATTGTACGCGAGTTTATCCCCCTCTTCTCCCTTTTCTTTTCTTTTTCTTTTTTTCCCTCTCTTTAAGCCAATGCGCTGACCAAATTCGTCAGATTCAAGGATGTATACGTTTCCTATCAATGGCTCAAGAGAATCCCAACCCCCGTAAGCCCGGCTTCCCTGCCCTGCGTCGCTATGCCTAACGGATAAGTAACTAATATCTTGAACCGGTGCTAGGTTTTACCAGGACTTGGGAGCGACAGAGGATATGTCGAGCGAACTGATCATCGAAGCTTATCGGAATCAGGTCCAGTGTGATCCGGATCGAAGCTCTTACTATTTCAAATGTCTCCGCTCCATCGGCCATTGGAGGGGGGAACTCGAGGGCAAAACCATCGCCGAATTCATCGAAGAGCAATACGCAGAGGGAAAATACGCCGACGATGACATTCCGGACGCCTATCGGTTTTTCCAGCTTGATATCAATGATAGAAGCCTCTCCGATGAGACTATAATAGGATCTTTTTTTGCACGACTAGAGGACTCTCCCAATGAGGCAGAACCGAGAAGGCAGCTTGCAAGGATTGGCGATTATCGCCGTAGTCAGGCGATAAAATCAGTTGCAGAAGAAAGTAGGGTTGCCTATCTGCCATGTTCACCCTAAACCGCTTGATAACTAATCGCCGCAACTAGGTGTATCGGACATGCAACAGGCCCTTGTGTTCCTCGGTGCCGAACAAGATACGCCTGACGACTTCATCATCTCCATGTATGCTGCAAAGGTACGGTCCCCCGCCCGTGTTGCTAGAGCTAGGATATCTAATGCACCTTGGTACCCTAGGTCGACGATATGCCTGCCACTAAAGAACTTGCTAAGCGTGCGCTGTCATTAATCGCGGAAGAAAGAAAATCTGAGCACCTTCGATACTTCCTTCGTACGGGCGATGCACAATCAGATGAAATGGATATTGGCGAAGCTTATCGACTCTTTCAGATATCTGACCGTACAGTAGATGACGATTCTATCCTTGCGGCGTTTCAAGTCTTCGCCACGGAGGATCCCGCACAGATCGAAACTTACCGAAAGGCCCTTAAGGTTATTTCAGATGAGACCCAGAGCTTATTGCTGAAGAAGGCGCTTGGTGAAGATCTCACTCCAGACAATTTCGACCTTAAAGAATGGCCAGTGGGTCTACGCAATATCGGCAACACATGTTACCTCAACAGCCTACTTCAATTCTATTTTACGGTGACGCCTTTTCGGAATATGATCTTTCACTTTGAAAAACAAAAAATGGAGCTGGACGACGAAAGCTTACGGCGCAAGAAAGTCGGATCGCGAACAGTTTCCAGATCTGAAGTCGAACGGGCCCAAAAATGTAGGGGTTGCTAAATGTCCTCCTATAACTGTTCGTTTAATGGCTAACCAGATACACAGTTATTCGCGAACTACGCTCGCTTTTTCAGAACATGGCGTCTTCCCCGACACGTTGTGTGACTCCGAGCCAGGAACTTGCGAGATTGACGCTTCTTAGCTCTTCAAACGAGGCCGCAATTCGACGTAAATCCCTAGCTGAACCAAATTTGCCAGTTTACGGTCCTTTCTTACCACCCGATGTTGACCTTAATAGTAATGCTGGTTCATCTCTGGCCACACGACCTATCAAAGGACAAGGTAGTGAAGATAGCGAGGCAACCCTTGTTCCCCCTTCTGACCCAAGTAGTGTCGAAATCGGAATCGACAATAAAGAGAATGTACAGCCTCAAGAACCCGGGGCTGTTGTTGAGTCTACAGCTGCCGCGCCCGCCAATGGCCCTGCAGCTGCGCAGGAAGGTTCGACGCGTAGACCAATGAATCCTCCTGATAGACCGCCGCCTGTTCCGCCTCGTCCAGTACCTGATAGCGTGAAGAAGGAACTAGAGATTGGCGCACAGCAGGATGTCACAGAAGTGATCAATAATGTACTGTTCCAAGCACAGTGTGCCGTTAAGCCCGAAGGCTATGATGCAGACGGCGGGCAACTCGATATTGTCACTGAGTAAGTCAGGCTTATATTATTATTTGATCTACCATTGACCACTTTTTCCCAGACTCTTCTATGGCAAAACAAAGTCATACATCACAACGTCGGACGGTGTTCGATGCAAAGAAGAGCCATGGTCAGATATTAAAGTGGACGTTGCAAGACAATCCAGTGATATATATTCAGCCCTTGATGGTGCCTTTGACATGCAACGAGTGCACATCGGTGGCGTGGAAGCGGAGCAACACGGCACCATCAGCAAGGCTCCCCCGATTCTCCAGATTCAAATCCAGCGAGTGCAATTTGACCAGGTTCAGATGCAGTCGTTCAAATCAAACAATCACCTGGAGTTGAGAGAGACGATATATCTTGATCGATATATGGACACGCCACTGGATGATAAAATCCACAGGAAGCGTCAGGAGAAATGGCGTTTAAAGGACGAGCTACAGAGATTAGAAAAACGCAGGGATGAGCTCTACAACAAGGTATACTTTGTTTTGTTTTTTTTTTTTTTTTTGAATTTTTTTACCTTTTGTTGGCCGAGTGAAGACTAAAGCGAACTCCAGGCCAACCAGCCTTTACCCGAAGTATTCGACATGCTTGGAAACAAATTACAAGTGTTTATGGACCTCCAAGAAAGCTCCAAAATTAATGATGATGGCCTTGGTGTCGAAGAATCAACAATAGCTCTTGTTTCTAGGTTCGAGGAGGCTACTGAAGATGAAATATTGTGTAAGTTTAGCTGCTTTGGCGATGCCCTTTTAAGCCGGTTGTCCAGACCTAGGCCTTTCTTTTCTTTTTTTTTTCTTTTTTTAAATACCGTGTTTGGGGGGCCATATGTTTGCTAATAGGCTTCTCAGGGATCGACAAACGGATCGCCGAGCTCGGTTGGCACCTCGAGAATACGTTTGCTGAAGACGAAAGGGTCCCGTACCGTCTGTATGCGGTATTTATTCATCGAGGCTCGGCCTCAGCTGGTCATTATTGGATTTATATTTTTGATTTCGAGAAAAAAATCTGGCGTGAATATAACGACGAGCAGGTATTGGAAATTAAGAAGCTGTCAACAATATTCGCGCCAGAGACAGGACCTCACTCGCCGTCGCCTTACTTCCTAGTATACGTCAATGATCCTCTGAAGGAAAAACTCACCAATCCAGTATGCCGGGCCGTTAGAGACCTACCTTCACCGGACTTGCCTACAAATACGGTCGATCCGCCGCCGTTCAAGACCTCAGAGGAGCAGATGGATAGGCATGCCAGGCCGCCCACTAGAGAACCTGTCAAGGGGAAGCAGCAGCCCGCCGATGGAGTGGCACAACAAGATCTCGAAATGTCCGACGCCCCACCATCATACGAAGACGTGACTTCTATGAACAATAAAGGTATGAGGAATACTCGTCCCCGGATTCAAAAGCAGAGTAGTTCTCACGAAGCGTCCCTTGAGCCTGCTGCGGGTGGATCATGGGCGAAGGAGCTTACTGACATGCCTGGCGCCGAATGGTAGGGGTAAATGTTTCGGCCCGAGAAATTTCACCGTCGCCATCTCCATCTCCGCCATCGAACCCTCTAAAACGTAAACACTGAGATTGACCCTTTTTATATTTTGCTTGTTCTTTGGACTTAATTTTTCCTCGGCTCCTCGTGCGGATTGGCGTTGTTTCGCGGCTTCACGTCACCCTTCAGTTTTAGTACTATTCCCACGTGTCAAGCTTTTTTTTTTTTAAATGGGGGCTTGCATGGGTTTATATCGAATGTTTCGATTTCAGTGGGTCCATTTTGCGGGCGCATAAACGGTCGGGTTTTATAGAAGGATTGATTAGCTGGTTGGGACCGGGACACATACTTGCAAACAGCGCCGGGGTGGAAAATCGGATTTGGCGGACCATGGGGTCTTCTTGTGGGTTTATTCCTCCGTACCATTAACATTCGTAAGCTTCTTTTTTATATTGTTATAGATTCTCAAGATTATGCGTTGTTGCGGCGTAGCATAGCGAAAGGTATCATGGACATAGAAAGGTTTCCTCAGGCGTCGAGGTGCGATTTGGTTCTTCTTAATTGCTGGCGTTGAAAGCAGCATAGAGATTCCCGTTGGTTTCAACTCTGGGTGGCTTTGCCGAGCAGAGCACGATGCTGCGCATTCTCCTCTCTACCTTTTAGCATCACGTCCAGACCTAAGGAGTTGCTCGAGGTCATATCAGCCGAGACAGTGCGGAATTATAGATCCGGGGAAATAGTTTCGCCAGTTTCCGGAAAGCTAGAATGCTTGGCAGGGCGGCTTTTTTTTGCGGCGGACGGAAAATCGGCGAGAAATCCCGTCACTCAACGGGAGCGAAGGGCTCAGAACTCGAGGATTCCCACCTTCATTGTCGACACCGATATCGTGTGTTCACATATACAGTATGAACCTGACTTGCCGCTACACGTTAAGCAATAGTCCAGAGCAATAATAGCGAGATGACGAAGATCGGGCACAACCACCAAAACCGCCCCGAAAGGTCGATCGCGGCCGGTTTGCCGGACCGCCCGAATTTGCCCGAGCCGAGCAGGGGAAAACCAGAAAACGCGGCAAGCCACGGAAGAGGTTTGGCTGGCGATCTGGACACCGAAACCGTCCGGGCGCCCACCTCCGATGCCAAGGATTCCTGGAATGCCACTGACAGCCCACCGGGAGGAAGCGCGGGTAGCGCCGGTGTTTTGGGAATGGGACAGACCGTCGTGGGAATTTGGGGATAGGGGTTCTGTTTGGTTAAGGCTGTCAGGCGTGGTTTGAACTCGTATTCAGGCTTATTAGCGGGCGACCTTTAAGTAGCTATAGGGCGTGTCTCTCTGAACGAGCATGAAGCTGCGATGACTGCTTAGAGAGGGGGGTGGCATCCGGGTCCTCAAGAATGCCGGGAAAAGCACTTTGCCGTCGATCTCTAGCACGCTAACAGGCGACGCATGGGAGATTTCCGCCTCCCCGCCTCCGTGGCAGTCGGCATTTTCTCCGCTCTACTATTGCTGTCGCCCCCTCCCCCCCCCTTTTGCTCCTCGCGCAGGCTTGTTGATGTCGTATTTATCATGGGCTGCTTGTGATGTCGGCTAAAGACGTTCTCTGCATCCTCGTCTGTTCTGTTGTGGTTATCCTGTAAGCAGTTCGGCTCTGTCATAGTTGTATATACTTTTACTTCACTGCCACAGCGTTGATCGAAAGAAAGCTCCATTGAATTTATCCGTGGGCCCCTTCGCTAGCGCCTCCATCAGGTCCCCCAAAGCTTTGATTTTTACCTCGACTCTTTTCCGCCTTGCCGCCCGGTAGGTGGATTAAGCAGGAATTCTTGGGATCGGGTAATGAGATCGAGATTTTGACTTGCATCCTTGTTTGTCGAATCCGTCCTTCCTTTCTCTTTCTGACGCTCTCCTCTCTGTCTCTCTCTCTCTCTCCGCGCTGCTAGACCTTTTCTTTCTTTCTTTCAATTTTCTTGTCAGCGTTGTGTGTCTTGCCAAACGCATTCATCAAACAGAAAAGAAAATTTGATTTTTCCGAGAATAAGTGAAAAGAAGAGGAGGGTTCCGCTTTGCTTTTGTGTGCACACAGACATATACACATAATCCCACCATGCAGTTACGAAAGTCCATCACCTGCTTGCGCCTTGCAAGGCAGTTCTCTGCAAACCCCACTAGAGTATGATATACTCCCCTCCCCCCGTTTCTGCTTTGTGGTGAAAGACGAGGCTGGGCTGACCGACGCCTTGGTCCTTTTTTTTCCTGTAGCATCAAAAATTCCTTGTCCGCGCATTCTCCAGCACCTTTGCCCGAAATGAGATCAACAAGGTTGTGTCGTCGGCCGAGGAGGCCATCAAGGATATGAAATCCAACTCCACACTCTTGGCTGGTGGTTTCGGTCTTTGTGGCGTGCCAGACAGCTTGATCAATGCCGTTCACAAGAATCCCGAGATCACAGGCCTCACGGCTGTCAGTAACAATGCTGGTGTCGACGGTGCCGGTCTTGGTCTTCTCTTGGCCAGCGGACAGATCAAGAAGATGATTGCTAGTTATGTTGGCGAGAACAAGACCTTTGAACGCATGTATCTCTCTGGACAGATCGATCTGGAATTGACTCCCCAGGGTACCTTGGCCGAACGATGCCGTGCAGGTGGTGCTGGTATCCCAGCCTTCTACACCCCAGCTGCCTTTGGAACTGTTGTCCAGACCGGTGAGCTTCCTCTCAGAAACAACCCTGACGGCACAGTTGCTCTGTACGGCCAACCCAGAGACGTCAAGGTGTTTGACGGCAAGAGCTACGTCATGGAGGAGTCGATCAAGGGTGACTATGCCTTTGTTAAGGCCTGGAAGGCCGACAAGCTCGGTAACTGTCAGTTCCGCTATGCTGCCCAGAACTTCAACGGCGCGATGGGTCGTAATGCCAAGATGACCATTGTCGAGGCCGAAAACATCGTTGAGGTCGGCGAGATCGAGCCCGCTTCGGTTCACCTTCCCGGAATCTACGTCAAGCGTGTCGTCCAGAGCACCACCGAGAAGAAGATCGAGAAATACACATTCGCTAAGGAGGGTAACGAGGCTGATATGTCTGCTCTCGGCAAGGGCGATACCGCCAGCAAGAGAGAACGCATCGTCCGCCGTGCCGCCAAGGAGTTCAAGAACGGAATGTATGCCAACTTGGGCATTGGCATGCCGATGTTGGCTCCCAACTTCGTTGACCCATCCGTCGAGGTTCAGCTGCAGTCGGAGAACGGTATCCTCGGTCTTGGACCCTACCCTAAGAAGGGCCAGGAGGACGCCGATTTGATCAATGCCGGCAAGGAAACCGTCACATTGCTCCCCGGTGCATCCTGCTTCGGCAGTGATGAGTCCTTTGGCATGATCCGATCTGGACGCATTGAGTTGACTATGTTGGGTGCTATGCAAGTTAGCGCAAAGGGTGACCTCGCCAACTGTAAGATTTCTCTACACCTGTGTTGGATTTGAGGGTGGTCAGCTAACATAGTTTTCCATAGGGATGTTGCCCGGCAAGATCAAGGGCTTCGGCGGCGCCATGGATCTCGTCTCTAACCCCTCCAAGACCAGAGTCGTGGTCACCATGGAGCACACCGATAAGAAGGGAAACCCCAAGATTCTCAAGCAGTGCGAGTTCCCTCTTACTGGTCGTGCTTGTGTTAGCAGAATCATCACCGACCTTTGCGTCTTCGATGTCGATTTCACCAATGGCTTGACTTTGATCGAGCTTGCCGACGGTGTCACTGTCGATGAAGTCCGCGCCAAGACGGAGGCACCCTTCAAGGTTGCGGATGATGTGAAGCCCATGCTCTGAGCGAGCAAAAACGAAAAACCTACCCACGTGGGTTACCTTGGAAATCTTTTGATGATATACTCTTAAGGCGATTGTTTGATACTGTCAAGATTGTTATGTATATACGCGATATGTCTGCCGGATTTTGGGCTGCTGCTTTTTCTGAGGTAATATAGCATTATGTGTGTTACAGGATATTAAATACCACTTTGGCTTGTCTGTTCAATCCGGCTTCTCTGTCCAGGGTTCTAATCGAAAATCACTTTTTCATTTCCACTGTTGGCGTCAAAACAAAGCCAAAAATTTACGCCCGTAAGGTATCTCTTATAAAAGTACACTTCGTCCCAAACCTCCTCGATCACGAAACGGAAGTAATATACATGTAGCCCGCCAATCCATCTTATTCACGCATCATCTCCGAAAACTTAAACCCGCATCGCGTGCTCCTATATTTATAGGATAGGATCCTGCATCAATTATCATTAATCCAACCCACGTATAGCTTTCCTATCATTTAAACCTCAAAATTCCACCAAACTTCTTTCCTAATCTCCCCAGCCAATTCCGCTGGGGTGCTTCTTCAAACTCCTTCAGCAATTTATCAAAATAGTCCGACTGACTGGCCGGATACCGGAGCGAGTTTGGCAGCGGATATTTCTTCTGGTATCTGTTCTCCAGCAGGGAATACAGCGCGTTAACATTCTGTGATGAGAGGAGCGGTTCCTCGCTCGACTGTGTAGAAGAAGTGGCGGTGGAAGGCTGGGAAGGAGGAGAGGATTTGCGGAAGAGTTGCGACCAGCGCGACGTAGATTGGGTCTCCGGGGCGGGTGGTGTTAGGCGGGATTGGAGGTATGTTTGGACGGAGACGGAAGAAGGACGAATTGCGTCAGTGGGCCAGCGGGTGAGAAGGCGCTGGATGTGTTTGGTTATTTGGGTGCGGGAGAGCTAGATAAGTATTATCAGTTGGGATATGGAACCGGGGGGTGTGTTTTATTTTTTTTTTTGCAATCTCGGTCTGCCTTACGTTATGCATGGTGTGTGGGGGAGAGAAATTATTTCCTTTAGATCAGTAGGAATAAAATTGGATTGGGTGATTCGAATACCATCAGAGGGAAGAAGAGTGAGCTCACTCCCCGAGCCTGGATGTGGTGCTTCGCTTTGCCGTCTTGCGAACTTGAACCTGCGCCGGAATCGCCTTTTGGAAGCTTTTCATCCTAAAGATCGTCTATATCAGAGCGCGCTAGCACCGACCCGGCCTAGCTGTGGCTCCCTATCATCACGTGCCGCGCCTATGGATCAGACGTCAGCCATCGATCATGACCGCCACAACCGCCGTTGGTTCTCGCTGGCCTCACGACGACGACGCCCGCTCCTCCACGCTGAGAGCTTCTGTTCTTTGTTTATACCTAGATTCTATTTTCAAGTCTTTCGCTGTCCCACTTGTTTCCTAGATTTTATCTCTGTCCGTGTCGCCGGCCATGAGCTCTCATCGGTATCAGCCGGTAAGTCATGCTCAGTGCCTGGGATCCATGTGTCCCCTTTCGCTTTGTCGATATCAACACGCTTGTTACGCAACCAGATGCTGACCCGTTTATTTTAGGTCGACACCCGTGCTGATGACGATGATGACCACTCTGTAGCTCCCGGCACCTCCGTAGCGTATCCTGTCCCTGCCTCTCCACCCCCTTCTTTCCATTCCAGAGCCTCGTCTCCTTCCTCCCGGCCCCTTTTTGCTCAGGATCCCCTACATACGGAAGCCGACCAAACGCTTGCGGACACATTTGGCGATGAACAGAACGATTCCGATGTGGAAGATGAGATAGATGACAGGCAACGACTGATGAGGGGTAACCCTACTCCGCCAGAAGAGAATACACAAATACCGGGCAGTTCCAGAGAGACGCAGCGGCCATCCAGACCGAGAAGCTCCACAGTGCTACCTACATTTGGCACCAGCGGCTCTTCCGGTGCCCCAAGAGTGATACGTTCCGCCGCGAACGATGGTGTTTTCGCGAATCTGGCCGCGAAGCCGGAACGTGGGGAGAAGGAGGATGACCTACCACCGGTATGCATATTATCCCTGCAGATTAGGGATATAAAGGCGCGTTGCTGATGTATACACAGAGCTACGAACAAGCCGCCGCCGACGCTACACCCCCATACTGGGAGACAACGATCGTTGCCCCCGGTATGTCATCGGATGAAGTATACGTCGATGGTCTGCCCGTTGGCTCATTTTTCTCCTTCGTCTGGAATGGCATGATTTCAACTTCTTTCCAGCTTGTCGGCTTCCTTCTCACTTATCTCCTTCATACTACGCATGCTGCCAAAAACGGAAGCCGAGCTGGTCTTGGCCTTACCCTGGTGCAGTATGGATTATATATGAAGCCTGGTGGTGGTTCAGAACCAGTATCATCGCCCGGCGATCCTCAATATGTTCCGCCAAATCCCAACGGTCACGATTTCTCTCCAGGATCAATTTCTGATGGAGACGCCTTTGACTCGGGCGATTCTTCCAGTGGCGGAATCTCCGGCATTACCACAAGCGAGTGGATTTCCTACATTCTTATGATTGTTGGGTGGTTTATTTTGATTCGGGCAATTAGCGATTATCTCCGTGCACGGCGGCACGAGCAGTTGGTTCTACAGAGTCCCGAAAGAGGCTTGCCTGTCCCAATTATTGCCGAAGGGGAACGACCAGAAAATGCGGTATAAATACGCCTTCTGGTCGATTTCGGACCCCAGGTTTTTGGCTACGGGAGCCCCCTTTTTTTTTTCTCTTTCTAATAAAAAAAACGTACATGAGAAGGCATGTAACTGCGTGTACTCTATCCTTTTGTGAGGCCTCCTTTTTTTTTTTTTTTTTTTTTTTTTTCTTGGCGTTAATGAGCTTATCCTGGGGCGACCGATCGATTGGGGAGACAGCGTCGATGCCACGGAGCACAGTGTTCGAGAACCGTCCAAGAACCCGAAATCACCGTTGTAAACGATTTTTTTCCTTTTCTCGACTTCCCGTTCACCTCTCCTTTTCCTCCTTTACCTACGGCGAAGTATATTTTCCCCTCCACGATATTTGACTTTTCCTAAGATACCAGGTATAATTACAACAATCAAGCATATTTTCCTTAACTTGCATCCGATCACGTTTCTCCCAAATGGCCCTCCAAGGTGTAGCTAAATTATCATCTTGTTAATCTGCAGTAATAATATCATCCTGTGCCTCTCGTTTTCAAAAGTGCGCCGTCTCGCCAGATGGGGCTGTCGTATAACTGTGGCGCAGCAGGCGGGCTGCTCTGTAACGCCAGGTCCATCGGTGTCAGCTTTGTTTGAACATCGCGATCCGTCTATTGGCTGTCCGCTCGCTCCCTCTCGCTCCAGATAAAGCCTCTGACGCAGACTTGACATGTCTGTGGCTCAAATATTTCCGCGTCGTCCAGTGACGCTCGTTGCTTTCTGTCTCATCCTGCGGGGCCCGGCATCGGTACAGTGGGAGCCTGCATGCGATGGAGCTTGATTGACCCTGAACCACGGCCTAGTTTCCTCCCACGCAGACTCTGAATTTGGAATTCTTCGCTCGGGACTCCGTCGTTAACTATTTTGCCTTGCTGCGAAAGACGTGAGGAAGTTTGCAGGAAACCCGCTTCTAAAACCCCAGGTTCCTTCCGACAAGCTCCTGTGTGCCACCTGTTCCTTCGTTCGCTGCCCAATCCCGCAGAAGCAAAGCAGGCTTGGTTTTTGATGCATATTAGTATACTATTCTCTCGATAAGCTCTCTGGTCCATTCAAACCGAATATTTACTCGTATCCTTCCCCTCTCGAACCCAAATATACCTTTAACCATCGATTGCTCATACTTCATTCATACATAACCGCATGGATGGCGCGTACAAGCCAGGATCAACCTCTGCCATCTCCTTCAGGGCCCATTGAGGCCCGATCTCTCCTTGGATTTACAAATCTCGCCTCAAATCCGCCAAATTACCCGCGTAATCCGACGCAGCAAGTCCTTGAACCGCTAGTTCTGTATATCGTTAGAGTTCCGGGAAGCAAAGGTACTAATCCTCCACGGGGATGGCAGCTGTTTTACGTGCATACATGATTCCATGCGGATTATGGCGGAGATATGTGTATATAACTAACCGACGTGCTGGGTTGATGTGCCCAAGCCTGTGAAGCACAGATGTTTTCTTGTCACCCCTCAAACCGCCCACGAAGTCGAGCTTTTCTCCCGAATCGATAAACGCATCGTTATACTTTTGTCACGTCGCTGGGCCAGGCGATGAAGCAGTTCTAGAAAATATTGAGAATGAAAGAAAGGTAGAGGAGGAGAAAAGACAATGGCAGCACCAGCAGCAGGAGCAACTGGCGCTCCATAGTGGTGACAATGGCAATGGCAACGGCAATGGGAAGGGCAAAACTGACATGTTTGCTTTGTTGAACCGTGTCCGGAGGAAGCCTGTACCCACCACGACAGCCTTGCATATTGATACGATGACTCCCAGCTCAAATCCTGCTTTGGCAAATGTTGACGGAACGCGCTCAGGAGACAAGGAGAGCATAGGTGTAGAACGCCGGCTTGTCGCAAATACAGAGCATCTGAGAGGCGGGGTGCAGAGTGCAGGACACTTGGAGGCGCCACGGCCTTGGGAAACTCCAGGTATTTCGAGGCATCCAGTGTCGTCGCTATCACTGTCACAAGAGCAGCATTCCGTTCACCCAGAATCCGGAACAGAAGATACGCATGCGAAGCGATGGAGTACACACTCTCTTTCTCCCGCCCCTATGAAAGAAACGTTCCATCGCCTGCGGAGTAGCTTTGACTCGTCCCCGGGACGAGCGAGCTGGGATTGTGAACGTCCTACTATCCATCCAAAATCTCCGGGCAAATCTCGACTAGGAGGACGGCTGCACTTGCCGGGCGAATCGACAGGACACCCGCTGTCTCTAAGGCCCAAACGCAGCTACGAAGTGCATCAAGAAACCCGTATATCTCCACCTTTCCACATCACACTGATACGGCGAGATCCAACTTACGGGAATCAATGGAATGTTGGGACTATTACGAATTGTATAGCTCCTTCAAAAGCTGCACCGGACGGATCCGTCGCAATTGAGATCACTACACCTGGATATAAAAAGTTCGCGAACAACAAGCCCATCTCCTTCGAGAGTCTCGGAATCAACCTCCCATCCTCAATGCGCCATCTAGTATCGGCCTCGTCAGATTCTTCAGCAGATCAGACCAGGACCGACCCCGATGTCCCAACTGGACCCTTGAAATTTACACGCAAACTCACTCCCGTACACCATCACCCCCCAAGCGAAGCTCTCGACATCAGTCCGCCACGCCGAAAGACACATCCCTTCAGGCCCATAGAAAATTATGCATTCACATCACCTTGGAATGGAACCTGCACCTTTGGTCCTGGGGCCTATAGCCGCACGCTACGATGCAGACATGTCATCCCAGGTCCAAATAGCTCTACGTCACAGTCATCCTCATCGTCCGCTGTAACGGTCGCGGAAATCCGCTTCAACCTTCCCACATTCCCATCTACATATCCTCGTCCTAGCTCCTCGCCTCGTGCAGACAGTTCTAACGACTTATCTTCTCCCTTTGATGAAGACAGGTTAGATTTGAGTTTGGCGAGGGAGCGAGCGGGCGGTGGAATGAGGGGGAACAGTGCTAAGCTGGGTAAGTTGATTATCCAGGACGAAGGCTTGAAGATGGTTGATCTGCTGGTGGCAGCCAGCATGGGGGTCTTTTGGGGCGTGTATGAACATGCTTCTTCTATATGATGGCACCTAGAATGGTCTTGGCCCATATTGATTATGGAAATATTAACAGTCGAACTTACATTGGGTTTGTTGGATGGCAGCCATATATTGACTCAGGGAAGTTTCTTGGGATAAACTGTGAGATTGTCTTTCCGGGTCCTTAATTACTGGCAGAAATGCCCTTCACTTTCTGTAAACTGGTCATTTAGCAGGTTTGAAGTTTACTTGCCCCTGATTTTTCCATGATCTTAGAAGTCAAGCGTGCAATTAAAAGCTGTAGCAGGCTCAATGGCTTTACACGCAGGTTTTGTCTTTCTGCTCGCATATGCGTAGATTTGAATCCTGATACGAAGTATTGTGATATTAGCAAATATTGATGCAGTGAATTCAACTAAAATTTACTCTGTAGTGATGATGTGCAGCGGCAGCGCTTTTTATCTCCTTTATATTATATCCATTAGCGAATCTACACCCTGTTTTAAATATTGAAAGAAACACAACTCAACTCTGATGAACATATATATGCTTCTTTTAGTCTCCAACAATATGGTAAATAGTCATCTTGTCGAGACACTAGTCTCTATGTAGTTAGTCTCCAGCTTAGCAGCTTGGATCTTCTTTGATCTGATGCAGAGTTTTCATCTTGCTTCTCATCCTACAATCCTTTGGATGAGACTAGCAAGAGCACACACATCTATCAAGTTCACATTCCATAGTTTCTATAGCTTCCACTTATGATTAGTAGTCTTATAGACTCTTCAAGAGATTCTAAGCCCTTCTTTAGAAATCTTTGAAGTCTTTGCAGTTGCTAAAAACAGAAAAAACTCTTGACAGAATAATGAATATTAATTTAGGGAGCTCTTCAGCTTCAAATCTTAATTCAATCTCGACAAATATAAGTTCGGCGGCGTGAGTACAACAAGGGGCTCTGCTTGCCAAGGTAACATATTTAACCCGGGTACATACAAGACAAACAAGACAAACATACCAAGGTACCATTTGTATCACGTGATTTACTGCCTTTCTAGACGTCAAAAGTCACAATCCGTCTTTCGTCCAGCGACCCGAGCCCTTCGAGATCCAGGTAACGATGGAGCTTAACAATATCAAACCTTGCGAAATTGTTTTCAAGGCGAAGCTTTTTGCCTTCGATTATTCCGTGATATTTCTTGTTATGGTTCATGGCCAGATATGTGTTATGAAGGTGGTAAGTAAGATCCTCCGAGCATTGCTGTGTTCTGATACTGATGGTAACAGCATCACGGTCGAGGGCCACGACGGTACTACGAACCGAAAGATCGTGAGTTGGATATCCATGTGCTTGAGTCTGCCGCCTATCGGCGACTAAGGGATCGAGGGTTGTGTGGATGTGGAATTATCCCTCGTTTACTTGGGACGATGGAGAAGTTCGATCCGAAACCATGCCAACCTTACCTGAAAATGTTCCTTCATGATAAATACCTTCCTAGCGCTATTTTTCTGGAGTACATACCGAATCTTGAGATGATTCATCTGCACAACTATACACAGAAACGAATGGACAACTTTCTCAAAGGCATGCAGGAGATACACGGAGCAGGAGTACGACACAGGGATCCGAAACCTAGGAACATGATGATCGTCAAGGACGATTCGGAAAGAGTTGTTTGGATAGATTTTGATCGAGCAGAGACTTACAACCTTCCAGTCACCGATGAACAAAAAAGGCTTTTGGACGAGGAGGAGGAGATTGTTCTTGGCTTCGGGGACTGTTTAGTAAGTGCTCTGCACCAATTGCAGCTCGTCTAAGGGGGCGACCCATTCTAAATCTCATTATCTACTGCAGCAAGCCGATTGTACAAAAGGGAAACTTGATGAAGCGTACCTTTTCTACTGCACTTGATCGAATCTTCTCGTGTCACGCGTGAACGAAAAAGGCCATCCCCATTGGGTATATATGTGCCCGACACACGGTTGAAGCTGCTTAATCAAAACCGGCTAATATACTCCGATAGTGTCTTTTCCTCTACCTAGCTACGCGCAACGCCACCAATACAGCATACGAAGCTAGCGACATCCACAATATAGGGGTTTGGCATGGCTTCAACTTGAACGCACTTCTTCAAAGTTATCAGAATCTCTTGGTTCAAGCACGGCTTCCACCAGACCCAATGCCGACATCCCCACCCCGTGCTATAACAGCAGAGAATGCTCTTAGAAGCAAGATCTCAGAATATGTCTTTCCAAGAGTGCGACGGGCTCTTCGAGCTGGGTTTGACCGGTTGATGGCAATCAACCAAATGAACGGCCTCACTCCCGTGTCGTTTGATGTTGGAGAGTGCGCCGAAGTTATCGATGCTTTCAAGCCAGACACCGCTTATTTTGCGGTCGCACTGCCAGTAGGCACCGGTCCAAACCGCGCACCAGGAGATGTCAAGCCATCGTGGAAATGGAGCACAGCCCATGCAAACCACCGACTCCTCGGAATTCGCAACGAGTATCGCCAAGCACTCAGTCAGGTCAACTGGTATATGAGACAGCACAATTCTCGACACGGCTTTCTTCTTACAAATCGCGAATTGGTCGTATTCCGAAGAGTGGATGACGGCGGCAACCTTGAGCTTGTTCCACCCATCCCATTCACATTCGGAGGTACCGCTGAACAGCCCCAGATGACTGTTCTCTTGGCACTGTGGTACCTCGGCATGCTTGCTGCCCAAGATGGACACGGTGGTTGGCATATGTGATCTTTTCTCTGCGGGGTCCTTATATACTTGGGCTGTTTCTGTTGCAAATGTACTGTTTCAAGTGTGTGGCCAGGTGAAATGGACAGTCCGGGAATCACCACTCTCCATTAACGTTGAGGGTGACATGGCCCAATTAGGACTAGTGCAGGATAAATTGGTTAAGTTAGTTTATCCAGTGAGTGTCAAGGGAAAGCTAAGCTATACAGCGAGTGTAAATTTCATTCTTGATCTACACACTTGATGGGCTTCCCTAGGCAAACATCGCTGGCTACTCCAGGTGTCACCTCTTTCGCTCCTGTAGTAGAACGGCTGGGCAACGGCCGCCTGCTGATGACCATTGGGATTCCATGCACCCTTTGAATTTCGACGAGCACGATGCAACCTATCCTGCGTTGTGTGAGCTCACATGCTTAACTGAAAAAGGAAAGGAAAAGGAAAGGAGTCGCATTGAGATCACACTGTAGGCTGAACGAATCAAGGTGGAAAAAAAAAAAGAAAAAAAAAAAAGGCAAGGCAGAGAATGCGCTGAACTGCCACGCGCTCGATCACAGACCTCTATTTCCTGAGGTTAGCATATTTCGAGTCTGTCGGGTGTTTGACAGTTAAACCCACATAGCCTCGTATCCACATTCTGGATATAATAAGTGGGCATCATTTTCAGCCATTTTACTATTATTCATATTCAATTAACCAACGTATATTACGTTGACTCCATTGTGGTTTTGCTGGCATGGCCCGTGGTTGAGCTTGACGGGTGAAGAACCATGGATGCTCGTAACTCAGGGACAACATGGAGTGAAGGGCCTCCGCGATCTTTCAGAGAATATCAGAACATGCGGCAGACGGCGGGAGAATTCAAACCTTTTGATTGCAAATATAGAAAGATGTATTTTGTAGCTGTAACCATAGGATAGTCACATCTGAGTGCTCATAAACCAGGAAGGGAAGAGAAAATGATAGTGTGGTACCCCGAATCAAATTCGATTATATTTTTGATTTCAAAAAGAAAAAAGGGAAAAGGTCCTTATTAAAGAGAAAAAATTGATACATGTATCAGATCAACGCCATATTGCATATAAAAACAACTTATCCTTCCACACATGCAAAGTAGAATAAACGTGGCAAGCCACAGAGGTCCATCAGGGAATTATTCCCCATCAGCAGAGACCAAGGTATGAGGGGAAAATGTGACAAGGTCTCCATATTAGTTGAAAAAGAGACGAGCTGGTATTTGGAACCGAGTGATAGAAATGACCAAGACGGCATTAAAATAATTTCGCAGGTTTGCACTGACATCACTCCAGTTCCTGGGCTCACAATGGAGCACGGCTTTGCTCTAGTACAACTAGTCAATTCATACAAATAGTACCAAGACATGTCTGCTCGAGTGGCATTGGTAGATGGCGAAATCTTCGTATCATCCCGCGTCATCACGCTTCAGATGCCATAACGCCGGAAAGAGATATAATCAACAGGTAGGTCGTTAAAACGGGATACAAAGGCAATGGAGGATGAGATAATGGCAGAAGGAGATCGTCGACGATAACAAAGACGGACATGATGGTTCAAATATGACTGTCGGATTGAGCAACCATCGCTCAGTAGTGTGAGTCAGGGTTAGTAACCTGGAAAATTTTAGTTTCAGCAAAAGTCTAGGTAAGCAGGTGTGGCGGGGGCTGTGCGAACCTTAAGGATCCGTCTAGAGAAGTCTTGATCATCAGCAATACTGCCGTTGCTCTGTCGTCGCTGAGACATGAGACTAGGTTCCAGTCTGGAATCAGACATCGAGCCTTCAGAATATGGTTTTCCCCCAGCCACGAAATTGCTGATTGTGGCATTGCGACGATATTCCTCCATCACTTCCTTGCGTTTCTTGTACTTCAAGAAGAAAAAGATTCCACCGATGATAGCCGCCAGGACGACCACTCCAACCACCACACCGGCAGCAATACCAGCTTTGTTAGGCCCTCCTCCCTTTTTGTCTGCATCACCGCCAGCAGTAACTACAACAGTATGGCCCGATTGCGTTATCGTCTGCATCGGTGGGCTTGTAGAAGTACCGGTAGCAGTCAGAACGCTGTCATCATCCGATTCGACCTCATCATTCCTTTCTGTATTGAAAACGGAAAATGTTTTTTTCCCACCGCCTTCAAAAATTAGCAACCATATTTACCCAAGGAGAGGGGGGGTAAGTGCGTGGCTTACAGTACTCCTTAGGATATCCATCACACGTAATTTTGCAATCATCGTCATCCGTTTTTTGGGACTTCGGTGGCAATTTATCTCCGCAATAGCAGTGTGATCCTTTTGACAAGGCCATGGCTGGCTTCTTCAACTTCTCACATACACCCCGGCAGTATCCTACGGACTGAAATGTGTATGGACCCTGACTTTTCATGGAACCTGATGATTTGTAACATCCTTGTGATGTCTCCTTGTTAATATCGTCTGCCGCACCTACTAGACCGCCATGCAATAATATCGAAGCCGCAATGGCGGCCACTGAAAGTAGCGACCTCATGCTTGAGTGATGTGCTTGAAGCGAGTAAGGCGAATGGGTATGAATGGCACCGTCAATCAGTGGTGCCCTGTTGGGTATCCGACACTAAACAAAAAATCCTGTTCTAGATGTATCGCTTGACTTTATGCACTCGATCGAGGCAGTTCAAGCATTTCAAAATAAAGAATATCGTTTCGTATCGAGCAAACGGTTCGACCGGCTTAAGGGGTTTCGAGGCGGTGCGAGCTTCCGGAACGAAAACTAATAAATACCGATGATGTCCAGCGAATATTCAATCAGGAATGAAAGAGTCTGTGTTGATAAGCGGTTCCCTCCAGAAATCACGGTCGAATTAATTTTATTTGATTAGTTTTGGGATTGCTCCTGTATTCTCGGAGTAATGTAGAGCCCTTAGCAGCGACAGACGTTCGGATGGTTGGCGATGTGCTCTGCACACAAGTGGCTCGCACTGGAGGGATGTGAGGATCGATGGATCGATGGAGATTGTGGATGGATTTGCACGAACAGTGACTTAGGGGGTCGATGAAAGAACGGCGAAAAACTGATGAATGAGGGGGGAGGTGTTGATGGGTTGCTCACGTCTTCCCTCTCTAGTACACTCTCGCTAAGAGATAACAACAACGCAGAAAAAAGAGCGGAATCTAAGCCCAACGAGCCAGGAAAAGACACAATGACTGCAACACGGCTTGATGGGCTAGTCAATGGTCCATGAAGGGTGATGCCAAAGGATGGACAGAAGTTGAACTTGGGATGGAAATGAAACGAAAGTGAAGGGCTGTGTCGATGGTGATCGCGGAGGATGGGTGAAACCTCCTGGAAAGGATCTGACGAGCAAGGGCCAGGCCATCTAACCCGTCTTGGGCGTAAGGGACGCCCATCGAACCGTAGTTACCGTACTGACGACTGGTATTGACCGCCGGTATGGGCACTTTACACACTGCTGATTGGTAAACACCTTACCGGTACGGGAATGGTACGTCACCTGGGCCAAACACGGTCACACTGATACCGCTGGGGTCGCCTGCAGCGTATGTGATTGGCGGATTCTCTCCATACCTGGTCCCATGATTACACAAAACGCCGTAATTTCAAACAATACCTAGCGCCCATGGAAATTAAGAGCGGGCCAGGAACAAGCTTAACCTGAATAGGCCACTTCGATCTCCACACTCCCTGTCCCGGTGGCTGTGCGGGATTCTCGTCGAGTCCAAACAGAGCGCAGACGCCGTGTCGGTGCCTTTCAAATTCCTCAGAGCGCAGACGGAGGAGAGGGGCTCAATAATATATATGGCATCTGCGCGCAATTTTCCCACACCGTGCCTACCCCACAGAGCAGTGATTACATCAGACCAGGATAAAAGTCATCATGACGGGAGTCTTTTCATTGCGCAATTTCTTCAAGCAATCCCGCCAGTCATGTGAATGTTTGCGTGAGGTCCCTTTCAAACCCTTGCGCCGTTTGGGGGAGACCTGGCGCAGATGTCTCAGAAGATTGCGTTGAACTCTGTCAGATAAGAACATGGGGTTTGCGTTAGCCAGAAAGCTCGGGTTCGAATTTTTCTTGTCCTTCGTCCTTGCAGAACTGCGAGAAGCGGGTGTGCCTTTTGCGAAACTAGCCCCCTTTTTCTGATATACAGGGCCTCCTTCAGACTCCAGGACTGTAGACTGTGTTGACTACATATTGTTATCTCAGCCACACAGTAGTCTTCCTTGGCCTGGCAGGGCGATTAAGCAGAGACAACACAGACCAGATGCTGGAAGAGTGTTTATCGGATCCATCCAGGATCTGTTCGTGAAGAAGGTATCTATCAGATCTCTAGTGGCTGAGTCGTGGTTTCGGAGGATATCTCCGTGATTTCGGTAATTATTCAATAAGATCCAGGTCTCAGCGCGCAGGCTCTCGGCAGCCTCAGAGGAGGATCTTTATTCTCACATTTCGATGCCTCGCAAGGCTCCATCTTTATGCCAACTCATCAACAGTGAAAGTTACAGGAATATGTATTTGTTACAGTAAGCGACAGTCCAGCTCTTTACGAAGTACTGAAAACAGGTTCCCGCCTCTCACAAAGCCTTGAAACCAACAAACACCGTCGCCCTGAAGTTTCTTAAGCTTCTTGCTGCTCAGTCTTCCGTCTGGTCATCTTAACATGATGATGATTTTCACCTCAATACCCAATAAAAACTGCCCCTTGTATGTATGTACAGTACACTTGACAATCCATGAGGGCCAAACATTAACCATCCTGCTTGGTAGAGAGTCGAACACTAACTATTGGCATGAACTTTCTGCGTGAAATATTCTCTGATAACAACAAAGCAAAATCCTTTGTGTTGACAGGTACATTGTAACTTGCCTCTGTTTCATCTGCATCCAATGAGGAATGAGAAGCACCAAATCAAGCAAAATGTCTCTAGAGGTTACAGAGTGAATGTAACTTACTTCCGGAGAAGCCTCCTGCAAGACATGGGGTGACCTTGTCCTCAACTCTGGAGGATAGGTCCCAGGTGCGGAAGAGGACACATCAATAGGTTCTATTCATGGCTACAACAGTAAATTTCTCTTTAATTGATGATCGGCCCATGACTGACTGCTCTATTCACAATGTGCCCCTCGAAGTAGGCGCACAGGCACTTAGATCATGTTGGAGATCATATGGCTTTTATCACTCTGCAAATAGCTATTGGCCTGTACTGATTTGGCTCAGGATTTGTGTATATGTACAGAGTACACACAAACTTCCATCTCTGACTTCCACACACTCCCGCAATATATTGCGAATGACTTCAAGCAGCCCCTGTTGGACCTTCAAGCTCGTTGTTAACTACTCCAATTCTCTTCCAAAAATGCGGGATGACTATAATCCCATTGTTAGCCAACATGACGCGAACATGTTACATGCCCAATCGCTGAAGCTCAAGAGTCAAGAGGTGCAGGTGAACAGAGTGGGATAATCTGACCAGTTTTACCCTGTTCATCACCCAACGAAAGATCAAGCTAAACATGCACATTGGAACTGTCTACTTACATGTTATCTACAAGAAATGCCATGGCAAGAGCTGATGACTGGTACTTATCAATTCCACGTCCGCCCATGAGGATCATTCCCAGACCTGCATACTGCCAGAGACATTTGGGTGGCAAGCATAAGTATCATTCAGTGCATAGACTATGTTCAGCCAGTCACAGTTTCAGCTATTTCTGAACGCAAAAGATTCAATATATAACATGAGAAAATTGGAAGTGCGACAAAGCCAATCCCGCTCGGGTACTCCGTACATCCAGACCAATACTATATATGCGTATTTGGCTGTGTCAGACCGTGAGGGGGTGCTGCCCCAATGCCCCCTAGATCTAAACGGGAAAGACAGCAGCAATTTGAGGTACGAACCTGACAGCCGTCGCTCATGTTTACAACAAGATGGGGCGTTACACCCTATTTGTGACACGGGTAAAGGGGGAGACAATACTTGATACGGCACCATCGCCAGCAAATCTGTGAAGTTGTGGCGAGAATGGGCCAGGTTTTCTGAACATCAGGGTCAAAGCTCCTTAAAGAGTCAAGCTTGCGTTTGAAAACTTGGGGCCCCAATGAAGATTGTTGTTTTGAAAGAGACACTGTTCATTCAAGGGTTGAATTGACCTGACAATGAAAAGAAACAGAAGTGCTTCCATGTTGTATAAATGGCGTAGCGATGTGATTGGCTTGTTGAGAAGTTGACTTTTACACGCCTCGATTCTTGAGCAGCTGGGACGGGTCAATAAATTATTCAAGCATCTGAGGTTCTAGTTATACAGTACAGTGATTGACGATGGCTCAGCGCATCTTAGACTTTTAATGCATTTATTTTGCGGTACATTCACCACACAGCCGTCCCATAAACCGAGTCTTATTGTCTTCCGTTTGCCCACCTTCTAATGGTCGAAGTAAAGCAAGGCTTTTCGCAAAGCACACAAATAGCTAGTTATTCACCTAAAATTGGTTTGAACACTGATTTTTCTTCCTAAGTCGAACCCTAGAGCATCTCCTTTATTCCTCTGTTCTTCTGCATGCCATTCACGGTTTAGGGATATGTATCGTCTTGCTTATCATTAGACAACCCCATAGAGCAAACAGGCCAGCTGCAGGGTGAAATTCAAACAGGGTACCACGTGCGATCACGCCAAGGGGTATATCCTCCAAGACCCAACCTTTAGAGACCCAGTATGCCATCACAGCGGCGATAGATAGGGTGGTTGGGATCGGGGTTCCTTCAAAGTATTGTGATTTTCCGGTTTTGTCTTTGGGGAGAGTAGCAACAGTGACGTTGAATCTGGCAAGACGAGTGAGGCCGCAGAGAACGAAAAAGGCGAGGAAGATGTGGTCCAGTGGTGTACGGATTCCGATAGCGAATGCGGCTGCAGCAGGAGCGACACCGAAAGATATCTGCAGCGAGTGAGAGTGGTAAGCTTGTGTTTATCGATGCTATGCATGTTGCAAAAGGAATTGGCGACAAAATAAATCTCTTACCAAATCAGCTAAGGAGTCAAGCTCCTGGCCCATGAGCGACGACTTTCTTCTCCATCTAGCAACCTTTCCGTCCATGAAGTCGAAAAACAGGCCGAATGGCATGAATGCCAAAGCAATCCACAATTCTCTAAACTGATCAGGGTCTCCAAGACAGTATCGCATCGAAGAAAATATCGACATCACTAAAAACAACAATGTAAGTAGTCAATCCCAACGAAGGGCGCGCAGGTAAAGCTTGCCTCCACAGAATCCTATGGTAGGGAGTTAGTTTTTCAATGGACCGTAAAAAAGGGTGAAAGAGGATAACGGGCTAGGCTTACCATTTAACTCAGTAATCAGATCAGCAAGATGGAGGGCCCTAACTCGTATTCTCCGTGAGCAGCTGTTCAGGCAGATATTGGAGATTCCGTAGCTTATGACTTCAACCAAGCACTCACCTGATCATGCTAAAATGCCCTGTATCCGCTGAGAGAAGCATTTTTTGTTTATCTTGAGCTAACTTAAGTAAGCTTACGCTTTTCGAGGCACGCTGCTGTATGTCCCAAGTACTTACTCGAATCTTTATGGTTCGCATTGCAGTCCGAACCAGCATTGTCCACCGGAGCTGAGATCGGGACAGAACTTCTGCGGGACATTGCCAAGCCTTGGACTCGGGAGCATATAATGTGGGAAAAAGGGCTGCGAACAGGAACTTTGGTGGGAGATTGATGGTTTTGCAGTTTTTGAGGTTGTTATTGGTGTTGTTGAAAGAAGGATCACTGAGAAAATTCAAGGACAGCTGACAACGGAGCAATAGTGTTCTTGAATTTTTGGCTGCTGATTCGAAACGTCATAAGCGGCCATAGGCACCGAAATCAGAAGCTGAATTTCTTGCAGCCAAGCTTGGACTCACAGCCAATCGAGAGGTGGAACTACAGAATGTCACAATTTTGTTGATTCACTACAAAACTCAACGGCAAAATTTTCGTCTATTTTTACACGATCCTGCTGAAATACAACAATCAGATCAAGTTTGTGGACAGCCGTATCCAAACGAAAACTCCCAGCCACACATGCTCCTGAACGCCAAATAGGAAAGGCAGAATTAACCGCGACCCCGGAACCCGCCTCGAGAACCTCCTCTTGGACCACCGCGTGAAGAGAATCCACCGCCTCTTCCACCTCGAGCTCCACCTCCACCTCTGCCTCCAAAGCCTCCTCTCCCTCTAGGAGCTCCTCTTCCACCGCGGGCGCCACCTCTTCCTCCACGGACACCACCTCTACCGGTTCCAGCGGCTTTCTTTGGTTTTGAAACCCCTAGAAGAATTTGTTAAAACATCAGTTTAATATCAGTCGACGACCTTTTATCTTACCTGGTGGTGGCTTGGGTTTTGGTAGGAATCTAGGACGCGCGATCAGTATCCCAGCAAAGTATATCAACAAAGTGTCAACGTACTTCTCCAGAGGTAACAGCTTGTCGCCTCCAATGTAGAATTTGTCACCCGGTTTGAAAGATGTCGCGACGATACCCTCCTGCGGCTTTATCGTAAAGTACACTTGGTTGATTGGTCCCAAAACCTCATCTACTTTTCCGACTGGCGTCTAATTTGCGCGTCATGTTAGCCCATTGGAGGTCCTGCGATCCCGCACATAGAGAGATCATATGTACCTTATTCTCGAGATATATCGGCGCGTTGAAGTACGGGATTTTGGGGTTGATTGATTCACAAACCATCTCTCCTTCGCACGCGTGCATAAATGAGCCCATTTCTAAAATTCGATCAGTTTCTCGTTCAACCAAAATGACTCGCTAAGATGTACCTAAAACGGTTGTCGGGGGCCCAAAAGATTGTTGCATTCCTCCTCGTCCTGATGCCGCAGCTCGCCATCAGCATTTTTCATGAGCAATTTCACATTTCTATCGGGGTCTTACCACCACGAGCAGAAAAACCACCACGATTGGCGCCGGTGCCAAATCCGCGGCCTCTGCTACCCCCTCGCGATGCCATGATGCCGATCCTTTGGTTAAATGTAGACCGGTTTGGAGAATTTGTATGCAATCAACGAGTTGCTCTCGCTCAACACCAAAAGCTAGCTTCGGCTAAGATTGTGAAAAATATGTCATCACGTGACTCACCGCCTTCTCTGCCGGCGCGGCGCTCGTAAAATTGTCCCCTCACTAAATCTAGATCTGGCGAGTCGATCGAGAATAGAGACTCACCAGGCGACTACGTGGGAAAATTTGGGATAGTGACAACTACAATTGGGTTCTCAACATGGCTGGAGAAAGCGCAAAGCCGCAGGTTTCTGAAGGCGTCCAAACCGACCTCCCTGATCGGTCCGTCTCGTCCACTCCCACTGCCCCTCAGCAGAAAGCGGGCAAGCCAAAGCCGAAGAAACCAGAGGAGACGCCCCTTCCAGACTTCATCGTCGAGCGTAATAGGCTGTTCGCTGAGTTGAAAAGGGCTGCTGATGAGGAATTAAAATCCAAACCTCGATTTGACATTACGGTCACCCTCGATGTCGGTGACGGCCCGCCGGCAACAGTCATTGCCAAGGCTTGGGAATCTACGCCGGGCTCTTTCTTGAAGGACATACCAAAGGAACTTAGCTCAAATGTTGTTATTGCGAAGCTTGATGGCAAACAACTCTGGGACTTGGATCGGCCTCTGGAGAGAGACTGCAGGGTTTCCTATCTTCCCTTTGACTCAGCAGAGGGAAGGGAGGTGTTTTGGCACTCCAGTGCGCACGTTTTGGGTGAGGCTGCCGAGTGCGAATATGGCTGTATGCTTTCGCATGGACCTCCCACCGCCCAAGGATTTTTCTATGATATGGCTCTGCCAGACAAGTGAGCACTGCCACCCAAGATGTCGAGGTGATCACTAACCCCATGGCAGCCGAGTCGTGAAGGAATCGGACTGGCCCTCTTTGGATTCCCGGTCCGCGAGAATCTTCAAAGAAAAGCAATCCTTTGACCGATTGGAGGTTTCGAAAGAAAATTTGAGGAAGATGTTCAGTTACAGCAAATATAAAATGCATTATATCAATAACCTTGTTGAAGGAGAGAGCAGCACCGTGTATCGGTGTGGAACGCTCGTTGATTTATGCAGAGGACCTCATATTCAGAATACGGGCAAAATAAAGGCAATGAAGATCATGCAGGTAAGTTGTCAGCAATCTTGTCCGATTCCGGCTACTAACAACATTTAGAACTCTTCTGCATATTTCCTGGGTGATCAATCAAATGACTCCCTCCAACGGATTCGTGGTGTGGCGTTCCCCGATAAGAAGTCACTGCAGGAACATCTAAAATTTCTCGAGGAGGCCGAGAAGCGCAATCACCTGAAAATCGGAAAGGAACAGGAGCTGTTCTTCTTTGACGAGGTGTCTCCTGGTTGTCCCTTCCTCCTCCCTAACGGTACCAAAATTTTCAATGCACTGCAAAAACTTCTCCGTACAGAATACCGCAAACGCGGCTATCAAGAAGTTCAATCACCAAACATGTACGATGTTGGCTTGTGGCGTACTTCTGGTCATTGGAATCATTACAAAGACGATATGTTCAAACTTGCCGTGGAGAAACGGGAGTGGGCCTTGAAGCCCATGAACTGCCCCGGTCACTGCATTATGTTCAATCATCGTGAGAGAAGCTACCGGGAACTGCCCCTCCGTATGGCGGATTTCGGCGTACTTCATAGAAATGAGGCGTCCGGTGCATTACATGGATTGACTCGTGTTCGGAAGTTCCAGCAAGACGATACGCACATCTTCTGCACTGAGGACCAGGTATTCCTCACTCCACATTTCTAAACTAGAGACACTCACTAATGGTCGTCGCAGATCACCCAAGAAATCGAAGGCCTCTTTGACTTCCTTCGCGCTATCTATGGTCTTTTTGGGTTCAGTTTCAAACTCAAACTATCAACCCGGCCAGAGAAATATTTGGGCAAACTTGAGACTTGGGATTTTGCTGAAGCTCAATTGAAGGAGGCCCTTACCAGATTTAAAGGATCAGATTGGGAAATAGATGAAGGTGATGGTGCATTCTACGGACCAAAGATCGATATTACCATTCAGGATGCTCTTAAGAGAGAGTTCCAGTGTGCTACCATCCAGCTCGATTACCAGCTGCCTCAAAACTTCAAGCTTGAGTACATGACAAACGAAATAGCTAAACCCAAGGCTCCGGAGCCTAAGAAGGAGGAATCTGGACCCCGGGAAGGTGGTGATAGTAAAGCTGCTGACTCTGATGATGGTGTCCCGGGACCTGGACGTGCGCGGCCTGTTATGATTCATCGCGCCATCATCGGTAGCTTTGAACGCTTCTTCGGGATTTTGATTGAACATTTTGGTGGAAAATGGCCATTCTGGCTCAGCCCTCGACAGATCCTCATTGTGCCAGTTATGCCTGCCGTCTATGATTACGTGGAGGAGCTCCAAGGTATCCTTCGCGGCGATAAACTGAACGTAGATATCGATGTCAGCGGAAATACTCTGCAGAAGAAAATTCGAAATGGCCAGTTGGCTCAATATAATTTTATCTTCGGTGGGTCTTTGCGGGTTTTCTTTCATGCCTATGGATCTTTGCTAACACCTCTTCAATTAGTTGTCGGAGCACAAGAAAAGGAAACCCGCACGGTCAACATCCGGAACCGAGATGACCCCAGCTCCCAAGCAAAGGGAAGCTTGGTCCCCCTTAATGAAGCCAGAGAGAAATTGCGTGCTTTGCGCAAGGAACGCCGCCTTGTCAATGCGCTGTAATCTTTGAAACTCAAACTTTTGCCGCAAGGAAAAGTCATCGATGATTCTACTTGTACTTAGATGACATATAGAGAAGAGGAGATCTAGAAACACCTTTTCACAATGCTAGCACTTCTAGCATTAAGGCTCTTTTCCTGACCAAGTCAAGATACCGATGAATCTTGGTACAACTGGGGGAAAGGTTAAAGAAATATAAGGAACGCTGATGACATTGACATGACTTTCATAGCCTTTTAGTTAGAGCCCGGGAATGCAGAGAAATAGAGGCCTATTAGCAATTTTCTGAAGTGATATGTGTAGTCTCTGACAAAGCTGTGCTAGGCAGACTAGACCCAAAGGTGGATTTTATGATTATGGGTATCGGGAAGGTTTGACAGCGGAAACCCACCATCGCACTGAGGGAATGCTTGATAGCATCGATGATAATTAGCTCGCGAGATGATAAGGGGGATATCGACCATTTCTGCCTTCGTATGTCGAAGATGGAGGTTCAAAGGATATATTGAAAGATGACAGTGTTAATGAAGAGATCATGGAGGTCACCCAGCCATCAGTCGTCGATGGTGAAGCGAGGCAGGCCAAAGCATCCGACTTGAATTTTCCTCCGAACTGGCGTCCGAATTCACGCGGCAGGAACAGGTAACTAACCAACTATTAGGGCGCTGCATTGAGCCAAGTCACACGGAGGGCTGATCATGAGATGGCCGATTGACTCCTGGGAGAACGGCTACAAACACAGTGCAGCTTTTTGGGTTGATCAAAAAACTAATGATAGGACTACAAAGTTTCACCGGGTCGTTTCGACATCCATTTTGTTTCATAATGTCGTGTGAGGGAGAGAAAGGCTAGAGAGGGCCAGGAATCCATTGAGCAAGTATTGGAGGTGAGGGGTCGCTGGGTGCACGTTCGCTTCCAACACGAAATGTTGCTGCCTTGGGCAGGATCGGATCTCCAGCGCCTTGGGAACTGAGCGGCCGTTCCGTCCGAACCGTGCCGCCCATCTTGCTCCGATTAACGACGGCATAATGCCACTGGCTCAAGATATCATCAGTTCGGGCAGCGCGGCCAAGGATCTGCGAGATTGTTTCTCGAAGCCAAGTGGCTTGATTGGATGGAGCGCACGTCAAAGGAAGCACACTTGCTGCCTATCTGCGGAATCGCGGCGAAGCGAAACACCATCGCATGCGATTTGGGTCAGGCATGCTCCCATGCTCCGAATGCAAAATGTCAGCTGAGAGGGCTTTTTGATATATGAGTTTGGGCTGAAGTAACGATCAGTCGGCTGGCTCTTTCGAACTGGAATGTGCTACAAAAATTACGCTGTAGATTATAAAGGAGTTTGGAGTGAATTTATTGTCGTGAGGAAAATGAAGCCAGCTGATTCGCGCGTGAGCAATAAGCGGTAAGCGTATGGAGTGGTTATTACACACAGGACCTGGATGCGTGTTTTTTTTTGGTGAGCAAAACCGGTTCTTGAGCTCTTGGTTCCGTCCGCATGAAATCCATCTCAGCACTTTTTTCGTTCACTAGTCAACTCTAAACAGGGATGCTGCTCTTGTGGCTTTCTGCAATACCCGTATTATCATCCTCGCCAACAGCGAAAGTGGAATTGAAAAACGCATTTCGTATTTTGAGGGTGATATTTGAGTTCCGCTATGCACCTGTGATTGACTGGTCTAACTCGTAGAAAGAACTGGAAGCAACCTTGGGAGATCTTGAAGCATTCATAGGCGCACGTGTGTAGATACATATGGAGTACCCCGTACGGAGGACATACGTACAGATATGCGGAGTATACGGCCGGGGATCCCATCCGCTCGGAGAACTTTTGAGAAAGACCATTCCATGTCCATAATTATCACAGATGTCCTACGCACTGCCTTTTGTCTCAGTGCTCACGCACGAGGTCGTGTTGCACAAGGTGATCAGTCTGAAGAATAAGTCTAAGTAGTAAGGAGAGGGATTGGCTCATCTGCCTCCCGGGTTCCCACGATGCGCAATGTACGCAGCTATCTGTGTTGGCCCTTGTTGACTAAGAGAAGTTCCCGTCTGGAAGCCCTAGCTAGCCCTGGACGTTTGATTCTCCAAGTTGGCTGCGGAGTTGGAACACGGAGAGCTCTCGAATGGTTGGTGTATCCTTTGCAGGCTAATCTTCGTATTTCTGGAGCCCTATATCCCAAGCTGACGACGAAAAAAGGGCTCGTGGGCTAGGGGAAATAGTCCCACCTTCTAGGTCCTCGGGCTGCTTCCCGTAGCCCACTACTTAGTTCATGCTTCGGCTGGCACCGATCTGCTTCTCTGAGTCGATGCCAAGATATTGATTAACGAATCGTCCGCCGGATCCTGCGCCTGGACGAAACCTCGAAGCTTGAAACCAGGAGTCAATAAAAGATTGTTCCCGCCGCCCAATTCTTCCCGTCCTCTAGGCCTGGGTCTTTTCGGGTGGTTCTGTGGCTGCTGGACGGTGGGAAGAAGCTAAATTGTATAGTTTCCAAGCTTCCTGACAATAAATCCAACAACGCCTCTCCCCCAGCCTTTTAGCTATAGCATCAGACAAGTTTGCATTACGTTGCCCAGCACCCGGACTCGAATTCTCTCTGTCCGACTTGCACTTGTGACGGCCTGCCTTGTCGATAAGTTGTTGCTGTTTTTACACTTCGACTCCCACGCACTCCACAGGTCTATCCTCCCGCAGCCCCACGTCCCGACTATCCTCTCCTTCCCCGCCTCACAAATCTGCCGGCAGAAAGCAATCCACGTCGTAGAATTTTGCCTTGACAGGACACAGAAAACAATTTGGTTTCGGTCTTTGCACCAACTTAGATCCGAATCGAGCTGGAATAGCTCACCCCAATGGAGCATTTCGGCGCAGGAAGGCCAGATGGCGCAGACTTCGATCTGTCCCAAATCACGGGCCAGCCGCCTCAAATCTTCGGCGCACCCAACAGTGACACCTCTCCTATTCCGCCAACGCAGCCGGCAGCGGCCTTTTCAGAAGACCAAATGATGGGTGGTGTGGAGGACAATAATGACGCGAAGCGGAGAAGGATAGCTAGGGTACGCGGTCCCTGTTCGGGCTCTCGGGAAGATTGGAAAGCGAGAATCGCTAATGAATTTACTCTTAGGCTTGCGATATGTGTCGGAAAAAAAAGATCAAATGTGATGGAAAGATGCCAAAATGCTCACATTGCATAAATTATAAGACAGAATGTGTGTTCACGCAAGTCGAGAAGAAGAGGAACCCACCGAAAGGGTATGTTCAGTTCTCTTATGCGGTGATCGTTCTGACGTTATGCTGATATGATGCTATTCTATTTAGAGCCAAATACATCGAAGGGCTTGAGAACCGCTTAGGGCGCATGGAGTCGTTGTTGAGGCTTTCTGGATTACTATCAGAGGTCGATGGTGGAAAGACAGATCTTGGGACGCTTGAACGGCGGCTTGCTGATAGATCTATGGCGGCGGGAAGCCAGGCCTCGAGAATTCCTGCTGTTCCGACCGCCATGCACTCAATGATGCAAGGCGCGTCCTCGCATCAGTCTACTCCTCGCGCAGATCCAAACCTTAGCCCTCGGAGTCCCGCTGGTTCGCCTGATTCGCAAAAGGAATCTGAAGCAGAGCTAGATTCTCTTTCGGATATGATGTGCTCTCTCGTCACAACTAATTGTGGCGAAACGAGATATATTGGTAATTACACTTGATCCGTCTCCGAATAGGGCCGCTAACGTGTGTTTGCAGGATCTTCGTCAGGTTTCTCTATATTTTCTCCCAAAGGTATCCAATGGGTGAACGAGAAAACGGGAGACTCGTCCTTTGAGGATATGATATCGTCTGCTTATATCGACGACAATAAGTGGATATACTGGAAGCCGGAGATCTTCAGTGACATATTTGCTCGACGAGTGTTTAAGCCGTTGCCACCGCGTGATGAGGCACTGTCTCTCTTCAGAGATTACTTCGAAAACTTCAACTGTGTTTTCCCACTGTTTCATGAACCAACATTTATGCATTTGGTAGAGAGACAATATTCACGGGATCCCTACGAAGGGTCGGGTTGGTGGGCTAGTATCAATGTTGCACTGGCGATCGCACACCGATTACGAGTTATGAGTAACTTGGTGCCACAGGAAGAGGACAAGAAGGCTTGGCTTTACCTCAAAAATGCGATGGGTGTGCTGACAGAGTTGACCATGCGGAATGCCGATCTGTTAAGTGTGCAAGCGCTTCTTGGTATGGTGAGTAGAGACGTACCCTTCCGACAGGTAGATTTTGCCTCAGCAGATAATTGTGATACTAATGGCCCCAGGCTCTATTTCTCCAAGGGACTCCCAACCCGCAACCAAGTTTCTTCCTTGTTGCAGCCGCTATTCGCCTTTCCCACAGTATTGGTCTCCATAAGCGCGGTTCCGGGTTCGGTCTAAATCCCGTAGAACTCGAGCAACGGAAACGCGTCTTCTGGATTGCTTATATGCTGGACAAAGAGTATGTTCTCGCCCCGGCTTTTAATGCTTGTCAACTAACCTGCTGTAGTATCTGTCTACGTTCCGGGCGCCCACCAGTTCAAGATGATGATGACATGAACGTTGAGCTCCCGAGTGAAGACCCCCCCGACAACATCGGAAATGTTCCCCTTTCCGATGGTAAAAGCAAGGTGAACTTATTTCGCCTTCTCTGCCTTTTTGCAACAATTGAAAGCAAAGTTTACAAGCAACTCTACTCAACAAAGGCTTCGCGTCAGTCTGATGGGGAGCTTCTCAACACAATTGGAGAGCTTGATAGAGAGCTTGAAGAGTGGAAAGATAGTATCCCTCTCGATTTTCGCCCCGAATATGAAATCAAGGCTACACATCGGCCTCTAATTCTACCCATCGTGGTGCTTCATTTCGCTTACTATAATTGCCTTACCACTATACATCGCATGTCAGTCCACCATGGATACTGGACAAGTCGGCTGTCAAACTACGCCATCCAAGGTCTTAATGCCAGGCCTTTGAATCCCCGGGTATTTTCTTCCGCAGTCCTGTGTGTATCTGCCGCCAGGGCGTCGATCAACTTGATCAAGTACATCCCACAGGGGGATTTTGCTTGTGTTTGGTAAGCACTATTATCGAGAATCCATGGACTCTGCTTATAGTTGACATAACCCACACAGGTTGATCCTCTACTTCCCAATTTCAGCTTTGGTTACGCTGTTCGCAAATATTCTACAGAACCCATTAGACGCCCGAGCCCGGTCTGACGTGAAGTTAATGAATCTTGTTGTGAACTTCTTATCCAAACTTGCGACGGATGAGTCGAATGGCAGTGTCAAGCGCATGCTTAGTGTCTGCTCTGAATTCGAGAGGATCGCCAAAGTTGTATTGGACCGGGCCGAAAAGGAGTCACAGGCAAAACGAAAGCGCAAGGCTGCTGGTGAGGAGAATGGCTCCGCCGAGACACCAAATGGTCCTAATGTGGATATTCCCCAAGCCGCACCGAAGCCATCGGCCACACAGCCACAGACGACACAAGCATCACCTTCCTTTTCATATATGCCGAGCAATGCTACTCGCCAGGAAGCAGCGCCTTCTATGGCCAATTTTCCATCATCTCGTCCAGAGCAGCAACCCGTCTTCCACACCCCCACGGCCGAGAATGTCCCAGGCGCACTTCCAAAAGGCCCGCTAGGGCTTAATCAAGAGTTGTCCGACCTCTTGGGAGGCCCAACCCTAAATCAAGCAGCAGGACTCAACCAAGAGCAACAATTTTCTACTAATTCGCTGCCCATTGATATTTCAGCTTTCCAGCAACCGTTTGTGCCTCATGAGCTGTGGCAAATGCCGATGACGTTGGAGTGGGACTGGGCAGAAATGCCGAATAACGGATTTCAATTCGGAGATGAAGGGACAAATTGATAATATGAAGAAGACCATTTTTACGAAGATACCTCATCCTCCTCTCTTTTCTTTTTATTTTATTTTTATTTTTTTTTTCTTTTCTACACTTTATTTTATATTTATTTATTTTCTTCCACTTTGGTTGGTAATGGGCTAGGGCCAGGGGCAACAGGGTGAAACAAATCACATAGATGCTAACATTTGGGCAACCGGGAGAGCGGTTAATATGTGAGACATTCCAGCGGAGTTTTATCTGCGGAGTATGTATATTGATTATTAGGCATCTGGTGCACCTCTCCACTATCTTTTTTGTTCCATTGTTTTTCTTTATTCAGGGCATGGGACAAGAGCTTTTGACTGCTTTACCTTTGAGACATTGTTTTATGTTAGTTTAAGTCATTTCTTTATTTGAGAAAACATCTATTCTTAACTACCATTTCACATTGTAGATTGGGTGCTAGACTAGGGTTGAGGAGAGCAACAAATCTGATTCAAGGCGATTTGAGCTCTGTTCAGAGTATTCTGCGGCTGAACAAACTATTGTCATCTCCAGGACATGCCCAACTCCTGGTTTCGAACGGGCGAGCATGGCGTCGTTGCGGGCCGAGATTGTTGGTTTCTGTGGGGTTTCCAGCCAACATTGGCGGCCAATCCCAACCGGGCGTTGAAGCAGATTGCGAGCGAGAAATTCCGCTGTCGTCCGGCGGCGAGTCACGAGTGGCAGGGTGTGGCTCGCGGGGCTTGGCGTTCTAGAATGCACTGGCGGATGAGTCAGCGGCTGGGCGAAAATTCGGTCAGCAGCCGGGCATGGTGCTGAATTCGCTCGTAGGACGTTCGCCTAAACCCCGAGCAGCAAATATCCTCGACGACGAGGGATCCCACGGCGCTCAGCTTCTTCATTCTTTCTTCTGTATTATTATCTGACATTCCCCCTGTCGCATGGGGTCTCTCACGGGTCTTCTAGCGCGGCAATTTCTCCTGAACGACTGTCGTCAATTCAAGTAGCCGGTCTCACCCTGTCCCTCTCACTCGACAATGGCCACTTTCCTTCGACGGCCTGGCAACCTTGCTCGATACTCGAGGAGAGCAACAGAGTGTGCGACGTATGCGGCGCGGAGTGCGAGGCCTCGTTCATTACAGCAATCTCAGCTTTCCGCGTTCATATCCGCGCACCGTCCCCGAACCTATGCCACCGTGAACCAAGGCGACCCAGAACCCCCGCGGGATAAGAGAGACGAAAAGAACGGCCCCGGCGAGAATAAAGATGCTTCCGACAAGCAAATACGGGGCTCGGGTGGGTCTGAGCATAATGGTAACAGGAACTCTTCCTGGCCAGGGCCGGAACAGGGTCCTGAGGGTGGGAAGGAGCCGAAGCAGCCAGAGTACCAGGCGAACAAGGAAGAGATCGAACAGATCGATAAAATAGTTCAATCGCTGAAGAAGACGTTGCCGGCCTCGCAATCAAAGCTGATAGATGATGCGGGAGAGGAGCTCAAGCGAGCGGGTCTACCGGCGGAGGTTAAAGAGGTCCTGAAGGAAGTCCACCAGTCGAAAGAACTTTCCCTTGCAACCGCGGCGAAGCTTTTCCGAATCCTCAGCAAACATTCGTGGCAGGTGGCTTCGAAGATGACCAAGAAAGAGGGCTTCAAGGAGGGGTACTTCGACGGTAGGGAGGAGAAGGCTAGAAAAGAAAGTGAAGAGTCCCAGAAGCAAGAGGGTGGCGAGCAGAAGGGTCCGCAGGGCCAACAGGGCCAACAAGGCCATCAAGGTCAACAGTTCAAGCCCTTCGAGTTCAAATTCGACGCCGGCAACTTTTTAATCGGCGCCTTTATCTCATACTACATCTACCGCAGCCTTTTCCCCGGAGAAACTTCCAAGGACATCACATGGCAAGAGTTTAGAACTACATTCTTTGACAAGGGGCTTGTAGATAAACTCACAGTTGTCAACCGCAACAAAGTACGCGTGGAGTTGCACCGTGAAGCCGTCGCGAGCATGTATCCTGAGTCCCCCGCCAGCCAACCAAACTTCCACTACTACTTTACGATAGGATCCGTTGAAGCCTTTGAAAGGAGATTGGATGATGCACAGAGGGAGCTTGGTATACCAAGCTCAGAGCGCATTCCTGTTGCTTATTCCGATGAAGTGCCATGGCTAGCCACTTTGTTGTCCTTCGGTCCAACGTTACTGCTCATCGGATCTTTCTTTTGGTTATCCAGACGTGCCGGTGGCGGAGCAGGCGGTCAAAGTGGTATCTTCGGTATTGGGAAAAGCCGAGCCAGACGATTTAACCATGAGACCGATATCAAGATCAAATTCTCCGATGTTGCTGGCATGGACGAGGCCAAGGTTGAAATTATGGAGTTTGTTAGTTTTCTTAAGAAACCAGAGCAGTTCCAAAGACTAGGCGCGAAGATTCCTCGTGGTGCCATCTTGTCAGGTCCTCCAGGTACTGGTAAGACGCTGCTGGCAAAGGCTACGGCCGGTGAATCTGGCGTTCCTTTCTACAGCGTCAGTGGTTCAGAATTCGTGGAAATGTTTGTCGGTGTTGGTCCGTCTCGCGTTCGTGATCTTTTTGCAACTGCGCGGAAGAATACCCCTTGCATCATCTTCATTGACGAAATTGACGCTATCGGTAAATCGAGAGCAAAGCAAAACTTTGGTGGTGGTAACGACGAACGCGAAAGTACCCTCAATCAAATTCTAACGGAGATGGATGGGTTCAATACCTCTGAGCAAGTTGTCGTTCTCGCTGGTACTAATAGACCCGATGTGCTTGACAAGGCCTTGATGCGACCTGGTCGGTTCGATAGACATATTGCAATTGATAGACCAACGATGGACGGTCGCAAGCAAATTTTCGGCGTTCATTTGAAGAAAATTGTCACCCACGAAGACATGGAGTACTTGAAGGGCAGATTAGCAGCATTGACACCTGGCTTCTCTGGGGCCGACATTGCAAACTGTGTGAATGAGGCTGCCTTGGTTGGTATGTGAACACTCTACATCTATTCTTTAATACATTTTGAAACTTCAAACTAATCTTTTCACAGCTGCTCGTGGCCACGCGTCTAGCGTAACGATGAAACATTTTGAGCAAGCAATTGAAAGAGTCGTCGGCGGCCTTGAGAAGAAATCTCTTGTCTTGTCGCCCGAAGAGAAACGCACTGTTGCTTACCATGAAGCTGGTCATGCCATTTGTGGTTGGTACTTCCAATATGCTGATCCATTGCTCAAAGTATCCATCATCCCACGTGGTCAGGGTGCTCTAGGCTACGCTCAATATCTACCCGCGCAAGGCGACACCTATTTGATGAACGTTCGCCAACTTATGGATCGCATGGCTATGACACTAGGCGGCCGTGTTAGCGAAGAGCTTCATTTCGACACCGTCACAAGTGGTGCTAGTGATGATTTCAACAAAGTCACACGCCTCGCAACCGCCATGGTAACGAAATTCGGTATGTCGTCGAAGATCGGATATCTGTACTTCGAAGAGGACCAGCAACAACTACACAAGCCATTTTCCGAAGAAACTGCCAAGAACATCGATCTCGAAGTGCGACGCCTCGTTGACGAAGCCTACAAGCAATGCCGTGAGCTGTTGGAAGCAAAGAAACCAGAGATTCGCCTCGTTGCTGAGGAGCTTTTGTCCAAGGAGGTTCTCAGCCGTGATGACCTAGTCCGTCTCCTTGGCAAAAGGCCTTGGCCCGAATCCGGAGAATTTGCAAAATACTTTGACGGAACTGGCGGCGCTGGAACGCTTGCTCCGCCTCCACCACCCACCGAGGGCGGCCCAAGTATGAGCGACAACAGCCAAGAAAGCGACCGCCCTTCCCCTTAGAGCATCGATACGATTCGCCATACATAGTCCCCCACATATCTTTTCGACCCTGATGTCCCACGCGTATGTATTGTACAATCTAAACCTCTTTTCATTTTCTCTTACGTCCAATCCTCCCAATCCACTTCTTTGACGCTCAGTTTCATATTTCCTTCCGGACAGTTTCTTGGAATCTCCATATTCCCAATTTGTGTGTTACTAGGTGCTAGTTGATTCGAAACCATTCCTCAAAGAGTGGGAGAGATAACAAAAAAGGGAGAAGAAGCGGCAGAAGCAGGGGGTGAAATCTTGCTTTATCATGTTGTATTGATGATGGATATTGGATATTTTCACCTAGCTGGATCTCTCCTCTTACGGCGCTTGTGCTTTTTGATTTTCACACCATGAAGTGTCAACTTGGAATGTGGCTTTTCCTTGGTAGCTTATCTGTAAAGTAGCGAGCATTTTATAATATTGCTTTTTAACCACCACCCTTTCTCTACATCTATCTGGGTAGGATTATGTTGTACGGTAAGGAGATTAATACTAGTGAAGATACCATCCGTGCATCCTTTTGTTCAGCAAACGGAATGCTTAACTTGGCCGCAATGTTGAGCCATTGGATGGAATCTGCGATCAAGACAAAAAACTCAACATGCATACAAAGCACAATGCACTGGGAGCTCCAGGTCAAACACCACCCGAACTCAAATCAAGCCCAGCTCGCAAATACATGGGGCGAAAACAACTCAAACGCAAGAACCCAAAAGGAGGATACGACAGACGTGCCAAATCGAATATATCTCCCAGGCTGAAGATATTATACGTATGCAAAAATTGCATTATTCTGTTTTCTTCTCACTCTTTTGCTTGTGCGAAGTTTTCTTCTTCTTGGACATCGCCTTGTGTCCGGAGCCGAGCCACGGGATAGGAATGAACTTGCCGACTAAATACTGATAATCGTCGTATTCAGGATACTTGCTCGCGCTAATAGATTCGGTCAGGATGGTGCTTCCCTGGAATAACAGGATATATGCCAAAACACCGGCGCCGCTCCAATTGATGTACGTCTGCGTCGCGTAGCAAGACCAAGCGTATAGCATGAGCCAAACCGCTTGCTCTGCGGCGAAATTGGGATGGCGACACCAGGACCAGAGACCGCTGATAACAAATCCACGGTTAAGGTCATCGGCGGAGAAAGTAGACTTGTATTCTGTGGGCACACGGGCGGTCTGTTGGTAGGACTGCTTCGCCTTCTGGAAATCCCATTGTTGTTGGTCGGCGAAGTATTCGATGATAATGAAAAAGATCATGCCACGGGAGAATGCGAGATCTGGCAATCCGAATGCTGGTGCGGTGCCGACAGTATTCAGGACGAGGAACACGTAGGTGGGAGCGGTGATCATGAGCAAAAGAAGGGATTGCGTCAGGGAGATGAAGAAGATATTAAAGAGGAACCAAAGGAAGCCATTGTTGATTTTTTCGCGGACAATAGTCCACCGGTAGTCCTCGGAGCCGATCGAGTAGCCACCTTTCCTCCAATAGTTGTATGTCAAGCGGGCCTAATCCAATCATTAATTATTACTCCTTTCCTAAAATACGACCAAAGCATGGCTCTCTGGGCCAACTTACGCTCCAGATTAAGGTGCAGACAAAAATAGTCCAGGTTCGATCTGTTGAGACACCATTCAGATAAGACCACAGAACGTAATGTCCATTATAAACAGATGGTAGAATGCTCCACAGCCGGTCAATTTGAGAGTAGTTCCTATTGATTTCTGACACAATCAGCAGCAATGGTACAAGCAGCAACGAAAACGCGACCGCTGTGACTAGAGGGTTCGTGTTGACATAAATGTTTTTGAGGGATTCAAAGTCGCGTCCGGCTTCGAATATCTGCGGCGGCAGGGATATGAATTGAGAGAGAAAGGGCTGAACGGTCAATGTGAAGTTTGCGCAATCTGGCACCGCCGTAAGAGTGGGCAACGCCATGGTGGGCCGTCGGTGAGTCGGGGCGTCTCCGCTGGGCTTCCCGGGGTCGATTCTTGATTCTTGACAGCCCGTCGACTGGGCTGGCGTTGAGAGACGTTTGGGCGGGCGGCTAAGGTTTGCGCTAAGCCGGTTAGCGCGGCGTCAAAGAAGCTTAACGCGTCGGCGGGCTTCAACACGCGCGCGAGGTCACAGAAAAGCCCGTCAGCGAAGCGGAGTGAAGCCTGGAGGAAGTGCTTCGGTGTGCTTAACACACGGCCCGAATCCCCGACATTCTCGTCCCAGGTGTGCCTCACCCAAAAAAAAGGAAAAAAAAAGGACACCGGGCTCGTTGATTGCTGGTATAAGCACAATTCCAAAAGCACAAAGACATCTAGACTCGAGCAATGTCTGGCAGGTTCTTCTTCACTGATTCCATCAAAAACTGAACAAGATACGCAGTGCCTGCAATGCAGTGACGCATTGATGCGCCTTATCGCACCTGCTAGGTGGTGGAGGAAAATATGGGTGCTCGGATCCTTTGCGTCGCTGAGAAGCCTGCCATTGCCAAGGCAGTTGCCCAGCATCTATCAGGAGGCGCTCTAAGAACAGTAAGATAACCTGAATACATCGTCCAAAAACACCTAAGAACGTCGCTAATGCGGATTAAGGTTGCTATTCGGGGCAATCAATATGTCAAAAACTATGAATTTCAATTCTCTTTTGGCCCGCCTTGGGGAAACTCCTCTGTGACAATGACCAGCGTTATTGGCCATTTGACCGCGCTGGACTTTGAATCTGAATGGCGACATTGGCAGTCGTGTCCTCCAGGACAGCTTTTCGATGCACCGGTGGTCAATGATGTAGATAAAGTACGCATCGTGACCCGGTCTTCCATTCAGCAAAGGCTAATTTGTTGACGCTGCTGATTGCAGGACAAAATCGGCATTGCTGAAAATATTCGAAACAAAGCCAGGCAAGCAGATGCCCTGTTCATTTGGACCGATTGTGATCGGGAAGGAGAACACATTGGATCAGAAGTACGAACTCAGGCGGTTGGCGCAAATCCTAGGATTGAAGTCAAGAGAGCAAAATTCAGTAACACGGAAAGGGCGTCAGTTCTCTCAGCCTCCAACCCCTACTTGAATCTACCTGCTAATGATAGCCAGCCACGTATTGCGTGCAGCGAGGAATCCGATTGCTCTCGATGAACGCCAGATAAACGCTGTTGCAGCACGAATTGAGCTGGACCTTAGGATTGGCGCGGCTTTCACTCGGCTTTTAACGCTCCAGTTGGGAGCTCTGGGCGGAGCTTTATCAGAGCGTCTAATTAGCTACGGTAAGGAGACGTACGTTTCTCCCCCATTGTTTCCATCTGACTCGGCTGTAGGTTCCTGCCAATTTCCCACCCTGGGTTTCGTGGTAGATAGGTACTTTCGCGTGAAAAACTTCAAACCGGAACCTTTCTGGTCCATCAAGGTCACGCATGCACGAGATGGTAAAACTGTGAACTTCACCTGGAGTCGAGGGAATTTGTTCGACAGAGCTGCAGTGGTGATGATTTTTGAAAGATGCTTAACTGCCAAAACCGCTAAGGTTACGAAGGTCAACAAGAAACCTACCAAAAAGTGGCGCCCGCTACCCTTGACAACGGTGGATCTGCAAATGATGGGAAGCAAATTCCTTCGTATGGACAGTCAGAAGGTTATGAAAGTATGTTGTGATATATCTCGTTTTTGTATGCTCTTGTGCTAATATGGAAACGTAAGGTTGCGGAATCACTTTACACCAAAGGTTTCATAAGTTATCCTCGTACAGAAACAGACCAGTTTGACAAGGGCATAGACTTGAAAAAGCTTATAGAAAAGCAGATCCAAGACGGTGTATGGGGCCAATATTCTCAAGGGTATGCATATGATTCAAAACTCCTCTCTGATCAATCTATTATTTAGCTACGTGGCTGCTAACCCTCTTCAGTTTGATGGCCGGTGGATTCAAGCAACCACGTTCCGGTCGCCATAATGATCAAGCTCATCCCCCAATACATCCCGTGACATATGTTGCGCCGTCCGTGCTGACTGCGGATGAACGGCGAGTCTACGAATTCGTCGTTCGTCGGTTTCTGGCTTGTTGTTCTGACGATGCGAAGGGCGAAACGTCCGAAGTTGACATTCAATATGGCGATGAGAAGTTCCATGCGCAAGGACTCATTGTTCTAGAGCGCAACTACCTTGACATTTATGTATACGACAAATGGGAAAGCAGTCAAGAACTCCCCAAATTCACGGTTGGAGAGGTCTTTGAGCCTAAAGAAGCTAAAATTACTGAAGGCAAAACTACCCCTCCTAATTACCTTACCGAGCCAGAGTTAATTGGCCTCATGGACGCCAATGGGATTGGGACGGATGCTACAATGGCAGAACATATCTTCAAAATCAAGGATCGCCAATACGTGGCCACGAGACGTCGAGGTGGAAACGGTAGGAATTCTGTTGAGGAATTCATCCCCACTAAACTTGGTGTTGCGCTGGTTGAGGGCTATGACAACTTGGTACTTGATCTTGCTGATTGTCCCAGTCTTTGCAAACCGTTTTTACGGAAGGAGATGGAATTGCGTATGCGAGATATATGTGCTGGGACCACGACGAGAAGGCAAGTTGTAAGCGAAAATTTGGAAATGTATCGCCGGGTTTTCGTTCATACACAACGAAGGATTGAGGTCCTCAAGAGATCATGCAGAAAGTACGTTTTCGACGAGGCAGAGTAGCATTCTGCTTAAAATGACAGGCATTAAGGAGCACAATTGTATACAGGGGTTGGTCGCTTCATTTTTGATAACATGGTTTAGACAATATCTGGACCTTTCAATACTGAACTTCCTGGAGAGATCAACATCAATTGCACGGAGTAGTAGAGAGTGGAAACAGGAAGAGAGACTTTGACTTAATCCGAACCATTAGCCTTTCGACCTTGTTTCAAAAAGCCCCGCAAAAGGATGACTGGGAGAATAATCAGCAACGTCGTTATGAATCCTAATAGGTGACTGAGTGTTGTATCCTCCCCTGACATCGGAGAGGTTGATTTGGCCAAGACATAGTTATCATCATAATCCACAAGAAGTTATTCAATAGATTCGCCAACGAGGCTATCATTCACTCGGCCATCCTGAAAGTACTTCCATAATGAGACAATAGAAGCCCATTAAAACAGGCGATTTGAAGACAAAAAGGGTTCATATAAAAACCTGCGATGATTCCACCAAGAAATGCAGTTTCAAAAAAATACACAAAGTCCATATAAACCGTCGCTAAACTCCGCTAAATGCTATTTCATGACCCATACATATCGCATCACTTTTGACACACCAAGTATTTCCAATAAGACGCCGCAATCCGATGCGCAGCACTACCTTTTTTTCAGTGAATGTCTTGCTAATGTATTTCAACTGTCGACCAAGCGACGAATAGTTATTTAAGTCGACATATCAGAGTGGTTTTGGATGAACTCCACATTCGTTTTGTCGTATGTAATAGAGAGAGACACCCGCTTAGTCGAGAAAGGAAAACCATTCATTAGTTTAATACGCGGCGTTTGCGAAAAGTTTTCGGCTCGCATCAAGAGGAAGAATAAAGAGAAAAATCGGTAGTCCTTAAGGAGTAGCGAAGAACGCATCAATTCGATAGAGACGGATGTGCACCTTTTCAGTGCGGTAGCTGTTAAAAACGACCGGGCGTAGACAGAGGACCAAGTTAGGCACCTCGAGATAAAAAGTGTAAGAGTTTAAAATAAGTTATTGCCCATCGTGATCGGTTATAAAAGTGGCCCGGAGCATCAACGAACGGACATCGGAGGGTATAGAATAAGAAAAGATATTATTGCCATATAATGGCGGAACACCTCTGCGGGGCGAACGAACAGCGAGCCGACGTGTAGACAACAGTTTATATGGGTTTCCCGAAACCTCGGCGCAGAATGGTAAAGGATCTAAGAATCACAAAACCAACAGTTAGTCGCCAGCAGTAAAAAGGGGCCGACGAGTCAGAGATGGAGACGCATACATACCGGCTAATTCAGCAAGAAGCTCTATTTTGCCTTCTTGCTCTTTTTCGAATTGCCTTTCTTCTGGACGCTTCCACCAGGACTGGATTTGGTCTGAGGCGCCCAACGGCTGGCCTCTAATCCGGCAGGCTTCGGTTCAGGCGTCTGGGCCGCCCACCTACTTGCCTCGAGTCCCGTGGGTTTGGTTTCGGTCGGGCCAGCAGTCGCCCACATGCTGGCCTCGAGCCCGGGAGGCTTGGGTTCGACAGATTCTGAAGCGTTTGACGGCTTTGAGGCTGTCTCTGTCTTCCCTTCGAGCTTGGCAGACTCTTCAGAGGCCGAACCGGTCGAGGGCTGCTCGATTTTCTTGTCCGACTTGGGTTCGCTCTTGGAGTCAGAGCCCGTTGCCGCTGGTGAAGCTTGTGAAGCCGCTGGCTTCTCCTCCTTTGAAGCTGGAGTCGAAGATCCGGGCTTGTCGGGCTTCGCTTCACCCTTGGACTGGGGTTCAGGCGCTGTTGATCCTGTTGGTGCTGGCCCAAACGGGTTTGGGGCACCATCGAAGGTGACTTTCTTGCGCTGAACTCCCAGTTTGGCGGCACAACTGGCGATATCGAACTCGTGGTATCGGAGGAGGGTGTTGGTGCCCGCGATTTCTCGTTCCGCAGCGGACATCCGGTCCCTGAAATTGTCGACCGCGAGTTCGGCACTGATCGCCGAGTTGTCAGCCTCCCTTGCCATGTCTTTGACCTTGAGCAGCTCTTCAATGGTGACAGTGCTTTGGACACTGCCACCAACCGGCCGAGCCGCCAAGTCCGTCACCTTGGCAGACAATCCATTGACATCGCCTTTCAGCGAGTCGATTTCCTTGTCAAGGATCTTCAAATCGTCAGAGACCTGTCTTCCAACGGAAGCGCAGGCAAACTTGACATCCTCGTGGGTGGCGCAATGTCTTCGGGTCGAGTCCATCTCCGATTTCAACGATTGCTCCAATGCTCTGGAGGATTTCTCCAACTTATGAAGATCCACGGGCCAAGTCTCCGAGATCCAGGATTCCAGGGAGCCCTCCGTCCGCCGAATAGCTTCTGCAAGGACCCTGGTATCCTCCTTCGTCGCCAGGGAGCCTTTGAGCGTCATGAACTCGTTAACCGCCGTCAATTGATCCTCAGTGAGGGAGCGACCCCGTTTCCACGGTTGCTCCGCCTTCAGCTGATTCACAAACTGATCAATGAGTTTCACATCGCTGGCCAGGCTTTTCTGTTCGATGTTCAAGGCAGACGAAATTTCTTTGAATGAGTGCAATTCTCGATTCAGAGACTTGACCGTGTTGCCCACTTCGGTGATTGATTCAGTCCATGGCTTGCTGTCCACCTTCTTTGTGATCAACCTGAGATCCGCCTCAACGTTGGCAAATTCGGAATTCACCACTACGGAATCCTTCCACTGGTCGAGGTCCTTCTGCAGTCGCTTGATCTGGTCGAATAACTCGTTCGTGTCTCCGCCCTGCTTAGGTGTCAGCTGCTCTAACCGTTCGTTGACACCGTGTATCCGAACAGCTAACTCGCTGTGCGGCAGCTCCCATGGCTTTCCCTCCCATTGACAAACCAGCTCTCGAACCTGGTCCTGGAGGGATTGCAAAAAGGGGGTATCCTGGACGTCAATTCCCGTGTTCTTTTCTGGCGCACTGGCGAGATCATTGACTTGTTTTCGGAGCTGTTCGAATATGGCGTCGAATTGGTCGACCTGCGTTCGGATTTGGACAAGTCCATCACCTACTAGCTTGGGGATTTGTTGTGGCCAAGAGTTGACCGTTGCTGACAGTTGGTCGAGTCGCTGGTCGAGAGATTGAAAATCGACAGTGTATCTCTCGAGTTTGGCGATAAGTGAATTGACACGACCTTGTTCCTCTGCTAGCTGAGCCTGAACAAGTTTAGAGCCAGCTTCCTCCGAATGCTGACGGGACTCACGGGTGAGTGTTTGGATCTGACGGGCGAACCACGTCATCACAAGGACTTGAACGGACAGCAAGCCGGCAACGACGGTGTAGATATTGGGGTGCCGCCGCACATGGTCACCGAGAAGTGAGCCCAAGCTGGCAATGAACCATTCGGGGTATTCGGCGCCGTTGTCAAAAAGATTGTCGAATACAACGTGCTGAGCACCTCCGAAAGGCGCAGTAGGCGTTGGGATCAACGAACTCGTCACTACCTCTGTAGGAGTTGAATCGGCCGCTGCCGCCTCTGACAACCATAACTTATGGGTTTCCCCATGAGCCGGGTCAACCGACGGCAGCGTTTGATTCAACAAGGTCGAGAAATCAGTCCTGGGGTGGTTGAAACGACAATAGAGCGTTGACACGCCTTGTGCTGCGGCGGTGAGCTGGAAGCAGCCCACCAGTCTCTCGGCCACCGGCCTCTGTGGGTTGATTGTCGTCAGGGGCACAGAGAACCAGCTGCTGAAGACCATGAGCCCTGCGAAGAGCGTCACGAGTACTGTTGGCTCCATTCTCGAGAAGTTTGAAACGCAAACGCGTTAAAACCGCGGAAAGAATGTTATGAGAGGAGAGTAGAGAGAGGATGAGAAATAGAGTATTTATAACGGAGCTTTAATAGTCCTTAGCTTGAGTTGAGGACTCGAAGCTGGAAGGGAAGAGGAAAGAGAAATTTAGCGAATGATTTAAATCGAGCGTCAAGAGGATAGACTGATAAAAGCTGAGAGTGGCGGAGGAGAGCGAAGTGAAAAAGATATAGGTCAAAAAGCGAGAGTTGGAGGAACTTGAAGTTTGGAAGATGGAATTAGTGGATGAGAGATGAAGGAAAGAGGAAGAAAGATGGAGAGAAGGAGGGAAATATATAGGTGGGCGCGCGTGTTTGTTGTGAAGGAGGAACACGCCAAATAAGCGAAGTGAAAACTCTAGCAACAGTAGAGCAAGGCAAAACTGGTGGAACTTTCCGCTGCTAAGGAGAAACCCTTCACTACAGGATAGTTCAGGGAGAAGCCGAAATGGAGGAGCGTGCAAGGATAGAATTCTGGAGGAGAGACGTGTCCGCCTCCCGAGTCATGTCCTTTCAGGGAATATTCCTTGCAAGATGAGAGCCTTATACAGCCTGCGGAAGTATTACTCCGCTTGGTGCTCTCCTTACATTCTTTATCGAGTCGCCAACAATGACCGCCATTTTCTTCCCCCGGATTCTTGTTAGAGATACAAAGGGTATCAGTTTCAACTAAGCAGTGAGTAACTTCTATACCAATGGGTACATAAGCAAGCACCAGCAGTGCTTCTTTAAAGCTGTAGCTGTGCAATCGGCACAACAGCTGGACAGAGCAGAGAGGAGGAGTATAAAATACATCCTACGACAACGCAAGGGCGAGAGCTCCCAAGTTCAAGATCGAATTAAAAACCCGCAACAATCAGAGGAGGGATTAGATGTGTAAAATATTGATTCTAGACAAAAAGCACTCTATTTGTCCTTTGGAATGACAATCCCCGTTGGGGAGAACGCAAGATGTCCAAATGGACTCGAAGAACTTCAACGTATCGAAACAACAGTTGTCATTCCTGAAAGAAAAAAAAGGAAAATCCCGCCTAATATTGTCACCATCAATAAATGACAAAGAAAGCAAAGGCACGCCCGCCTCTGCCTGGCCTGTCAAGGGAAGTATCGCCCATCACCACTCGTTGTTTCAGAAGGGTACACCACAAAAGCGGAAAAATCAGGGCGAAGCGCTGCTTTCATTCAATCCAACGGCAAAAGCAGCCTGGAGGATTCGTGTAGTAAAGCACTGCTAAAAGAAAGGAGCGGACCGACCGCGGATCGCCCGTCGCGCTCTCGTCATGAGCCAGTCAGTCAGTTCGCCTGTCCATCCGGCCGTCGAGTCGAGTTGGACGTTGAGACAAGCTTGCTCACGTGATGCTGAGAAGCTTTTCTGGAGAAACGATGTTGCGGGATGGCTTTCCGGGCGGAGTTGCGAAGTATGTAGCCGCCAGGCCTATGGAATCATGAACAAAGCTTTTCGGGCGCTGGTGATTAATATCGCCGTACAAAGTGGGTCAGTTATTAACATTACATAGCCGCCTGATGCAAGCTTGGCCTCCTACATAATTCTTTAGGCTGATTTGTGTTGATGCAACGTCAAAGAGAAGCTGTGAGAGCGATCAGATGTGGAGGAAGTCCCCGGAACCACAATCCCCGTTTGCTACAGCGTTTGTACTAAGTCAAGGGTAACTCCTTCGCATGGATACTTATGCCCGTGCCCTCCGTCCACTGTTGTCGGTGTGACTATGACGCCATAATGGAGCGCACACTTGAACTTGGTTCGAAGCTTGGTTGTTGCTTCATCGACTTTTCGCTGGTCTGGGTTCACTCCAGGCCGGCCAAGTCATAGTGATGTTTCGACCGGTTCTCAGATTCCAGCGTCTCGAACCCAGCCTCACTGCCATATGACGTGAACCATTTTGTTTGCCTTCCCCTCGGTCACTGCATTTCTATTTCCCTTTTGGTGTCGCGTGCAGAACCTCAGCCGCAGCCGAAGTGTGCCATTGCAGATCACCTACAAGGAATATTGCTCATAGGGAGACACCGACCTGCAAAGCACCGGCGACTCCGCGCGGGGACGTGGCAGTTTGTTTCTCAAACTGTGGAAATTGTCTTCGTCGCACCCGCGCTGTTTTACCTCCCCTATACCCCCCCAAGGCTGTGGGAAGAGGGGGAAATAAAGCTACCATGGCTTTTTTCCTCCCCGCCATGTTGCTGGGAACTCTGGATCTGATGTAGACCTGCTACATCGTATATTGTTGTCAAAGAACCCCTGGCCGAGGTGCATACGACATAAAACCCGAGTCAGCCTTGTGCTGTACATAAAACCAGTAGAACTCTTCTATTCCGTAAGACAGCTGGAGATCCGCGTCCATGTTATAATTCCGTGTGGATCCAGCCAGGAGATCTTCTTCTTTCAACTTTCATTCATCCACCATCCTGCGAAATTTCTGCCTGGCTGGTTTACATGCCTTCTATCCTATAATTCATCGCTCTCTCACTCCAAAAATTTATTTTTCTCCTCTCCTAGGGACGTCTTCTACGAAAAATGGATCTACAACCCGAAAAGGGAGGAGAAAGCCCTCGACCAGAAGAGGGGGAGGAAATGAAGCCCGAGGGGGCTAAAGCAATATACGATATCGAACGTCGGGGCTCTGATGGCAAGCTAAATGCCATTTTCGAGAATCCTCTCGCACAGGTTTCGAGACACCAGCTGATGGCTGATGTGGAACGATTTTGCACGAGGTACAACCTTATGGATCATATCGACACTTTCAAGAAAGGGGCTCTGGTATCCCAGAATCCCGATGGCGCGCTCGACTTACCGGAACTCACTGAAGAGGACAAGGTAGCCCTACGAAGGGAAAAGACTCACAAATGGTCGCAGCCAATGGCCCTTTTCCACCTTACCAGTATGTGATGCCGGCTGTCCTCTTCTAGTTAAGAGTTCAAGGGAAATGCTAATACATCGAGCAACGACAGTAATGTGCTCCATCGCCGCTGCGGTGCAAGGTATGGATGAAACGGTAAATAACGGTGCCCAAAGATTGTACTTAGAGGTATATATTATCGCCCTCAACACTATGCCTCCCCTAGTTTATATTTCTGTGCTAAGTACTGCGATGATAGCGATTCAACATCAAACCGTTCTCGGATGGTGGACGGTTCTCGCAAGCAATGACGGACAATCTGACAGGCCTTATCGTCGGTGCTCCATATTTGGCCTGTGCTATTCTCGGGTGCTGGTTGACGGAACCTATGAATCGATACACCGCCCGTCGAGGCACCATTTTCATCACATGCATGATAGCCGCTCTCGCTTCGGTCTGGGAAGGACTGGCTAATTCCTGGGTTAATCTCTTCCTAGCTCGCTTTTTCCTTGGTTTGGGTATCGGGTCAAAGTCTTCTACCGTGCCCATCTATGCTGCAGAATGTGCGCCGGCCCCGATTCGCGGAGCTCTGGTCATGATGTGGCAGATGTGAGTACAAGTTTCCTAACATGTAGAATCCTGGGCTCATGGCTAACGTGTATATTCTCAGGTGGACGGCATTTGGTATCATGCTTGGAAACATCATGGGTGTAGCATTCGGTGGTCTGGAGCCTGATCTCGCCTGGCGCCTGATGCTAGGATCAACTGTTGTCTTACCACTCATCGTCTGTGCTCAAGTTTACTACTGCCCAGAATCCCCAAGATGGCTCATTGAACACAATAAAATTGAAAAGGCATTTGAATCTTTTCTCATTCTCCGCCCCACCGAGCTCCAGGCTGCCCGCGACCTCTACTACGCATATGTCGGGGTCGAAATAGAACGCAAAATAAACCGAGGAAAGGGCTTCTTCAGCATGCTCTGGGAACTCTTCACAGTCCCACGCAACGCCCGCGCAACCCTTGCATCGACCATCGTCATGTGGCTCCAACAATTCTGCGGCGTTAACATTATCGCATACTATTCCACTACCATCTTCGTCGACTCCGGGTACAGCATGTCATCCGCCCTTCTCGCTTCTATGGGCACCGGGATTCTTAACTGGGTCTTCGCGATCCCTGCGTTCCTCACAATCGACACATGGGGCCGACGCAACCTGCTCCTCTTCACCTTGCCCTGGCTCGCCCTGTTCCTCTTCTGGTCTGGCTTTTCCTTCTGGATCGAGCCCGACGACCCGCAGAGCAAAACAAGATTGGGCATGGTGACCGCAGGCATGTATCTCTTCGAAGTATTCTACTCTCCCGGCGAGGGACCCGTGCCATTTACATACTCTGCCGAAGCCTTCCCACTACACGTCCGCGAAGTTGGCATGTCCTGGGCGACAGCGGTAACATGGTGTTTCAACTTCATCATCTCCTTCACCTGGCCGCACCTGCGGAGTGCGTTTAAACCACAGGGTGCTTTCGCCTGGTATGCGGCCTGGTGCCTTGTTGGCTGGGTTTTGGTTCTTCTCTTCCTTCCAGAGACAAAAGGTTTGTGCTGGCATCATCCCCTTTCCCCCCTTTTGCTTGTCGACATTTTTGCTAACTTTCCCTGCAGCTCTTACCCTTGAAGAACTTGACCAAGTATTCTCCGTCCCAACCGGAAAACACGCCATGTACCAATTGAAAAATTGCGTCTGGCACTTCCGCACCTGGGTCCTGCGCCAAAAACTGGAGCCACTACCCAAGTTCTACACCCACGCTGACAAGCTGGGGTAAGAGAGAGAGAATACAACATTGCTTAGTAGGTTTTCGCTCGTTTAACGCCGTTTTTTTATTTGATTAATTACTTTTCGATCATATTCCCCTTGAGTAAGAGTATTATTCGTCGGTCTTCTATCGTACAAATGGCTTTTGCAAATAATACAATTCAAACCCGCCTTTTCCTTGGCCACCGGCCCAAAAAGCTATATTCGTCATTCACCCCATTTCCTTTCCCACTTTGCCTCAGTAGCCGTCAATCGTCCAAGAAGTACTCCCAAGAGCAATAAAAGTTCCACTTTGTCCCAGCTCAACAACCGGGTCCCGCAACCCTTATCCATGGAAACGCGCCTGGTTACCTTGCCAGCATGCTAAACCAGGTTGATCATCCTCAAATTTGGCATAAAAAGGTCACATCTGTATTTACCAGTATCTGCACAGTCGTCAGGACGGGTGGTGTCAAAAGAACGATTGAAGAACATTGCCTCCCCACACAGACCCAATTCAAACCAACTCATATCCTACGCTCGGAGGGGGAAGCTGGAGAATTACTCCAGTGCCACGCAGCTCCGGGGGGGAGTTGGACCGAACTCGGGCGTGTACGAGGTGCAAGCCCACCAGCGTCGAGTTCGTCTACCTCGCGGGACTGACGGACTTCCTGGGTAGTAGCGGGAAGGCCAGGTTATCTCCTCCCTGGTCCTTTGGCGGCCCCTTCCCTCGGAATCCGCGAGGTTATTGTTGCCATCGACGCCGGTGTCGCTATCGCAGGCTTCTCGAAGAATTTCCTCGTCCAGCTCTGAGAGTTCACCTGGGGATTCGAGGTCGGATCCGCCTTCAGAGCATATTTCCTCGAGGGTCCCCACTTCGTTCAGTGAGGACCGAGCTGACTTGATGGCGACCCGGGCGAGCGCGAGTTCTTCATCCAGACGTTGGAGATCGTCCTGAGGTAAATCAAGATTAGTATATATGGCTTAAATACAGGAAAGGGGGAAACGGAGCTCACCTCCATCTGTTGGACATTCTGCTCAAGCCTAGGGAGCTGGAACACGATGTTCTCAGTCTCCTGCCCAGCCTTGTGGACGTCTTCACGAGCAGCGGCGACCTTCCTCTCGAATTCGTGGTACTCACCCTTTAGCGTGTGGATGAGTTCGTCAGCCGTTGCCTGTGTCGGGAAGCCCTTGGCCACCGTCTGAATTTTTGCGACCATCTTTTTAAGCCGTGCTTTCTCGGCTTCAAAAAGTTCAACCCAGTCGCCGAGGTGGCTGCCGCGCAGCTCCAGCGTTGTCTTTAGGAGTTCCTTCTTAAATTCAGGAACCAACGCTTTTACCTCGTCGGCCTGGGTTGAAAGGCCCGATTTCAGTTCGTAAGCCTTAGCTAGAACGTCCAATTTCACTCCTTCGACCTGGGCGAGGAGGTCCTTCTGGGCGGCGTTTAGGGTGTCGTGGAACATCGTGAGCCGGTCACCGAGCAGATCTTCCTTGGTTGGAAAGGGGAGGTACCGCCTCTCCAGCTTGGCTACAGCATCCAGGATGCTGTCGGTGACCTGATCTGCCCGACGTTTCGTGTAGTCGAGCATCACATCGATGTTTCTCTCTTTCTCGGAAACTCTGCGCTCGATGTGATTTATCGACTCGGACACGATTTTGTGGAAGGAATCCATCTTTTCCAGCAACGTGCCCTTCTGTTGGCCAATTTCCTCCATCATCGAAGCAACTTCATTGCTATCCGCCACTACCTTGCGGATAAACTCTCTGCCAACTTGTCGGCAGACAGAGTAGACGGTCAGAAGGACGATGACTGTTGTACCGGCAATGGCCACCAGGGTACAACCCAGAAAGACAAAAACAGTGACCTTAAAATGCCACTGAACGTCTAGAGACGACAAAGTGATCCATTTCACAGCACGGGTGACGAAAGACCAGACATCACGCACCCAGTCGAGGACGGTGGCTTCGATCGTTTCGGCTGCCGAATTGATAGCTCGAGCTAAAGGCAGTGGATGTGAAACCGCTGTAGCGGAAAGCTTCTCGTTCGGGTCCGAGGGGCTAAATGACGCTATTACTGAGGTCGTTAGAGTAGAAGCTGGCTGACTGCTCGCGAGTGTCAGCGGCCGGACCGAGCACGTTGGGTAGGCAGCATGCGTGCTAATGCTTGTGTAAATGTGCTCAGGGGTTGGGGTGGCGACGGGTTCCATCAGTCTGTGACGAGGAACTACTGCGTCAACAACTTCCCCAATCCTGTCAAGCACATATCCCATTCGAAATCCACTCTGCAGGCGTAGAGCAAAATCGGCGTCAGGACGGATGTTTGTCAATGGGACTGTATGAAACACTCCCAGGAAAGCCACGGATACGGAAAACAAGAACAGTCCGATTAACTCCATGTTGGATGGGACTCGATAGGAGCCCTTGCCAAGGTGGTCGAATGTGATCTAGAATAGCAAATTAATAAGTATAAGATCCAATATATATATATATATATATATATATAGGAGAGAGAGGCGTGCTGGTTCCGGTCCTTTTGCACTTTTCGAAATGAATGAAATTGACATAGATTTGAAGGACGTAGAGTCTTCGAGAGCGAAAAGAGAGATACTGACATTCCTGATGCACGTAACTCGCGCTTATATCCAAGTAAATTGAGCCCCACGGGGTTGATCTCTGGGCTTTGCAAGAAATGGTTTCTCAAAACTTGGAAAGCGACGCGCCCAAAGGTGTCAAGGACTGGACTCCAAAATGAGGAAAGGTAAATGGGTTTAAAGTGAGCTTTAAGAAGAGCGGAGTATGCAAGATTAGTGAAGTTTCCTAGAATAGGCAGAAGAGTGAAAGAATATGCAGATATCTTGTTGGTTGACAGATAGTGAAGGATTATAGTCGAGGATAGATAGACCAATACTGGAAAGATGGTAGATTGAAGAGAAAATGAAGAGAGCTTGTAGAGAGTAAAGGAAAGAAAAGAAAGAAAGTGAAGCATAGTAAAAGCTTTTATACCTCACAAAAAGAACACAACTTAGAAATGATACCGGAAAGCTCCATACAGAGTGACGAAGTAATCACTTTGGAGGAAGTTGTCACATCACTTGCAATTTGTTTTAATTTAGAGTGATGGAACCTTCCACAGAAGTTCTGCTGGAAGGAAACCTTCAATATATCATAGGAGCCAGTAGTACACATTCAGCTGCTATGGAAGACCTTGCTGGCTTGAGAATCCAACACTTTAATGCTGATGCGGCATTGACTCAAACCAGTCACATACCCGGGGGGGATATCTCGAAAAATCTGCTCCATTGTGTCCAGTGATAGGATTATCAAAATGCTGACGACTACCGTTTTGCAAAAATGGATGGATCAAAAATTGAGAATGCATTCAGAAGCGAATACTTATGTAAAGGAAATGCATAACAGGGCTGTTATACATTAGTATTAGAAACGCCCCGAAAAAAGCCGGAAAAGTCAACAAGAGGCCACGAAGACAGTCTGTGGAAGCAGAGATCATCAATTATCAAGATCATAGCCGGCCATATTGACTTTTGCCCCCCGCAGTGGCCAATGTATATGTTGTAATTATCACGAAAATTGGACCTAGAAGTGTTTAAACAGAACCGGCACCTTGCAGCAACATAGATAGTCGATCAAACCAAACGTCCGGCCAAGGTCTTGCCATAATATAAAGTGGCCGCCAATCCAGCAAGGTTGACCAGAGTAGAAATGCCATGGATACGGCCAAATGACTTGTTTAGTCTCATCATCTCCTTTGAATGCGGGCCTGGGTCGTAGTACTTCTTTCCATCAATAGATTCTTGTAGAATGTGTCAGTGGAATCTCAGAATAACCTGGGGTTCCCCAACTGCGGACTAACCTTGTCGCTGCCTCTCAGTTTTAATCTTCGATGCTGCAGGTTCCAATGCCAACATGTTTGCGAGACCGCTAACAAAGGTCACGGCAATTGGCAGCAACGTTGAGAGACGGTTGCCTTCGGCTAAAACACCGGAAATACTTGAAGGACCAAACCCACCAAATGATTGTTCACCCGGATATGTGGCAGCAACTACCAAGGGCAAAAGGGTCTGCAGGCCGAAATATACTGGGAAGATCGATGATTGCAACGCAGCAAACTGGGGACGGGGGAGGGTTTTAAAGGCGATAATGCCGCCTACGAAAGTCTGTCCGTAGAAGACTTAGCCGATAAAACCAGTAGAGCGCGTTTCCATTGTGCGTACCTGAAAAGTCTGAGTTCCCAGCAATGTTCCATAGCTGGAGACACATCAGCATCGCTTCGCATTCCTCAAGAGGCTAATGATATTACCTGATAATATGGAACGGGGCAAGGATTCCGGGTCTTTCGGCCATCGTGAACAAAAAGCAACAGGCTCAGAAAATGGAGAATACGTAACTGAAATTTCAGCGGGCTAATTGCAGCGCTGCTTTTCAAAGGACTCGTCGGTCCCATTGCTTGGAGCTGATCGAGTGACGTTGGGACAAAGCAGCTTGATGAGTCAGCAAATGATGTCATGTGCTTTCGTGTCTCAGCAGAAACGTCCACGGCGAGACGCGTCTGCCTGGAGGACCGGTCGATAGCAGTCAGAAGAGAAGGCTGCGAACGATTTCTCTTCCCGATCCTCAATTTTGTCTGTTGAAACCCATTGATCAAGTACAATGGCTGAAAAGGAGGCTACCGTGTATATTGTGGATGTCGGGCACTCTATGGGGAAGTGCCGCGGTGGAAGAACCATCTCAGATCTAGATTGGATGATGCTTTATGTCTGGGATAGGATCACGACAACGGTAGGCAAGTTCTCAAGGGTATTGTGTTTACCTCTTATTAACAATTTGTTTCAGGTTTCTACAGGCCGAAAGACGGCCACTGTTGGGGTCGTTGGCTTGAGGACAGATGGTGAGGATGCTGCCTTTTCAATATGAGGCACCAGGTTTAATGTCTCCATAGGCTCTTCAAATCCACTGTGGGAGAAGGATGAGGAAGAGAGCTACGCTCATTTGTCAGTTTTTCAAGAGATTGGACAGTACGTTGCTCAATGCTGTTTATCTCTGCATTTTTATTAATGCCTTCTCAGGATGTTGATGCCTGATATTCGCAAATTACGCGACTTGGTCAAGCCAAGTAATACAAATCAAGGAGACGGTAGGAGTAGAAATTGAGGGCACTCATTTCTTGTAATATCCAGCTAATACTTATGAAGCAATATCGTCTATCATTCTGGCCATAGACATGATTGTGCGATACTGCAAAAGACTAAAATACAAGCGCAAAATTGTGCTTGTCACAGATGGAAGAAGCACGATGGACTCGGATGGTATTGACAGCATTGTCAGCAAGATTAAGGAAGAAGGCATAGAACTTGTGATCCTGTATGTTTTGGGTATGAGCTACTTATGCTGGGTGTGCTAACGAAATCAGGGGCGTGGACTTTGATGATCCAGATTACGGGTTTAAAGAGGAGGATAAAGACCCGTTCAAAGTGAACACCTGTTATCATCCCTAGGGAAATTTTGATACTAACATCCTGTAGACTAAAAATGAATCCGTCCTAAAAATATTAGCCGATGACGCTGATGGAGCATACGGAACCCTTGCCCAGGCCGTCGAGGAAATGACTACTCCGCGAATCAAGGTCGTAAGAGGGATTCCGTCTTTCAGAGGTGATTTACGGCTAGGAGATCCTTCGCAATATTCAACGGGTTTGACCATCCAAGTGGAGAGGTATTATCGAACCTACGTCGCACGTCCACCAGCCGCAAGCGCGTTTGCCTTATCCATTGCACCTCCCAAGGGACAGAGTACAGCGGAATCATCTGTGACCTTACAGAACGGAGACTCAACTGTTGAAACCGCTAATGCGAGTAATAATCTATCGGGCGTTCGAAACGCTCGTTCGTACCAGGTTATTGATGAAAACGCACCAGGAGGAAAAAAAGAAGTCGAACGGGACGACCTTGCAAAAGGTTACGAGTACGGTCGCACTGCAGTGCATATTAGTGAATCGGATGAAGTTATCACCAAGCTCGACACCACTGCCGCACTCGAGTTCATTGGATTCATACAAAGCGAAAACGTATAGCCCCATCTTCCATCCTTAGATTGATGCGCTCGCTAATTCGTTTGTTAGTATGAGCGCTACATGAACATGTCAACTTCTAACGTCATAATAGCACAAAAAATAAACGACAAGGCCATTCTAGCTCTATCTTCCATGATTCATGCGCTTTTTGAACTAGAATACTATGCTATTGGGAGATTGGTTACCAAGGATGGAAAACCACCTCTGATGGTACTCCTTGCGCCATTAATTGAAACAGACTTTGAATGCCTTCTAGAAGTGCAACTCCCATTTGCTGAAGATACTAGATCTTATCGCTTTCCTCCCCTCGACAAGATAGTCACGGTATCGGGGAAAGTGGTGAAGGAGCACCGAAACCTTCCGAGTGACGATCTTCTGGAAACAATGGGTAAATATGTTGAGGATATGGATCTCTCTGAGTTTGATGAAAACGGGTAAGGTCGACGAGGAGCTTTGATTAAAGCCAGTTGCTAATGTGGGGGACAGGGACCCATTTCAATCATTGGCGCTAGAAGACTGTTACTCGCCTCTTGTTCATCGAATTGATCAGGCGATTCGTTGGCGTGCCGTGCACCCGACTAAACCTCTTCCTCCAGTCCCCAAGGTCTTGGAAAAGCTATCACATTGGCCAGAGGAGTTGGTCAAAAAGAGCCATGATTCTTTAAGAGATCTTATTTCCATTTCTGCCGTGAAAAAGGGTAAGCCTATTTGCTACACAAACTACCAATATGCTCACAGTTGTGATAGTTCCACCTAAAGCGAAAGGCCGTAAACGACGTCGAGAAGCTGACAAGCCACTCTCGGGGCTGAATGTTGACGATCTACTTCGTGGCGAAAAGCGTCTCAAAATATCACCAGAAAATCCTATACCTGAATTCAAGCAAACTCTGGCAAACACAGAAGATATCAGCGCAATCAGTGATGCAGTCAAACAAATGTCCGCCATCATTGAAGATCAAATCAGACAGAGTCTCGGTGATATCAATTATGACCGAGCTATTGAAGGTATAGGGACCATGAGAGAGGAATTGATCGCGTATGAAGAGCCAGGTTTGTATAATGACTTCATTCGGGGTTTGAAGGAAAAGTTACTGGATGATAAGCTGGGGGGAGATAGAAGAGAAATGTGGTGGCTTATCCGAAAAAGTAGATTGGGCTTAATTGATCAAAAGGCTTTGGATATATCAGACATAACAGAGGAACAAGCTCGAGAGGTAAGAAAACAAAGCCTTTGTGTATTTCCCTCATGCAACTTAGGACTAATTTATATGGCAGTTTTTGTCCTCTCGGCCTACTACAGTATAGGCGATCATTGCAACCCGTTCCCTGATGATTATTTTCCTCTCAGGTTTCAAGCAGGACTCATCAATAGGCGTACAGGTGGAATCATAACTTGGGTATAGTTAGTTGTAACATGTTGAAACTCATTGCACTTAGGCAATCTTGCTCGCGCAGAAACAACCAAAAAAGAGTGCTGTGTTAACACTGTTAAAGAAATCACCAGGATGGTAAGAAATCGAAAGCATATAATGCTGGATGTAAGACAGAGTTTAGGAACTACGAGATCTTGTCTGCTCGTTTCCTTCCAACCTGGATCTTTCTCCCAACTCTGGAGTAAATTGTCAGCAGCATTATCGTCAAGCATGAGTGGGAGAGAGCAAACCTTTCAGCATCCTCATCAACGATATTCAACATAGCATTCTGAACCTCGAGCTCGTTATTGATCGCGATACCAAGCTCCTTTTGTCTTGCCACAATCTTTCGTAGCTCGTCAATGCCAGCATCCTGATTCTCCATAATCTGTTTCTGCAGCTGTAGCACGCCATCATTATCCAGCTGCCTAGTTTCCTCTGTCTCCTTGCCTAAGATTCTTCCAACCTTCGGTTTATTCCGGCTACTCCCAATAAGCGCCTGTTTATCCTGTATTGAAGCCACCGCAGAGTCCAATTTACTCTTGGTAGCCATGGCATTTAGTAAGTTCTCCAAGCCTTCTTTTTCCTTTTGGGCGCTTGCCAGCAGGTCCTTTCTGCGCCGTAGCTCTCCCTCGCCAAGATTTGCCTCACCCCATCCATATTTATCACCGAGATTCTTCAACCCGTTTTCGAGTGCTCCGAGCATCGTGCCAGTTTTAACCAAGCTGCTCTTCGCTTGCGCGGAGCACTCATGTTGTTTTTGGGGCGTAGATTCCTGGTCCCTTCTCGTCAGATGCAGTCTTGCATCATGTAGGTGGGATTTGACATCTCGATGGCAATCGAGCCAGGTTGTAGGATCAGTTATTGGGGCTGTACCGGGACCGGTAATGGCAGCATGTAAGCTTGACGCACGAGAAGGGGCATTACTCAGGGCTGCGCTAGGGAGGTTGAGGAACATTCGCCATGCACTGGAGTCACGCCATCGAGAGTCTTCAGATTTGTTTATGCTTTGAAGATATGCTTCTAGACCTTTTCGCCTTTCTTCGAGTAATGTAGCGTTCGTGGTCGTTTTGGAGAGCCAGGACTTTGGAGGAAGAGGAGCGGGCGGAGGGAGGGAAGTCTGTTCTATCAGCAAACTGTGAAGTGAAGTAAAATCGGAATAGCGCTTCTGAATAGTAAATGATCGGAGCGGTAAGCGGATTGCGACATTGTAAATCGTGTAGGTTTTCGGAGTATTGGAGACTGCCGTTGTCGGGATGGATATCTCCACAAAGGGTGCCATGACAGGCGTTGTTATAGCCTGGTAAAGTATCCTAAGCGGTTAAAGTATTGTCAAAGGATTTAGAATATCATTTTCACTAGTTAACCATGGGTGCTTGCTGCGCTCACTTCGATGCTCGGAAAATGGGCGGAAAGTGGAAGAGATGGGGATGCCCAACCGTGCGTCATTGGCATGGATTTCGGGGCGTGTGGTGCCGGGGCAACAAGCACGAGGACGGCTCGACAACCTTAAATTGTGTGTCGCAGGCCTTTTTGCTACTTTTCCAAATATAGAATAATACACAAAGCCCGGTGGAATTATAAGACGAATGTTCAATTTCATATATAATTTGAAACCGCATCTGAAGCTCCCTGTATCCGTTCACATCAAAGTGTACCGAGCATTCCATGTAGAATTCTCCTTCCATCTGCCATTTTAGATCCGTCGGATAGCTGTAAACAATCAAGACATCCATCCCTTTTCCCCTTCTTCCCAGAGGTCCCGAGACTCGAGCAGATCGCGCTGGCCATAAAATTCCCCAACGATGCTGATAATCATGTCAAGCATAGCACGCGTTTGTTTCCGTAGCTCGGCAGCTTCAGCATCATCTTCGCTTTCAGCCGCCTCATTTTGGGCCATGTTCAAAGGGCCAGCTTCCTGATTCGCGACAACATTGTCATCTGAAACTATAGAAGCAAGCCGAGCCCGTAGTCGTGCTTTTGCTGCCTCCAGTTGATCTTCCTCAGACACAGAATTAAGAGCAATTTCGTTTATGCCAAGTCCTTCATTCCCACCCTCGGTGCATTCCTCTTCAGCATCAGCAACACTTTGGACAACGTTAGCCACATCGACTTGCACGTTTTGCTGATGTTTCGCAGCATAGCCTTGCTCTTCAATCTCCCTGACTTTTAGCAATATCTTCACTGCCCGTTTCCCAAGCTCCCTTATATCTGCCACTTCCTCACTTCCCATCTCGCCAACTTCTCTGCACCGGCCCAGAAGCCCCCACGCCCATGCAGCTAGCCTCTTCACCCGCACGGTCTCTTTGCTCTTTACTGCATCAGATATCGACCGTGTCACAACAGCCAATACGCGCAGGACATCTTCCGGGTCCATACAAGCAATCTGAACCATTTGTGGATCGACAGTTTGCAACAGCCCTCGCCATACCAGCCTCGCATGCTTGTGATCATCAGGCAGAGAAATTGGATGTTGATCGTCTAGCGACGCAATCGCATCAGCCGTAGGAACGCACTTTAATGTCGAACGCAGTAGCCGGAACCGATGATAAAGGAGATTATAGTAAATTTCCTGCGGATCAGTGGTCCCTTCATCATTCTCAGGTTCGAAGGGAACGACTGCTTCAGTAGCCATAGAAAGTGCCACGTAGACTCCATCTGAGTAATACCCGCCAGGCCCAGCTTTATCAGTCCCTAATTGAGCCCCGGTCTCTTGCTCAACAAGATTGTTTCCGTTGCCATTCACCAACCGCTCCTGTGAGATAAAAATGGCCGGGAGGTTCTTAGCTTCCGATCTGTATCAAATCACGCCCGCAGAGCAAGTTACGGAGGAGAAGCATTAGCCATTCATGTTCTGTACACTAAAGGAAACACCAAAGGAGGCAGGTTAAAAAGACTTAGCCGATGCATAAGAGTAGACGGTAAAGGGCCTTGAGGCGTAACTCACCTGACCATGCGCAGATACTGAAGGCCATCTTCCGGAGGACCGTAGAGCAGTTCATCACTATCATCGTCGTCTAAACCGGGGAAAGCGTGTTTTTGGCCGAAAACCGGGTCGCTTCTTGGGTATTTATGGGTGGTGTTTGGCGACTTCGACGAGGAGCTTTCGGCACCGTCGTCCTGTTGCTCTGAAGCCGAAACACGAGATCTTTTCGTGCTGGGCGAATCAGCAGGCATTGAAGTTGGGGTTTTACGCTTCACGGACATGCTAGCGACAATATCTTGTCACGTCAGCTATCTCGAAAGAGATGTCACGAGCGTCAAAGTCGAGTGCAAAGTATCTGTGGCGCCAAGAAATGGTTTCACAGGCAAAGTCGCGTTCGTGTCGCGTGCTTCCAAGACACCAAGATTGTTTTCCGATGCGCCATTCTTCATGATTTCACACCTTTCATAGCAGGGATTCCTTTCTTTGAAATATGGTTGTATTTTCTTGATTCTATCTAAGGAGTACATAGCACTCTTTAACCAAGCACTTACGGAGTACAGGTGATAATATCCGTTCTACGGCCGCAGTCTCTGAGGATCACGAGGGAATAATGTTGCCAACCGAATGTTAGGCAGCCCGAGGAAAAACATTACAATGCGGTTCAATCCAAGACCTCCGCCAGCATGGGGGGCACATCCCTGCCGGAAAGCACCCAGATAGTCCTCGAACCCCTCGGCCTTGGGATCAACACCGCGAGCTATCATAGCAGCTTCAAGTTCTTCGGCCACGTTGATACGCTGGGCGCCGGACATAATTTCCTCGCCTCTCATGAAGAAGTCGTACGAGTTAGAGAAAGTGGGATCTTCAGGGCATGCCTTTGTGTAAAATGGGCGCACAGCGCTTGGGAACTTGTCGAGGACGTAGAAGTCGGTGTCATACCTTTCACGGATGATTCGTCCAAGCTGCTTCTCCATAGCTGTGGTAAGATCGTTTTCGAATCTCTCCTGTTCGGACACATCGACGCCTGCCTCTTTCAACAGAGCAATCCCGTCCATATATTTAAGTCGAAGGGCTTTGCCATCCTTGGGCAAGCGGAAGTCTCCAGCTTTAGGATAGGATTTTTGAATAACCTCAATTTGATCCTTATAGCGGGTCTTCAATTCCGAGAGAATAAACACCAGAAGTTCTTCCGCAAATGATAGAACCTCATGATAATGACGATGGAATGTTCGTTCAAAATCGAGACCAATGAACTAAATACTCATCAGATCAATAGTGATACGATCATTGCCTAGATGGCCCACTTACCTCAGTCAAATGGCGATGAGTGTTGCTCTCTTCAGCTCTAAACACGGGGCCAATCTCGAACACGTTCATCATGTCGCCGGCGATACACATTTGTTTTCCTAGTTGGGGACTCTGGGAGAGGTACGCCTTTCTCTTGAAATAACCCAATTCGAAAACATCGGCACCACCTTCAGTAGCCGCACCAGAAAGCTTTGATGTGAAAATCCACCTTGCACCACTCTTCAACATGAACTCTGCGAACAGTTGTGCAACACCACTAGAAATCCAGGTAATTGCCTGACTGGTTTCGGTCTGGAGATCTAAAATCCGGTTATCAAGCCGAGTCTTCAAAGTCACAATCGGCGTGCCTTCGGAATCAACCTGCCCTTCTTCATTGGACTCGGGCGGCGGTCTTTCCGCGTCCTTGACCTGCATAGGGAGTTGCTGGGCAGCCTGCGCAATCATGTAAATCTTTGTAATATGCAATTCCATATTGCTGTATGTCGCCGAGTTCACCGGGATCTCTGGCTTCTTGACAATACCGGTAACCTGCACAATTGAATTGACATTCAGACCGCCCGTGTATTTCACCATCTGTTTCGAAATAGGTTCCTTCGCGAAAATAACCGCCTGCACTTTCTTGCCTTGTTGTCTCAGCATCAAGAATGCAAGCTTTGCACTCTGAACGCGCGCATTGTCAACTCTTGCAACCACCGTGACTTCCTTCTCGTAAAAGTCTTCAGAGCCGAATTGGGGGAAGTTTGTAACCTGGGGGAATTCGTCGGTTTCTGGCATCTTGCCGTACAGGTCCTTGGCAGTGTCAGCGGCCTGGCTTGCCTGGGCCTGAGCCTTCTCTTGGGCGGCGCGTTGAGCGGCCTTCTCAGCTTTAGCCTTCTCTTTGGCAGCTTTCTTCAATGCACTTTTGCTTGGTGCTGCCGGCGCCGCAGACTCTGCAGTCGCACTTCCTTCAGGCTGCTGTGGCTGCTCGCCGCCCTTGGGATGGTGGGGTAATGTCGTGGATGACGGCTCCATGACGGGCATAAAAGTTCCCGGAAATGGGTCGCTAATGGAAAGATATCGGAATCGAAACTATGATTGTAGCCAGAGGGACCTGAGGAATGTGGCGGGTATTAAATAAGACAAGCAATGGAGGACATAGCGGGAGATTGCAAGATGCGCGATGAATCATCCCCGCCATCGTCACCCCCACCGAGTTTTCCAAGCCCTAAGCCCTAGTTGGTATCCTGTTGACCCCTACTTCATCACGCGTGAGTCATATTACTCGCATGGATTAGAAAGAATTGGTGACTGAATTAGATTTTAATTAGCTCGAATTTCTTTCCCGCTAATCCATAGTATGTGTCTAACGTTGAAGTATTACATTTTTAAACGGCACATTGTATATACGTACGGTCGAGACAAACAGGCGCTCGCGCGAGATGGGTATTGAAAACTCCAAAGCAGAGCATAAAAGAGTCACAGATTTTCTTATTCCCCGGTCAAACGACCGGCCACTGGGATTCTCTCAAAGCCCACTCAACAGCATCCTGGACCCCGTTCACAATAACCTTCGGCTGCCAGGCTGGTTCAGCGCCGCGGTAGACCCCTGTTTTCACGAGTATGGATGTCCAATCGGTCCCAGTGGCACTTTGAAAGGAATTGGCTCCTCTAATATCAGATTCAGGGTTATCACCAATCATATAAACGTCACGAAGGGGAACCAAATCTGCTCCTTTGAAGGAGCTTTCTCTCTGTTCAATTAAACGTTTCTCAGCGAACTCATAAGTAGACTGATGAGGTTTACCAATGACTGTGCTTTGTAGTTGCACACCAGTAGAAGGGCCACCGGTGAGAGCACCCCAAACTCCCTGCAGCGCTGCGGCGAATCCTCCTTGGCCAAGTCGTGGTAGATGATACGCTGCAGCCCATAATAAATCCGGATTAGAAAAGTATAGCTTAGGCTGTCCATCTTGTTGATAGCCGCGGTTTGGCAAATCCTTCCGATTGTTCTTGTCAGAGTAGGTTCCGACAACGCCTTGGCGCGAGAGCAGCAAGTCGACGATGACTTGGATATCTAACGCCCAATCCCTTGGATCGTTAAAGACCAGTATGGCGTCGACTTTCAGGTTTCCGGGGGATTCTCCATTGATTGGCATCGAGATAGGCTGTGCAAATCGTTTATAGTAATCGTGAAAACCCGTTGAAAACGGCCAGATTGAAGGATGTGCCATGAAGATATCAGCAGGGGTCACCACAGACTTGAATCCGTATCTAACCGGAGAGTTAGCGAATCCCAACCCATTGTGAACGCTGAAAGCCATACTGCTTAGCCACATTGCGACATTTATCCTCTGGCCCACCAACAACCAGCACGCATTTATCTGCCAACGGTTCTTGCTCCTTCTTGCCTGCGACCAGCTCCGCGAAAGGGGTGTGACTCTGAATAATGCGACTATGATCAAGCTGAAGGCCCAATCGATCGTTCAATTGTCCGATTCTCTCAAACTCAGACATACCGCCGCCATTCGTCAACAATATGAACGGGATTCGATTCTTCTCGAGAAGCGAGAGGGATCTAGCAGCCCCCGGAAGGGGACGAGAAGCTCGGAGGAGAACGCCATCTATACTAGTATCGATTTAGAGAGGGGCATATTCACACAAAAGAGAAGATGGGTGTGGTTTACTCAAATGCGAAAGCAAAATCTGGGATTCTTGATTTCGATCCTGCGTCAGCTTTGAATCCTCTCCGCAAAGTTACTGCTGTAAACGCGCTTGGGCGGGCTTGGTAGCAAACGCGTATCTGCTGGCCAAGCAGACGAGAAGCAGAAGCCATTGGCATTTTGCCTAACCAACATAAGAAAGAAATACGCGCGCTCTAGGAAGGCATAACTGGAGTAGACGTAAAAGGTGCAGAGTGAGAGAGCCGTGTTGTGAAACTCAAGCTCCAGGAACCGCGGGGGTTACCTGGGTCCTCGCTGCTTAGGCCTTGGGGGCGCATCCGGGCTAATCCGTTGGCCGCCCGCTATGAAACTCGGTTATAAACAACCACCTAGCTCCTGAGTCCTGACAAATGCTTCGGCATGCCGAATCATCAAGTCTTCTAATGATATACGGAGTAATCCTACCAAGACAAGGAATAGCATAGGAAACATCGCATCAGCACCAACGATTCATATCACAAGATCATCTCAATGACAGGTCAGAGCAAGGCTATGGACAATATAAAGACCAAGACTTTCATCCAGGTGCATAGCTGTGAGCCTCATTAACTAATTCTCTTCCGCAACTCCCTATCAATTAAGCGCTTTCCTCTGGCCAAACATCATACCCGAAAGCATCCTTCATGTTAACGAAACGACAGTGCCTTCCCTGAGCCACCCGATTGACCGCCTCAAACTGTTCTTGTGTCAACTCGATCTCTTTGAAATTGCTCTCAATGCGTGACGGGGTCGAGCTCTTCGGCAACACGACGTAGCCTCTCTTCAATCCCCACGCAATCAACACCTGAGCAAGCGTATGGCCACCTTCTTTCGCAATGGCATTAAGCGTCGGATCTGTAGCAACCTTCTCGCCTGTGTTGGGGACTTGGTTCTGAGACCCCAGTGGAGAGTACGCTTCTGGCAAGATGTTCTGTGAAAAGCAAAATTCAACCAACTCGGAGTTGGGCAGGAAAGGGTGAATTTCGATCTGGTTAACGTGTGGGGCCACTTTGGCGAAGGAGAGAATCTGCTTGATGCCGGGAATAGTGAAGTTTGAGAGGCCAATGGCTCTGGTCTTTCCAGCATTGTAGAGCGCTTCCATTGCACGCCATGTCGGCTCGGGGTTATTGGTTAACTCTTCCTTGATAACGTACTGTTGGTATTGAATAGATATATGATTTAGCGTTCTGTTCAACCCCAATAGACTGAAAAAGCCTTTTTCAATAGAAACTACAGAGTGTAGCTCATTAAGCGAAACAAAGAGAAAAAGGAAAAAAAAAAGGTAAGAGGGGTCTTCCCACCTTGCCATCAGGTCCAAGCTTCGGCATATAATTCTCATCTTTCTCAGCAGCAATTGGCCAATGAACCAAGAACAGATCCACATAATCCAGCTGCAGGTTCTTCAGGGAATTGTTCAAGGACCACTGCACCTCATCGAACTCGTGCAAATGACTCCATACTTTGGTAGTAACAAACAAATCAGATCGTTTGACAGATGGGTTCTCCTTGAGGAAATCTTTGATCGCCTGGCCAACTTCGTCCTCATTCATGTAGAACCAAGCGCAGTCCAGGTGTCTGTATCCAACCTTCAGAGCGTGAAGCACGGCCTTGTATGTTTCTCCTTTGGCGCCCTCGTTTGAGAACGTTCCAAACCCCAGACCGGGAATTGTGACGCCATTGCTAAGCTTAAACGTGATATCTTGCGACATAGCTGCTGATCTAGTATTAAAACAAATAAAAGTAAATATAAAAAAAAAAAAAAATAAAAAATAGAGGCAGATACAAGGCGAAGGCTGCTCTTGTAATCTGATTAACTGATATGCCGAGAGACAAACAGCTATTCTCGACAGCAATGCATTGCTCAGGAACCAAATTAAATTTCATTAATTCATAGCATAAACAGCATGCCCCAGCAGCTAAATGTCAAAGGGGCAAGGTAATCAAGGAAAAGCATACCCGCCCGTGGTCCCCAGTGCTCCACAAGACGGGTTTCATTTTAGCCCTCATAGCTGTCTATCTATTATTTCCGAGATATTCCCACTGTCAAACGGGGCAATGACGCTTTTCCTGATTTTAAGCAAACTCAGTGATCCATAAAAATCAGAGTTTTCACGGAAACAAGCCACAACGTGGTTAAAAAGGTGGCCTGGCGGCTGAATGGATGAAGTCATCGCAGATGCCCAGGGAAAAGGAAAACTGTGTACAAATTAGGGTTTAGGGTCTAACTAACTGGCAAGCCGGTACGATGATCGACGGCCATTGCTCACTTTGATCGAGCTTAGGTCAAATCAAAACTTTCCAGCTCACTTCTATTATGTTGCGCTTCAAGGAGCTCGCCCAGAGAAAGCCTCTGCAATTCAAAGCAGTGCAAAATCAAACATCGCTCATAACGTGTCATGTTGATGATCTCTGGTCACTCGCAGTAGCCAGCTTCATTGGCCCATCACTCAAGCAATCGCTCCGACAGTGGTGGAGCTGCCTCCGCCACCCGACGTCACTCTCATATACCGCAGCCATTGTGAAGGAGTACTTCCGATGCATTGACGAGATGGCATATGAAAAATTGCGGTAAATGAGTAAAAGTCTGCTCGTTTCATCATTCCCACGCATCCGCTACGCCCGAGGAAATACCTCCCGATAGACCTGGTCGAGTTAGTAATAAACCTTTAATTTCTGGAGACAACGATGATATTTAGGGATTGTAAGCTGATAGGTGGAGCATTCAGTAGAAATAACACTACATCCATGTTTCAATTAGGAAACTCTCGGTCACCTAAAAAAGTGGGTGGATGGATATAAAGCCATAAGGCTCCTCTCCTGCCCTTTGCTTTCGATGTACCTGCACTTCTCCTTGTTCTCCGTCTTTTAATTTCATTTCGTTCATCCTTAGGCGGGGTTTCATGAATCCAGCTTGAAGGGTTAGCTACACAGTCAAGCAAAAATGGCAAATATCAACGACGCAAAGTTTCGAGCCGATCAAGGCGGGGATTGGCATAGAAGACAAGGGAGCCACGTCCGCGGCGGGCAGATTAGCATCCCTGCGGACCCTCACTTTGAAGGAAATGCAATTGAAGTCCGAGCATTGAGAAGTTCGATCAGTGACGCTGGCGCCCTGATGCATAACCTCAGCTTAGCACCCTCCATGAGGGATCGAAGAGGATCACGAAACTCTTTCGGCATGGCATTGCCAATTCCCAGATCTCCTCGTACGTCGAGACTTTCTTCGGTGCATCGAGATGCCGCAAGCGCAAAGAGAGACATCTTGGCCTCCCAGATACAGGATCTGTCAAAGGAAAAAGTGGAAGCTGCCAAAAACATGGCGTTTGCCTTTGATATCGACGGTGTGTTGGTTCATGGAACGCGACTCATCCCCGAGGCAGCCAGAGCGATGGAGCTTCTAAACGGCGATAACGAGCTTGGGATCAAGATTCCATATATCCTGCTCACCAATGGTGGAGGAAAGACCGAGGCAGCCCGAGTAGAAGAACTTTGTGGTATATTAGGGTCCCCAATTTCGACAGATCAGTTTATTCAGTCCCATACTCCAATGCAGGCATTGTCTGAGTACTATGAAACCGTTCTTGTGGTCGGGGGCGACGGATACAAGATCAGAGAGGTTGCCAAAGACTACGGATTCAAAAACGTGGTCCTCCCAAAGGACATTCTCGCATGGGATCCATCGATCTCCCCATGGAGCAAGCTTTCAGAAGAGGAGCGAAAGCAAGCGAAAGTTCAAGCGTTCGACACAATGAACTTCGAAGCGATCATGGTCTTCGCTGACTCACGAGACTATGCAACCGATATGCAGATCATCATGGACCTTCTTCTCAGTGAAAACGGTAGACTGAAGACGAAGGCTAAGAACCCGCTCGATAACCAGTTACCCATATATTTCTCGCAGGGCGACTTGCTCATGCCCACGGAACACGGCGTCCCACGGTTGACTCAGGGCCTGTTCCGCATCAGTATCGAGGCCATGTACAAGTCGTTGACAGGTGGCGATCTCGAGCGTGTTGTGTACGGCAAGCCCGAGTTAGCCACGTATAAATTCGCAGACGAGGTGATGAAGCAATGGATGAAAGAAATTCACAACGAGCATATCTTGCCGGAAAACATATACATGGTTGGTGACAACCCCCAGTCAGACATTGTTGGCGGCAACATGTACGGATGGAATACATGTTTGGTCCGCACGGGTATATTCCAGGGCGGGGAGAACGACGAGGAGAATCCAGCGAATTTCGGCGTCTTCGCTAACGTCCTGGATGCAGTGCAAGCGGTAATCAAGAAGGAGCTTGGAACGGAGTTCAAGCTGCGGTGGAATGACAAAATCAACCCCGTTCTGCACCCAGATGGGATTTCGGCGGTTGAATAGAGACAGAAATCCATCATTCTGGGTTTCTGCAGTTAAGTTATTTTCTCATGTGTTCCACGTTGCTTAGTCATCCTTGGCTCCGGGTGATCTGTGTCCTGCTGGTGATCTAGAGAGGAGAACTGCAGAGGAAGATGCTTGTCAATTGTTAGCTACGGAGAGATCTTGGTGCTCCGTGATCATTGCGCGAATGCCTGCTGCCTGTCGCCCACAGCAACACGATTTTTTGATACCTCACGGTCGACAGAGCTGGCCATTAAGGAATTCAGGATGTCTCAAGAAACCGAGACCCTTCGCCGCCTTTGAGAAGACTTAAGAAAGGCGTCGAGGTGAGCTTGAACAATGTGTGCAAGCTGCACAACAAGACCTAGAAACTACAATATAGAGAGTATGAGCAAAATATATGATGCTTAAGAACGAAACTCAGGATATGCTACATGATCTACATTAATATCTTTCTGTCGAACTTTTAAGGAAGTATTTAAGTATACTCCTGTCGGTTAGCAGGCATCGAGCCCTGTCACCATTGGCCTGTAGCCTAAATTGGCTGGAATAGCCATGATGCGGGAATGAGACAATAAAACAGTAGTTATGATATTGAGAAATTCAAAAATCTAAAAAAGAAAGTTGAATATTAGACTATAAATTTTTATCATGAAGTTTTACAACATTGTGGTTTATTTTTAATTAATTTTCAAATACTCCGTACCAGGGGTCCAGATGCTGGATATAGTCATTGGCTGGTAAAAGTCGTCGGTGAATGGTCATACACATTGGTTACGTTGGTTAATAAGTTATCTTAAGCATCAGCAAGACCTCTCCGCCCACGGTTGCTTGGATGATGACGCCTGCTGCTGAGACACTGGGCGTGAGACACAGCGCCGACGACCCTACAGGAAGGCAAGAAATGGCCGCATGCGCAGGGCTAACTGGCCGACATATCTACCTGCCAACAGAAATTGTCCATATAATTTTCACCTACATCCAGGAGCTCCCCGACGCACCCAAAATACTCTCATCCTGCTGCCTTGTCTCGCGGCAATGGTGTTCGATCGCAACCCCTCTCTTATACCGGGAACCTCGCATCGGCCACCGTAACTTTGCTGCCTTTGCTGCTGCTTTTGTCTCTCCTAAGCGGCCCCGTTCACAGAAGTCGGATTTGGGCCAATACGTGCGCCGTCTTGACCTGAGTGAGCTGGTGCATCACAGTACAGTGGCAGTGACCGCAAAGCTCCTTCAGAATGTAAGGCCAGGGCTGGAGGATTTTATTGCGCCAGCATATTCTCTCTCGTACGTCTTCTTCCACTTTCTGAGGCAATGGATTTTTCCAAGCTCCCCTGAGAGGGGAACCATGACTTAAGCTCGGATCCCGGACTGGTGGGAAAGTTGAAGGCTAACCGTGCGCAGATCTATTAATCTTATATCCATCTCAAAATGCCTAAGCCTACAAATCTTGGATCTCTCTGTCGTCGTCGTGGAATTCACCCTTGACGAGGTCAAAACCGCTACCAAAAACCTCGCCAACCTCAAAAGATTACGGCTACCGCGAGCAACATCACTCACTCTCTCCGCGAATGAAATTCCCTGGCCTCCAAACTTAACAAGTCTCCAATTTGGTGGCGCAAATCCCGCCGAAATCGACCATTTTGCCGAGCAGTTCTCCTGGCCGGAATCACTGACCAGTTTGACCCTGCACGGCTGTAAGCGCCTCACACACGAGTCAATACCCGCCATTCTCGGTAGCCCAATCCTCCAGCAGAACCTACGCCGCCTCAGAGTCACCACCGAGAGTAATGTAATGCATTTCCGATTCATGGCCGACCTGGTTCATTTTATCCCCAAGGTGAAATTCCTCAGCCTACCGGGATCTGACATCAACTCCACGGTCATCCCAGAAATGGAGACCTTGAATGAGAAATTAGACTTGGAGGTTATCGAGTTGGGTCCGTCAGCCGTGGCTTGGACATTTCCCATCAACGCATTTAAAAGGGCTCTGAAATCCTCGCTTGTGAAACTACGATATCTGCGCGTCCAAGAGACGCATCATGCGTCGCTTATGTATGACAACTGCGAGGAAGAAGTCGACAACGCCTTGATGGAAAATGCCAGAAGGGCGGGATATGACCAAACGAAACTAGAAACCGGCGAGATTTTGACCGGCTGCTATGTGTTCTCGTAAAATCTGGAGGACTATATCGAGAAAGAAGAGACCCATTGCGTCGGCGAGGCGATTAAGGAGTTGGTTTAGCGGCCCATTTCCTGGTATGTGGTTGTAAAACAGATATTTATACCAAAGATATACCTTGCAAATGTGGACCGCGAGGAAGTACAAAAGGAACAAAAATTTCTACCGGAGTATGTAAGACCATTCAGACATCTTTTCCATGAACCTTGGCCGACAGAGGCAGGGATGAAAACAAAGAGCAGTAGAGCGAAAAAAAAAATATCCACAAAAAGAAATGACAAAGAGTTCCGGGTATTAATACTTGACTCCCAGGAACAGACCAGATTCAGAATGTCACGTCACTTGAAAATACTTCGGCTGTGGATGGGGAAAGCCAATCTCTGCCTCCAGCCATTCCCAAGAAACAATTTGAGAAGGGAAACAGACTTTACTATAACCCATAGTCGTTCACCTGCATTAAAAGTCTAGATGGGGGAAAAAGGGATACATTCATTGGAAAGACGCTAGAATTTACGCAACAGACGCAACAACAATCGAAGATACACCTTCTTCCTCGGATCGTACTGTCACTTTAGTCGTTACACCGGTCCTCGAAGTATACGCCAAGCGAACGAGTGCAGCGACTTTGCCTCCCGTTATTGAGTTACCGTATAATTTTAGTGTGTGAGTGCTATTGCTCAGCACGACCTCACAGCCCTCGAGAGGTTGGAGGCACAAAGCAGCGATAAGTTGTTCGGTGGCATCTGAATACATAAGTTAGTAGACATAAATAAATAAACCGAGGCGTTTAGTACGTACCTTGAATACCCTTCATGTTTGAGAGCTGTAAAGTCTCGCTGGACTCTTCGCCATCGGTGGCTAGCTCGTCCCATATGCTGTCGAAACTGCCCGAGAATGCAGGGATAACATAGTCGCTACCCACAAGATCGAGATCCTCAACCTGGTACTCATCCTCGTAGCCCGTTTCCTCAGGTTCACCGGTCGTTGGGTCGATTTCCTTACTCGTGAACTTTAACACGTTGGTAAAAGAGGTAACTGCGAAGCTAGTGTCATCGTCAACTTTTTTGAATGCGACGTATACAATGCCAGGCTCGTTTGTCATCAGCTTTGGTGTCGGAACAATGAAATCTTCTTCTAGGACCTCCTCATCCTCCGAAGGAGTGGCTATAACGGAGACATCCTCAAGTACCGTGTCGGGCAGGGTATTCATGATGTCATACTGCAAAACAATATGTTCCTTAAAGATATGTTTGACGGCAGTGACAACATACTCTGTTTCCCTCTCGGTGAGTTCAACAGGAGGCGAGGATTTGAGGAGCGCTCCATAGGCTTTGAGCTCGGGAATTTGCATAAGTTGCTCGGAATATTTTTCTGTAGCAGCAGCAGCAGCTTTTGCGCTATCAGCAGCGCCATTTTGTTTGGCGCGGTCAGGGCCCGTGGATGGAGCTCGGATGGTGGGAGTAGCGGAAGTTAATTTCTTGGTTCTTTCCTCTGCTAATGCTTGCTCATGGGAGACAACTGGGACCTTGGACATATCGAAAGCTGTAGAAAAGGTACCCTTGTCTGTAGCTGTGACATACATCACGAGTTGATGCTCAAATGTGGCTAGTGCGAACATGTTCTCTATAAATTATCAGTATAAAATCGTTATCAGATGGCAATGAAGAGGATTTCGTACCGTTCTTAATGAACCGTTCAGCCATACTGTCTTCAGACTGTATTAGTCTTAAGTTCAGGGCTGCACGGTCACGGACTTCATCATCAACATCATCCAAGCAGCGTCTGAGAAGCACATAAACGCTTCGTCTCAGTTCAGGATCTTTCTGGCCAACGCCAAACTTGGCAAGCGCTGTGACAGCAGCCGCACGGACAGCGGCATTTTCGAGGACAACCCTGTTGTAAATGTAGCGAATATATTTCGTAGGATGCGATGTTTTAGGGCCTTCGATTCCCAAAAGATGTAAAATCCTGACCGCTAGTTTAGTGAATTCACAGTCTTCGATGAACTCGCAAAGGTGTGCCAGAGCTATATACGTAAGCAACAGTTCACTTTATGAGGTTTTAAATATAGCCTACCATCTTCTTTACTCCCTGGGACGAATTTGATAAGGTCAAACATGCTTTCTACCACGCTTCTTTTAAACTCGTAACCGCCCTCGTCTCTGAGGATTCCGCTGAGGAACGTAAGCATGCCAGCTTGTTTGTTAGGGAATTTCAAGCAAAGAGTTCGAATCGCTTCAACGACCGTAATCTTGAATTCATCCGTGATATCGGCCATGAAACCGGAAATTTGAGACATCAAACGGTCAACGCTAGCTTCGTTGCCAGTCTTAAGGAGTGTCGTGATAGCGAACGTCGCGATTGATCTGTTGGGATTCGAAATCAAGGACTCGATGTCCTGATTGCAAGTGTTAACAATGTGTGGCTTGAACGAAGCGAAGCTGTGGAGGATTCGAATAGCAGCGAATCTGCTGGTGGTCCGCGGTGAGGACAAGAAGAGTTGTAAAATATGCACAGCTTGAGCCGCTTCCGCGTCTGTGACATCTCGCATGTCGCAAATTGCCCTCGCGGCCTCAAAGTTGACCATTTCGTGCTTATGCTTTAACCAGCCCTCCAACATCTGCATCATTGGTTTTCGCAAACTTTGATCATCTGCGGCTAGCTTCGCCGCCAATCTCACCAGCAATACAAGAGCAGCCGGGCTCTTCACGGCTCCTGCAGCACCGTATTGCTGAACCATTTTGACCAAAGCCATTTTGTCATGTGCCCGCATATTGTACAACAATCCGATTGCATGATATTGGGTCATATGATTCGTTTGCGATATTGCCGGGGGATGGTGACTACTGCTCGAGAATCCGAGGAAGCCTGACGACTGTTTCCCGCCCGCAGCGGCTTCTTGTGTCTCGCTCTGCCACCTTCTCACAACGTCCTTGGCAATCGGGAGCAGATGATACGAAGATACGAGCGCGGCTGATGAAACCGAAGGGTTCTTATCGACAATGGCAGTCTTTATAAGTCGTTCGATGCCTTGAACGGTGGTGGCCTTGGAAAGTCAGCGTGTAAACCTCCGACAAACGAAAAAAAAAAAAAAAAAAAGGAAGGTGTCGATCAACGTACGTCTATAATACGACACAGGGCGCGAATGGAGTTGGCTCTGTAAACGACATCACTCCCCACCGTGGTATCCTTCATAATTATAGAGGTTGACATAATAACGTCTTGAGCGGTGTTTGCCAATTCCTTCAATATGAGATAGACCATCTGCCGGAGAGACGGATCTTTGTTTTGGAACAACTTCGAGATTCCGAAGAAAAGAGTCGTCGCCTCGTCCGTCGGGAATTTCTCCCCCGTAAAGAGTAAGACCGCAATCTTCGTTAAAAGAGTCCGGCATTTTCGGGGGGATATGGGGGAGGAATTGAATAATCGTGCTGTTCCGCTCTATATCAGCATTGATATCCCTTTTAGTTCCCATTGGAGGTACGTGAACAACCATCTTGAAACACCGTGGTCCTATCCAGCTTAATCATCGTTTGGTCCGCATCCTCATCCTTCTTAATGTAACTCATTGTGCTGGTCTCAAATGAACGACGGCGTTATCTTGGGTTGAAGCCAACTTGACACCGCCGAGGTCAATGGCGGCACGGGTTAAACGGGGTGACTGCAAATGCTTGTGCCCAATGGTCAATTCTCAAACATTGTCTAGTAGCAACGATATACTAGGCCGTGGACTTGTCTGTCAGGGAATCACAGCAGCGGTGCTGGGCAGTATGATAAGGTCGATTTGGGTGATGGTTGGAGATACACGTTGCCTCACCCTGATCCTGTGAAGTGTGTGGACCACAAGCCACAATGTGGCTGGCCAAACAGTGCAAACATCCCTCCTTCGAAATGACCGCATCATCGCCCGCCCGCAGTCGAAAGATGCCTAAATACTCCGTACTACGGGGGAATATGCATGCTCCTTGGAACGACCGATCAACTCAATTGCTATAAGAATGGATATGCCAGTTAATGTTCCTGTTGATGACCCTAATGCAGACACTGAATGGTACACTTCCCGCCCAAAATCTAATCCGGAAAAAGCTCTCCCTGACTAGATTCCAGGAATGATATCCTCCGCAAACATGGGATTATACCTGAGAAACCGCCATCGCCCACGCCGATAATAGAAGAAGCTATCTTAGACGCCCGTCGAAGAGAACATGAAAACCGACTTGAAGATAAAGATCTAGATGAACTAGATGCTCTGGAGGACGAGGAGGACGAGGAGTTCCTTGAAGCGTACCGGTTGGTAGCCGCAATCCGCATTCGCGAACGCTTTGAGATACCTATACCACTAACCAAGCGGAATAGCAAAAAGCGCATGGAGGAACTCTCGCTATTACAAAAAGCAAGCGTTCATAACCAAGTGTATCCCCTCCAGAAACCCGACTATTCCAGAGAAGTCACCGAGGCGTCGTCGCAGTACTTTGTGCTCGTGAACCTTACCTCGTCAACGAGTACGAATGTTGAATCGCGAATCTTAACTGAGATATGGCGACAACTTGCAGAGAAATACGGAGACATTAAGTTCTGTGAGATGCGCGCCAGCATGTGCATCGCGGGTTATCCGGAGAAGAATACTCCGACGATTTTGATTTATAGAGATGGAGACATTAAAAAGCAAATCGTCACGCTTAGGGAACTTAATGGGCTTAAGACCAGAGTTCAAGGTGAGTCTGATCAGGAGCCAGTTGGTTCCTTGATCGTGTCGTGGCGCCTTGCCCGCGAAGGCACCCATTTATCCGATGTATGCTGAAGGTGGTTAATAGATATCGAACGAGTCCTCGTCTCTTTGGGTGCGATACAAGAGAATGACAGCCGCCTTAAAAAGAAGTCAGATACTCCAAAAGGAAACTATAGCGACGAGGAATATCTTGATGATTGGGATTGAGAAACCGGCAAAAGTTGATTGCAATTGAGTAATATGCGCTTATATCACGATCAAATGACGGTCCATAAAAACTGTCCATTTTGCGGAACAGTTGGAGTGCAGTACTGCCATTTTTATCGCCGATAACCATGGGCTCCAGAACTGCAAGGACACGTTGCGATTACATGGAGCCCACGGGTCGATTTTAAGTGGGCATTGTAGCAATGTATATGCAATACAAAGTATGCCCTGTATGTAAGCAGAAAACACATAGCATGTCCTGCCAGGACCGGCCATAAATTCACGAGAAATATGACAAGATAAGCGGGGTTTTCTTAACAGAAATGCAAACAAACATTCGCTAAAGTTAAGTTTTGGAGGCACCCGTATTTTCGTGCGCCTGAGTCCCGAATGTGTCAATCTCAGCCCAAGTTGCGGGAATGGGGTAGACAGAGGAGGTCTAGGGCCAGGTAACGAACTACAGGTGCCAAATATTCAATGTCAGAGGCCTAGCAATTCTTTCACAAGAGCTCCTCAACTCCGGGCCAAGCAGCCTATGAAGTCATTCCGCAATACAACCCTGATGCTACTGGACGTCGGACGATAGGCATGGTTACAAAAGATCCTGAAATGATCAACACACAAGACCCAAATTAATAATCATTTTATTTCGCCGACATTGGTTCCTTACCCAAGTTAAGCATCGTCAAGGGGAGAATGCGTAATTTCCGACTGCCCTTATACCCTGCAAATATCAAATCCAAGACTCGACAGACCGTCAATAGCATGTCGGCTTTTGGATATACATCTATATTGTCCCATACGCTTGTCTGAATACCATGCCTCGGCGCATCACACGCCGCCTTTGGGTGCTCCTTGCCATCACGCTGGTAGCCGTCTTTCTCTTCACAGTCCAGCTGCAACAAGCTCGTTTGATAGACGCTAGCGGCAAGAAAGCCGGCGATGGCCGCCACAACCTTCAAGCAGCCAATCCTCATACGAGCAGCACAGCTGCCGCCATACCCTCAAGCTCTCGCCCACCGGCACCGCCCTTGGCACCTGGTCATCCCTCACCGGATTACACACGAGCACTTGTGGTCGCAAAGTTAAAGGAAGAGGACACTACCTGGGTCGACAGAGTGGTTCAAAATGACCCCAACATCACCACCGCAGTCTACGTGGTGGACGACCCAGAGGCAGACCCTTTCATTATCAAGAACAAGGGTAACGAGCTGATGCCGTATCTGACCTACATCATCGACAACTACGAAAACCTTCGGAACATCACCATTTTCATGCACGCACATAATGCGACATGGCACAACAACGACTTCTTCAACGGAAGCTCCGAAATGACGCTGAGCAGACTGAACAGCGAACACGTCATCCGTGAAGGATACATGAATCTTCGGTGTAAGCATGACCCGGGTTGCCCAGACCATATCCACCCAATGGCCAGTGGCGACGAAGATATCCGTGCTATCCCTGAGGCAGCTGTGTTCAGCAGGGCATGGAAGGAATTACTTCCCGATGACCCTGTTCCGGACGTCCTTTCGCAGCCATGCTGCAGTCAATTCGCAGTGAGCGCCGAACGCATTCGTGCAATCCCCCTCCCAAGGTATGTCTTTTGGCGGGACTGGGTTCTCCGCACGCGGCTGTATGATCGGTTAACGGGGCGTGTATGGGAATATCTCTGGCAGTATATCTTCACAGGCAAACCGGTCCTTTGCCCCGATGAGCTCGTCTGTGCTTGTAAAGGATACGGGGTATGTTCTCTCAAAGGTGAATGATATCAGTAAAAAATTTTCTTTCTCAAGGCACAAAGCGAAGCTTGCAGGTCAGCCTTGTCTCCTACAACAAGTATGGCACCTGAAAGGGACCAGCACGCAGCCACCAAGACCGGGGGCAAACCACGGTCTTAAGAGAGGGGGGGAAATAGAAGGGAAAGAGAGAAAAACGGCGGAATTTGGCGGAATCTAAGGGCATTAAAGGTGTCTATCCGGCGTTTATGCGCTCACCCCATGCCCCGTCTTCGCACCCCTATCAACCGCGCTCCTGCCCCGCCCCAGATCGGACTGGGGGTTTTCTTTGAAAAATTGGACCAGGATTCAGCTACTCTAAAAGGCAGCCCGTGGCAGCGATACAGCACACAGAGAAAGTTCCTAAGATCCGACGGCCACCCCTATCAAACCACCGGACTCGCTTTACGCCGTAACCCCGCTTTCCCGCTGGATGCCTCTCGTTCCAGCCAGCAACCGGCGCCAAGAAGAAAAATCTCCCTGGGCCCTTGAACATGTCCGCCACCTGATCCGGACAAGGACAGAAGAACAACCAAGGTAGGCTTACTGCTGGGTCATGAGGTATTCTTGAGACCTAGTTGCTCTGTGGCCAGTATCTTGCTCTCGAATCCGGGCTAGAAATTTTCATGGGGTGGAGAAGGAGATCTCCCGGGTGACGGGGGGGAGGGGACCAACATCTTTAGCTCCCCCTTCTGCATTAATGACAGGGATGGCATTTTTTGCAGAAGCAGGTTAGAGCGGCGGTCTCTTGCTCCGTTTTCGCAAGGAAGTAATACCGATGAAAAGTTTTCTCTTCTTACTTTTTCTCTTTTCGTTTCCTTTTTCGATACGAGGTCTAGCTTGGTTCGTCGTGGTTAATTGCTGAAAAGGGGTTTTGATGAGAAATAAATACCACGTTCACTAAATCCGAAGAGGTGCCCAACATTTCCTGTCTGTTTAACGGGGCAGCACCAGGCTAATCGAAAAGGCCCGTTGACAGCGCCCACGGCTGGCCCGATTTTAAGCCTAAGAAGAGTTATTCAGATAGATCCATTCATCTCAATCAGAATATATGTAGGTATTTTGTGTATATATACGTGTGTAGACAGGAAGACAGCTTAAAAAAAAAAAAAAAAAAAGCTTTCACATCCAGTACGGAGATAAATGTCCAACCCAACAGCGCCTAGGCTAAACAAAACAATTCATTTTTCAACAATCAAGTGAGGGAAGAGCGCAAAAAGAGCCACGGGAGTCCAACAACTCATCATAGGTGAAATAGGAGAAAGGTGTCACATCCAAAAAAACAGGAGAATACCGAAATATGTCAGTATAAAAATATTCATTGCAACGCAGGTCTTCGTCTTAAAACGACCGTAGACGGTGGGAAGCAGAGGTTCTCTAATTCCAGAACAGTCCCGATTAAGGGAGCTCCTCACCTAGATCAGCTCATCTGTCCCTGATGCGATACTCTCCTCAATAGCCTTTCTGACCCGTGACTCCTCGAGCACGGGGCCCGTCCCGTCACATATTGCATGGCCTTTCAGCCGGTTATAAATGTCTTGCACGTCAACCTTGACATCCACGTCCGCCAAGCGACTCACGATGAGGTCCCACGTGGCCGCTGCATCAAGGAGTTTCTCTCCCGTCGCTCCATTGACTTTCATCCGATGGATAGGCTTGGGTCTGTTATCACCCTCCGGGCTGCTGTAGTCGGTCGGAGAGTATCTCATAGGACCAGTAGTGATGGGCTGTGGGTCATGATGCGCATCGACCCCAGGGCACCGATTTGCGGTGGACGTAGCCCGAAGAATTTCATTTTCTGTAGCAACCTTTGCGATTTCGCGCTTCAGGCACTCGTTGTCTTCGAGAAGTGTGTTTACATTTTGCTTGTATTCGCTGAGCTCCTGCTCCAAGTCACGCACGCGGCGTTCTTTGCGTTCACGGAACGCTCGTTGACTAGATAGTAGGTGAAAACCAGTCAGTCCCATAATTTTCCTTTTTTTTTTTTTTTTTTTTTTTTTTCCTCTTTTTAATTGATTGCACAGGAGAGAAAGGAACATACGCAGCTCTATTCTGCGCCTTTCGACGACTCTGGGCTGGGGTCAAGTTATCCTTCTCCTCACTACTGCTCTGATTATTCTGTACCACCTCCGCTAGCTCGTCGCTATTCTCGGTAGTACCCGATGGTTGCACAGCAGACAGATCCGTCATTTTGTTGTCACTTGAATCGTGGCTTGGCGGGTCCAGTAGGTCAGCTGGAAACGGCTCGGGAGGAAGTACATCTGCGGGATGTTGATTCTGAACGGTTGGGTCGAAATTGTAAGGTTGGAACACATGGAAATGTTCGTTCTGCTAAAGGGGAAATAAAAAAGGTCATGTTAGCTCAACTGACACTTAATCAAGATACGGTCCGTCTTCGGTGCGAATTTGGGATCGACGAAGAAGGGAGCATACCACTGGCTGGGCATCCTGGAACTGGTCGGGGATCGTTGCACCTAGCTGAGGATGTTGAGGGTTTGGAAGCCCGTAGAACTGGTAGGTTTGATGGTGATGAGACGAAGAATAGAAACTGTAATCCATGCTGGGCCGTCCAGGAAGAGCTTTTTCTTTTTCCTTTTTTTTTCCTTCTTCACAAAAAAGAATAGGGGATGTGTGTGGGTGGGTGAAAAAAAAAAGAAAAGAAAAGAAAAAGGACGGGTCACTTTTCGGCTGCAGGAACGCTGTAGAAGGTCAGGGAAAGGGAAACTGGAATGGCAGAAGGGGGGGAAGAGAACGAGCTGAGGAAGTCCTCGTCGAAACGAAACGGGGATCGGGAAGACACACGAAGCCTCAACGGCGTGCTGTCGGCCGGGCGGCCCTCGAAAGGCTTAACTATTCCGTACACGAGGGGACAAGTCCGTTCAGGGAAAGGCGTGGAATCGCGGGACGCGGCAGGGGTGCATGGACCGGCGGGCCTTTTCCCAATGCTCTAAGGAACTGCAGACATCCTCCTCCGTGACAGGATGGTAAAAGTCCGTGTGGCCTTCTCGCGGGCTTGAAAGAAGTCAAATATGGATGCTGACGGGGAGTTTTAAAAACAGAACAGATTCTGCAAGGCTTTGCCCACTGGAGCGTGGTCGGTGCTCAAAAAAATGGGGTAAAAAACCTCGCGCGGAGGGACTTAGCGATCCAAGTGGAGAGAACCCGCATGTCGTCTGGCCCCGGATGCCAACCCCGGAGTTCCACTCCAGCAAGCTCGTCACACACAGGGCCTGAATGTGGCCGGTTCTTTTAGCGCTAGATAGATAGCGGAATGCACAGGTATTCCTCGTTGGAAAGACTGAAAAACATGTGCGCGTGCATCTGTGCGCCGCCTCCGCGAATTTGCCTTTGGCTTGGACCGGGGAACCCCACAGCTCCTCGAAAGGTTGGAGTGGCAAGCTGTATGATTCCTTATCCACCCCCTGCTAGACTTAAACACCCAGAAGACATATATATTCCATCAGCCCAGTTGGCTCTCTATTTGAGATCGACACCTGTATTGAATAATAGAAAGCTTGTCTTCTGAGGTCACTGTGGAGCGAATTGTGAATAGGGATTGATAATGTGAATATACAGAGTACATTTGCTTGCTATGCATCCACTTGTGATGACTTTCTGAATTAATAACATCATGATTAACTAAATGTTTGATTTGAGGGCTAAAAAGCTAAGTCAACAAAACAAAAGGAAAGCAGTTGGATTTTTCTTTTTTTTTTTTTTTTTTTTTTGGGTAGGCTCTCATGTCATCCCCAAGCGCATACACATCCCCATGCATGCACTCCTAGCCAAAAATGTCCTCGTTCAACCCCAGCAATTAGCTCGACAGGCCAATATGTGAGAGAAGGTGGAAATGCACATAAGGCTTTTACAAATGACGTGTGCTGATAAGTCAACTTGACAAAAAGCAGTAACAAAAGGAAACATGCAAGGAAAAATGTCAACCACCCCAGAAGCGGCCCTAGCCATATCCATCACCGGACCCCACAGCTGAACAGAGACATGAGTTTGAGAGTATCGTGGCTGTGGCCTGAAAATATGCCTGTAACACAGAGAGGTAACCAGCACATCCTCGCCATCAATAAACAACCCAAGGCCCTGCTCTGACTGAAATTAATATCTGCACCTCATCCCCTGCATATATTTCCTTGCAAAATAAAGAGCAATAGAGTTGAAACAACCAAGTGCATGTGGGAATAAGGGAATAACAGATGAGAACAGTGACAATCTAGGAAGGCAAATGAGTGATGGAACAAAACCAGTCACAACTTTGCAAACAAAGCAATATTGCGCTAGGAATTCCTCATCCACAGTCCATCAACATTCTGCCATGATAATCAGGCAATTCCAGGACAAGTGCAGCCCAACAGCTTGTCCAGTGGCAGCCACCAAAGTTAGTACAAGTGTTCTGAAACCTGCACCAACTATCCCATAAATCAGGGCACATTTCGAATATCGGAAATCTTTTGATGTATGGAATAACGACAAGCTGACGCAATTCATCCGAAATTTGGGAAGTTGGGCCCGAGCAAAAACGCGTCGATGAAAATTATAAAATCCGTAGCCGACATGGCCATAGGCGGAATAAAATCGAGCGGGCTGCTAAACCATAGGGGATGGAGAAGAGATTTCAGAACAGGTTGAGCCTCAGATGTCCTGTGGAAAAGAACACGTTGGCAGTGCCACATTCAACTTGCACAACGCTCCTTGATGTCGATATGAAAAAAGGGGCGGCAATTTAGAATGAGCAAAATGAAAACAATTGACTCGCAAGACATCGCATCATCATCATATCGAATTCAGTACCATTCACCAGTGATATCGTCCCGCTTCAAGCGATGAACAGGGTAGCCAGGGCCCATATGAACACCTCTTGAAGCAGAACGAAGCCTAGCGCCGAAGACTATGATATTAGTCAAATTCTAGAATTGAAAATAACCCATAGCCAGCGTCGTAAAACACCAGATGCGTAGGAGAAATGAGGCCTTTGTCGGAACTACAGGTTGCATATACTCACATCCTATCACTTCCGACGGCGCGGTTGGTGTCATGGGATTCACCCGCAGTACGTTCCACCAGCTTACGCCGATGGCTGCCGAGAGGAACAGGTTTGAGTGATCCCCCCGGGACGCCTGCGGGAGCGCCACCAGTGCTGACTTGACCACGAGGTTTATCATCTTCCTCCTGGGCATTGTTCCCTGCATTTCCGCTCGCTTGGGCAATAGCCTGGGCATTCTTTTGGTACTTGTAGACAGTCCAATCGAAGACATAGTCGTACTGGAATGATTCACGCACAAAGAGGTCACGGAAGATCTTACGAAGGTAAGAGTAGTCAGGCTTGTCGTCGAAGCGAAGAGAACGGGTGTAGTTTAAGTACACAGCGAATTCATTGGGGAAGCCACGGCAAAGAACTTCGGTCGGAGTGGTCATCTTCTTTTCCATAATGCGGTCGTATTTTTGTTTTTTAGTAGCAGCCTTGAGGCCTTGCCAAGGGAGGGATCCACGGCAGAAATAAAGCATGACGTAACCAAGAGATTCCATATCGTCACGTCTAGATTGCTCGACACCAAGATGGGTGTTGATACTGGCATAACGAGCCGTACCAGTTAAATTTTTGTTTTCACGGTAGGGAATATGGAAGTGGGTCTTTGGGTCACGATATTTCTTCGCGAGACCAAAATCGATCACGTTGACTTGGTTTCCACGTTTTCCAATGCCCATAAGGAAATTGTCGGGTTTAATGTCACGGTGGATAAACGATTTGGCGTGAATGTACTCGATGCGGGAGATAAGTTGATCTGCCAATAGAAGCACAGTCTTGAGCGAGAACTTCCGGTTGCAAAAGTTGAACAAGTCTTCCAAACTGGGCCCAAGGAGATCGATGACCATGGCATTATAGTCACATTCAGTGCCAAACCAACGGACAAAGGGGATACCGACACCCCCCGCTAGCGATTTGTAGACACGAGCTTCATATTCGAGCTGTGGATGTTTCGCCTTAACACTCTCAAGTTTAATGGCGATCTCTTCACCCGAGATAATGTTCGTACCTAAAAGAACCATGAGTATTTCATCATTCCCACGAGATAAGGATAAGTATACCAAGGTAGATGTCACCGAAACTACCACTACCGATCTTTCGACCGATGCGATACTTGTTTCCAACGCGTAGGTCCTGAGGGAGTATTGTTAATATTTATCGTTGGGTAAAGGGCAAAGAGCAAGCAGAAGCGGGGGCAATCGTAACATCACGCTCATAAAAACGTGAGGTAAAGGATCACTGACCATAGTTGTCATTTTGGCAATATCTTTAGTGGTATCCCGGCTTTGACTCTGTAAGGAAAAGGTCAAAACAACGCGCACGGGAAAGGCGAGAGTATTGCGTAGAAATGGCTAGGGATGAATGTGACGAAGGGAGATCAACCTAAAATAAAGCAAGAATTGTTAGCGTCGGTATTGACCGAGCAGAACGCAAGTGAAGATCATGGACCGTTAGAAGTATACTGACCCGGGGCAAATCAACAAGACTAGCCAGCGGAAGATATTAAAAAAAGGAAAAAAGAGGAAATATAAAAATAAAAATGAAAATAAGCTAGAGGGATGGATAGGATGTCAAATGACAACGACTGAGAGTCCAGAACTTACCTTGTAGAAAGAAAAGAAATATTACCCTTTAAAAAGTTGAGCCCGCTAATTGACGTCCGCTACGACTGCAGGAGATACGATCTTCAATTAAGAGGAGGGAATCTTAAGGGGATTTGTAACGAGGACCACTCCAGCGAAACCTTCTCAGTCATAAAAGAGAGAGGCAAGGCTCTGGACAAGGAAGATTTCTCAAGGGAGAAACCCCTTGGAAGAAGAGAGGGAGGGTTAGTGGTTGGAGGGCGGAGATGGCGGACTGATGGAGTGGAAGAGGTGAATTGAGGATCTGAAAAAGCCGAATCGGTTGGAGCGAGCAATGCATGGCATGAGTTTGGGCGGGCGGGCGAGGGAAGGTGGGTCGCCTGCGCGTGAATGGAGTGTGGCTTCCTGCAGCGTTCGCCCGCGTCTTGCCGCATGCGGACGAGCGCCACGAGCTTTTCAATCACGTGATGTGAATATTAATAGCTCCCCTGGCAGCGATTGGTGGCGAGGTCGACGTTGCTCGCCGACCCGATGCCGCTATCATCACGCTGCCGTCGCTGGCGAATGGCCTCGTCGCCGGAGACACCGGCTGTTGTGGGCTGATCTTAGCCTAAGCAGCTATTTCGCACTTCCTCCACGGCGGCTCTTCATTGAAATCTTGACTGCCCAAATTAATTTTAAGGTATTGTGGCTCCAGAGCTGCAGAGCATGATCCCTGTCCCTGCAGTTCTGCAGAAAGCTCCAGTAAACCATCCGTCGATCCCCCCGTCGAGTAGGCAAACTCTTGCTTTGTTACACGTCGGAAGGAGTACAGAGCAGGATGGTATGAGTGATTTTTTTTAAAACTTGACTTCCTGGTTGCCGAACAATGCTACGCCTTATGGCAATTGAGTGCCGGTCCTGTACTCCGTAAACCACCCAATTGCCGACTATACTTTCTAACCCCTGCAAAGGGGCTCCAGGGTCCTGGTAATGGTGTCCGAGGTCCCTTGCAGATGTTATTCTCAACCAATCTCAAGTCAACATAACCCTCCATTCTGAGCGGGACTGTACAAAGACCGTCGCAAAACACATTCCGACACAGCAAGATACAGGAAGCAACCAGCGACAAATTTGCCTGCGGAGTGGCATGTGGTGATAAATGACCGAAGCCTCATGGTTCATGACAAATGGATATCAACATACAGAGAAACCCCGAAGCATGTTTGCCCCATCCGTGCTGATACTCAGACCGTGTCAATGCGTTTGCCCTGCAATTCCTGATGGCTGCCCGGGATTAGGACCTGACTCTGGCAATGGAACCGTCTTCTGTGTCTTGAAACGATTGTTTTCCTTTTGTCCGTTATCATCTCATCTCGTCGTGTTAATATCCAAGACTATACTCAGCCTTCGTAGCCTGTATAGGGTCATCAGCTACACTCATATTTTGTGAAGTAAAGGGTGTCAAGATGGTATTTTCAGGAAAAGTCAATCAGTTTCGCAATGAAGTAAACCATCCATGTCGTGATAACCTGCACCACTTGGCTTTAGTGTGTGTACTACAATAGTGTAGTGGATAAGTAAGCAGCTCGCGGTCGGGTGGACTGATGGTGTGTTAGGGACTTGGGTGCAAGCGATGAATGACTAGAGATAATAAGTCGCACAAGAATGTTTTTCTCTTCAGTTGAGTCACGGATATATTCATTCTTAATATCAGCGGCCTCAAAGTAAGTTTGGAAATCTCTGACAAATCGACGATACTTCTTGCATCAGAGAGACAATGCATCTGTTGAACTGTCCTCATTATTGTTAAGTTCCTTTTCCATTTCGGCACTTTCAAACTTTCGCGGCATTACACATCAATGATGGTGTCGCAAATAAGACATTCTGCTTGTAACTTTAACACACAGCTTTTCTTCCTAGTTGGCATAGATTATTTCAACAACAGCAATGCAGGTGTCGGATAGTGGTTTGCTTAAACTGTATGACAGAGGGAAACACTAGGTTGCACTCCTGGAATGCTAAAGAAAGAGTTATCAATAATCAGATGGTCCGGAAAGTTATACATAGTAACCGTAGCTTTGTCCTTGCCCTTCAAGTCCCATGATGTAAATGTGAGGATTACGGAGTACTGGATTGCAGAACCCCTTAACCATCCACTTCGGTGCATACTTGGTTAGGGTATCAAGTAAGGCTCGCGCCTTGTTGGGGAAGTTGTGACGACGAGGTTTGCTCGCCATAATGTACAGTACTTGTCGAGAGAGCTCTGTGGATATGATCGTATAGCACGGAGTTAGGATTTTGACACGTCGATGTTTGACATGAGCAGCGGCCCCTCTTCGCGAATCACATGAGATGGAGTCAAAATCTTGGCTAAACTAAGGTTAGCTGACGCCACAAGTGTGGCTGATACCCCGCCGAATGGGGAGCCATGTGGCTTCAAGGTTGAAGCCGCATGGTATCTCACGTGACGGCCGCCTCCGCCCTTATCTCCGGCGATCGGACTGGGGGGGTGCCCATTCGGGCAAGCAGACGCGGGTTTCAGCTAACCTTAAAAGGCCACCCGTGCGGTTGAGGCTACTATCCCGCCTCGGTCAAGGGGAAGCTCCCTGAGATTCCAGTCTTTGAGGTATTTTCGCTGCTTTATAAGAATAGCCACCTCGCTGCTTCCGGGTTCTGCAGCCTTGTCCTTGGTGAAACGTAGCGAGTAATTCGTTTGCCCAGAGCTTATTTTGCTGCGACTGCTGTCATATTCAATCGAAATTCCGCGAAAACCACGCATGGGGAGTTGACCAACTAGCGATATAGGTACGCATTCAAGCCAGATGGAAGTCCATGGTAAATCTTACAACCCCGATTAATTGCCAGGTTGATATTTAAATCCTTTCTTTCGCTCTCTTCTTCGCTATATTGTCCTGTCCTCTCATCAGACAGCTTTCGGGATGCCGTCCTGTTGTGCCTCAAAATCTTCGGATCCAGCGGGTGGAAACAAGGATAGCGCTGATAACAGAGAGTCAAAGCTCTCGAGTGCTCTCTCGAATTTGTCCCCAATCCTACCTGCTCTTCTTCACAGTTCCTGCTGTTGGCTGCCCGTACGTGAACCCCGGAAATGAAATAAAAAAGATAAATTATCGGCAACGAAGTTGTTGATCGCTTGTGTGATATATAGGCCGTGCTCGATTTCCTCTCTATCGGCTCCGCATCCGTGACCATTTTTCAACGGTTTCGGCCTCTTTTCCTCCTGATTACCCTTCTCACACTCGCCTGGAGCGTACACAAGCGCGGACTAAATAACCGTAATCTGGCACGGATTGCATTGTCTGGAATCTTGTTGGCTTGGCCTCATATATCCGCGACACTTTCTTCGACTCCGCATACACAACACGGTGGCCACAAGAGCTGCCACTAATTGAGCCCCAGTGTTATTGCCCCATAGCTCTTGCGTGTTCCTAACCAATGGCCGCCTATTTGGTTCGCCGGACTAGCCCCGTGCTATCTCAACTTGCTGTCCGCAGGTCGATGCCGTTTCCCCAACAGCATTTTCTCCGTCAGCCAATTCTACATTGGGGTATTCGCTCCGTGTGCTCCAAAACCCAAGCCAGCAACCCTGAACCAAAACAAACTCAAGAGTCCGCGATGAGTTTGGGATTCTGGAGTTCGTCATACTTATGGAAACGCGCAGGCATCAACACGTTTCGCTGTCTGATCGGTTGTTCTCTCGGCGACTTCTCTGCAATGTGGTACCTACAGGCAAACTGCCCGGATATGTCGGTTGGATTGGTCATGGGAATATCAAGTATTTTACCTTTTCCCGGTGCTATAGCGTAGAGCAGATTCTAACCACCATGCTCTTAGTGATTTGTGGGCTAAGCTCATCGATGGCCCTGGAGACTATCCTTTTACGACTCGGGCGAGACCAGCTGACGTGGGTAACTGCAGCAAAGACTGCAGCAGGGATGAGTATGGTATCGATGTTAGGAATGGAAACCGTTCAGAATCTTGTTGATTTCCACTTGACAAGTGGAGTTGTAGCGCTTGATGACCCTAAATTTTGGATGGCTGCGGCCGCCTCGGCTTTTGCGGGGTTCCTGGCTCCATTGCCTTATAATTATTCGAGGTTGAAGAAGTACGGGAAGAGCTGTCATTAGGGGATATTTTTGATCTGTATTCTAGGGTGATTTACTTGGCTGTTTGATAATTGAGGTATCCAGAGCTCCTGCCTGTGCTATATTCTGTTTTGTGTGAATGGGGATGTGGGATGATGTTTGCCGAGATTGACAAATCAAGTTCCAAGGCCACAAAGACAGGTAAGAATGAATGGAGAAAGCTCTGAAGGCTCTGTGAGAGATATCATTTCCTCAAGATCATTTTTTTTTTCAACAGTTCACAGTTCCAACCCTTGAACTTGCAACGTGTTGAGCGCACTATATGAGCATATGGCAGACAGGGCTCTCGGTGGGGATGAGGTATGTATCCCAGCCCATATAACCAAGTGTTATTGCTGTGTTGGGTACTTGTGAATGCATGTTGCATTTGTTGTAAGATCTTGTTTTGCTCATTGGAGAGATCTGGCCTGGGATTGAAGCAAGTCAATGCTCTGCTTCCGTGGTGGAGTTCAGACGCAGACCATAAATCGCTTGTCTCACAAATCACAGACGCACGTCACAAAGAACGATGCATGAAGAGTCGTCAGTCCCATAGGGCACACATCGCCCAGCAGTCACTGAAGGGTCTGGAATTTTTTCCATGCCACAGACAGTGATGATCTCTACTCTTCTGCATGTTTCAGTAGGACAGAAGGAATGAACTCTGAATCATGATGCTCTTGATTGTTTAGTCCGTGCGGCGCTGGTTGAATGGCTGGGAGCAGCAGTATATTTATTTAGCTCGACGGGGTGAAGGGGGTGAGAGGTCTTGGCAAAAGGCCCCTAACTAAACTTCGCTATCCCCAGAAGACTGAAAGTTCTTGCAAGCCTTGAGGCCAGGTCCCAGCTCTGGAAGGGCAACTTGTATCTCCTGTCGTCCTTCGGTTTTATCGTTGCAGCCATTTGATTTACATGTGTTGCTAATTCTCCACGCCATGCCAAATGGTCCCGCTGTCTAGCATTGACCTTCGCGTCCATCTAACCATTCTGCATTCGCTCCCGACGAGGTGAATCAAACGCCTGGGCCAGGAACACAGTCAGCAACCGTGGAACCTGGGCGTTTATCCTGAAGATTACCAGGGACCGAACTCGATAGCGAACCTTTCACCCGAGTCGGCCGCTCGTGAGTGCTTCTCTCTACGGGGACAGAACGTTCGATAGTTCGTCGTCTGGTGTCACGAACTTCCCCCAAGTAGACGGTGTTATTCTTCCCCAAACCGCTGCTGGTGTTCCCGGCAAAACCTTTCGCTTGACGAGTGCATTCGTTTTCGATAGATATATTACGATTCCACGATCGTTGCTACGTTCTAATCCGAATTCTTCTCTGACGCTACAACGTTTTCTCGAACTTGTCATTTTCGCCTGGTTGAACGATGGCATTCCTCTTCAAATCAAAAAAGCATAACAATCCGACAGCTCCACCACAATCCTCCAGAAATATTAACCTATCGGAGGGCAATTCTACGCCTACACCTCCTCCTGGCCCTGGGATCAACGGCGTTCCGCGAGATGCTGATCCGAAGCAAGGTCCCCCCCGTCCGCCTAATTCTGCACAAAATAACGCCATGATGGGAGGGCCTCCTTTAGGTCCGCCAAACCAACCACCGTCTCGACAACGACGTGATAGGGCAGAGTCTGAGTCTCAGGTGAGTTCGCGAGCAGTTCCTGCCCGGACCCACATCATTCATCTTGAGTTGTAAGTCTTCTGACTGTAATTTCCATAGGGACCGGGACGGATGCCCATAAACGCTGGCCAGCCGCCCCAAGGCCCCAATCCGGCACTGTTCCCTTGGTCACAACGCCGATTGAACCTGCCTACTCCACAGACCACGCCGTTTCCGCGATATGGTGCTGCCGTTAATGCGCTAGCTTCGGAAGATGGCGACATATACTTGATGGGCGGTTTAGTGGACGGATCGACGGTGAAAGGGGATCTTTGGATGATTGAAACTAATGGCGGCAATTTATCTTGTTTTCCTATTACTCCCGTCACCGAAGGACCGGGTCCTCGAGTCGGCCACGCTAGTTTGTTGGTTGGAAACGCATTTATTGTTTTCGGAGGGGATACAAAAATAAACGAGCATGATACCCTGGACGACACCCTTTATTTTCTAAATACTTGTGCGTATCTCACCAATTTCTCTATTTCCCCGGCTTTCTAGGTGCTAATTCTTGTCTTCAGCATCGCGCCAATGGTCTCGTGCTGTGCCACCAGGCCCGAGACCTGCAGGGAGATATGGACATTCTCTGAATATTCTTGGCTCTAGGATTTATATCTTTGGTGGCCAGGTGGAGGGTTTTTTCTTTAATGACCTAATATCCTTTGATCTTAACGCGCTCCAAAACCCGGGAAACAAGTGGGAATTTCTTGTTCGAAACAGCCATGAAGGCGGCCCGCCCCCGGGTAAAATTCCTCCAGCCCGAACCAACCACACAATGGTTACTTTCAGCGACAAGCTTTATTTGTGAGTGTCGATTCACAGTGAAGGCTGGACATGGCTAACTTGGAAATAGGTTTGGCGGCACTAATGGAATACAGTGGTTTAATGATGTTTGGTGTTATGATCCGACGACGAATCTTTGGACGCAATTAGACTACGTTGGATTTATCCCCGCCGCAAGAGAAGGCCATGCAGCCGCTCTAGTTAATGATGTTATGTACGTTTTTGGAGGTCGCACAGACGAGGGACTCGATTTGGGTGACCTTGCTGCTTTCCGAATTACAAGCAGACGTTGGTACTCGTTCCATAATATGGGACCAGGGCCGTCGCCGAGGTCGGGACACACTATGACCACTCTGGGGAAGCAAATCGTCGTTCTTGGTGGAGAGCCTAGCTCGGAGCCCCGTGATGTCCAGGAACTTGGCTTGGTATACGTACTGGACACAGGAAAAATTCGCTATCCAAATGAACAGGGCCCTACATCTCCCACTGGTGAAAGACACCCCCGAAGAATACCACCTAACGAGCGACAGCCTGGTCCTTCGGGTCGTACTTCTCGTGAAGCTCTGAATTCGACCCCAGACCAACAAAGACGGGGCCCACCGCTTCAGGGGAGAGAAAATGTCACAAGTCCTGGACTTGGAGGACCTGGAGAACCCTCCGCGCCCGCTTCCCCCCCTGGCCCCCATGGCCCCCATGGACCCGGTTCTCGATTGCCGCGTGCGTCCATTGCCCAAGCTCCAGCTGGGCCACCGCCAACTGGAGAGCCACCAAACCCCCGGGGTCCACATCCTGGAGGTCAAGGACCACGGGGGAAACCGCCAATGAAACAAGGGGGAACGCCTGCTGGCCCCGTTGAAGCGATAAGAGCGTTCGAGAAAGATCGACAATCCCCTGTGATGCGTGACATGCGACCTAGTCGAGAACAAAGTCCTATTACTGGTAATGGACGACGGACTCCAACGCAACCAGTACGCAATGCTCGGGCCATGGAGGCTGGCGAAGCTGCACCGTTAGTGAGCACACCTTCCAGACAGCGATCTCTACGACAGCAACGACATAGTTCCGTGGAGAGTGTAGATGAATCGATTCTTGGCTCAGAGCCTAGGCATTACAGAAACTCCCGAAGTTTTGGTGACGAGCCTCGCTCACCTCGGCTTACTCCACACCAAGAAGCACTCATGAAAGAGCTCGACACAATGAAAAGCCGAAATGCGTGGTATGCATCAGAATTGGCACTAGCTAGAAAAGCCGGTTACGTGCCTAACCCAAATTCCGCGGCCCTAGACGAAAGAAGCCTCATGTCGTTTGCAGAGGACGATCGTCCATTCGTCGAGGCTTTCCTTGCAATGAAAGCAGAATTAATGAAGATGCAGGCAAATATCGATCGCCAAGCAGCAATCGCATCGAAGCGGGTTGCAGAGGTTGAGCATCAAAGAGAAGTCGCTATAAACGAAGCAGCTTATGCTCGTGCAAAATTGGTTGCTCACGGAGGAAGTCCTGCTCGAACGCCCCAGTCAGAGACAAATGGTCGTGATGCATCTGAGAGCCATGCAGACCGAACGACAGAAATCAGTAGGCGCCTTGCATTAGCTTTGGCATCTCAATCTGAATTGAAAGCCAAGGTCGAATCGTTAATGGCGGAAGTTCAAGAAGAAAGGCGAGCGAAGGAAGTCGCAGAGGAACTCCATGAGGTTACAGATCGAAGGCTTGCTGAACTAGAAAGCCAGAGCAATGCTTTGGAGCTTGAACAACTGCGATCCGAACTTCATCACCTTCAGTTTTCACTTAGAGAGGAGTCCACGCTACGTTCAGAGGCAGAGTCCGCGCTTCAACTTCTTGAGGTTGATAAAGCAGAATTGGCACAGAAGCTCGAAGAGTCCAATGAGCGATTACAGAGTTATAGCTCGAATATGGGCTCTCTCAAGGAAGCGGTTAACGCGTCGGTTGCCAAGGCGGCATTAATGGAGAAGCAGTTAGAAAGCGAAAAGGAGCACCGGGAGGGCCTTGAGCGTAAGCTATTAAACCTAAGGGCAGAACATGAGGAAAGGACTGCGGAACTGGAAACTGCGGTACGACGACTAAAGGAAGCCGAAGAGCTAGCGGAAACAAATGCCCGCGAGGCAGAGAGTCATAAGACAGCGTTCCTGTCTGGCTTGGAACGGGCATCTTCCTTTGATTCGGAGAAAAGCGACAGTTCGCTTAACGACCAGCGCATTGCAGCTCTGCAAGCACATGTTGATCGCGCGAATGAGCTGGTGAAGAATAGTCAGCATGCTGCCAATAATGCAGCAGACAAACTCCGACGTGCCGAAGAACGGATCGCTGGACTGGAAGCATACCAGGAACAAAGTAGCCGAGAAGGTCTTCAGCTTCGGAGGCAATTACAGGCAGCTCTAAAAGAGAATCAAAGTCTGAATTCCGAAATTAGGGAGATCAAGGCGCATCTAGAGAGCCAGCAACGAGACACCAGTGCTTTGGCTATTCAACATGGTGCCCTTAAAGACCTCCTTGGCGAACGTGGTATTAACATGTCAGATAACCGACGATCACCATTACTGGATTCTCCTGGATCCCGGTTCGGAACCCCGGAACACACGCGATTGCGAGAGTTAGAACAGCAGCTCCAAGCTAGCATGAAGGCACATGAAGAGATGAAGGCAACTTTTGAATTTAGAGAGCAAGAGACTGATCGCGCGTATCAAGAGAAGCTCGAACAACTAGAGAATGATTACCAGGCTGCCGTCCATTACGTTAAGGGAACAGAGAAGATGTTGAAAAGGATGAAAGACGAACTCAACAAGTATAAGGCACATTCGACTAAACTTCAAGCAGAACTGGACAATTCCCTGAAGAATTCAGAGAAAGCCTCGAACCAGCATGGGTCGTCGCCAGACTGGGAAGCGGAAAGGGCCACGCTGCAAAAGTCAATGTCTCAACTTCAGGAGAGTACGTCCGCTTCGATCGCTGCACTGGAAAGCCAGCTTGTGAAGGTTAAGGAGGATCTATTGAGAGCTAGCACTGACCGCGATAACACACGTTCTGAGCTCGAATCGCTCCAAGAAGAACTTACACAAACGATCCAGAAATCCCAAGCAGAATTGGAGCAACTGAAGAAGGAAAATGCTCTGCTTGAAAATCGTGCCCTTGATGCCGAGAAGAAGGTCACTATGCTTCTAGACCAGGTGGAATCGTCCGTCGTCAATTATCGCCGTCACTCACATGTCTTGGCCGGGAATTCCAATGGACTGAGTCGCACTACGAGCAACGCTTCGAGCGGCACTATTGCTGCTCGACGACGATCACGAACCGGAAGTACGCTTTCGCAAGATGACTCATTCCTTGATCATCGTGGTTCTCTTGCACTTGACTCACTCGCTAGCGAGCTTGATGCCCTTCGAAGTCATTGGGAGAGCACAACACGAAACTACCGCCTCAGTAATCAGTTTGACTTTGAACGCACACCAGTGAAGGAGACGTATGGAGAAGGGCTGAGCGATAGCTTTGCTAGCTGGCGACGGAGACTTGATGAAGAAGAATCGCGTGCTGAAACGCCTATCAAGACCCCAACCATGCCAACGTCCGCCACATCTTCATCCACAGTGAACATGAATTCAACAGGAGCAACAACACCGACACAGGCGAATATGATTTAATAGCTAGTGCGTTTCTAGCTTATCCTGTTGGTGAGTTATACCGTTGATGTTCTGGCGGGATGGTTGGTAGTATCTTTTTATTCCTTTTATCCCTTTATACTTGCTATCCTTTATTTTGTTTCTTTTGTTTTATTATTTCAGATTTTCAACCTTGCTGTTTCTTACGTTCCGCGCTGTGCAGGGCCATCCCTAACAACACCATATAATCCATTCTTAGTCAATGTTGACTCTAATCAACTGTTTTTCTCGACTTGAATTTGTCTTCTTCTTATTCCTCATTTCTCTTCTTTTCGTGACTCGATCATGACTAAGTTGTATCGTGCCGTATCATATTCTGCGCATAGGATGTCTGTATTAATTTCCAGGACGCGGTTCAAGCAAAACTTTTCTTGATTTTTCTTCTTTCCCCCACCCCCACTGGTGTGTTGATTCCACCCTTTTCGATTCTTCCGGAGATCTTTGCTGCTATTTTTATTTCCCTTTTTCACTGGTTGTGTTGGGTTCCCGCTCAGATATCCCCTGTCCGTTTGTGATTTTGTTTCTATCGTATTCCTGAATTGCCGCTACTTCTAGTAATGTATTCAATCTTCCTTATATAAAACTCGTTACGTTCGACAGACTCCCGAGCCACTCTCGTAGCTCACCGATCTAGGCTTTTCAACTCTAGCCAGATAACCTTTATACTTTGAACCCGCTATCTTCGTGTCGGCGTCCCATTGATCAGGACCCACCACAACAATCATATCGTATTACCGGCCTCTTCAGCGTGGAACTCGAATAATTGTATCCACTTCTCGTTCTTGACGCATTCCTTAGATCTGTCCAACAAGTCATATTCCTAAACTCTCTATGTATTCTTAAATTCCGCACCTAACATAGTATATTTTTAAACCTCAGACTATGGTGGTATTTCGAGATTTCTTTTGTCAGAAACAACAATTCCAATTTGAAGCGGAGTAAATAAAAGCGACTTGCCAACCCAAATACCCAAAACATCATTAGCCATAATTGGCTCGAAAAGAGGGGTGGGATTGGGTGGAAGAGGCGGTAACCACTGGTCATCGACGCAAATAAAAATTAGTTGGCCGATATTTCTGTAAGCTGTAGCAAGGTGGGGGCATACCTGAAGATATGGGTACTGACGTCGGTGTTGGCCATGCCTGTTATCCCACAAAGAATAAACCGCACGGATTTTGTGGGATGAGGGAAGCCAACAAAGTATCTGGTCGCTATTCCTGGATCTTGAATGTTCACCTTGATATTTAGGATGCCAATCTGTCCCTGTTCAATATTAAAGCTAACACTCTTCAGTTTAGCAGAGGATATATATATTTAATTTTTAAAAGAAGCGGATTATGGAAAATATTACTCCATACATCGTGAACAATCGGAAGCTTGCAGACATCCGTTCATCTGATAGATGTCCCGGCTTGGAAGAGGTGCGGATGCGGGTTCAATATCCATTTGGGGCCTGTCTTGGTCTTGGTCTCCTAAAACACGATATCTATTACGCGCATTCCATCACATTTGACAGCAAGATAGTTGCTTTCATCCAGGTTACAATCTTGACCCGTGTTCTCTGGCCAAGTCGCACAACTCAAGCCGGGTGTATTTGACATAGGTCGGTCCACTAGTAACAATCAAATAGATTGATATTATATTGCCTTGGACAGTTAATATCTCATCTGTCAATTTGCGTTGTGGAATAGTTTATGTTTAGTGGATAGCTGCGATGTGGCGTTTATGACCTAGAGTAGACGCCCAGCATCATACTCAAATATCCTATGCCAAACTCAAGCGGCAATTGATGGATCAGATTGTCCAGCTGTTAAGATGGACAAGAATGTAAGCTAAAGCTGGTGGAGAGAAAGCACTCTGTGTACGGAGTTCTTCCAGGAGGATTTGTGTGTCGGGAAAAAGTTGGCTCAAAAACATCAATCAAAACATAGAGCTGTGGGAAGGTTCAACAAGCTCATAGCATCTGTGAGGAACAAGAAATACCCTTTGCCTATATTGAAGCATAGGATATGTTTCGGGTGGGCTCAACCGAAGATCAGGAGCCATCATAAGAAAGCTGGCTTTGTGGTGAAGGTAATCATGATTCACGAGAGAGGTCTCGCGTAATGAGCGTGCAATGGAAGGTTTCAGGAACATTGTGGCCGTAAAATATCAACATCCCGCTGACATATAAGATAATAAAAGGCTCTCATTCTGAACCAAGAGTGCAGAGAACTGCAAGAGGCATGGCTGATGGGAGAAGCGCTCTGGGCTTCTCCGGCTTCGCGGGAGCTCGCAACGGTGTTAGCCGAAGCCCATGATCACTAGTCCGTCTTCGGTTAGCGCGCCATGCGGGGCTAGGCCCTTTCAGTACTCCGTAGCGCGGCTGCGACATCATTCAAACCTCCGAATGTCACACTGAGCTCTCGACGCAATCAATGATATGGATGGATGAACGGTAAGGCCGCTTGGTCGCTACCTATTTCATATTCACTACTTGTTGCTTCGCTCTGCGGTCCGAAAGATAACTTTTTATACTTGTAATAGCAAACGGCATCTGTTACATTCTCAGTCCCTATTTTGTGGCAGGATTCTGACCGCCGGGTATTTGGGGTGGTTAACTAGTTAACTAAAGCACGGAGTACGCGACTTCACCTGGCATGCATGGAGCTCCCGCTTCCCGCTTTGGCTCCCGGTAGCACTTGACTAACTACATATATTTTGTCCTCTGCAGTGCCTAATCTTTAACCCATTCCTTTTTGCCTTTCGGTGGGCATCATGGCTCACTGAACTACGATGAGGGACCCAAAGCTAGACATGTACATGAATGCGAAACCTCAATCACAGACAGTCGAACAAATGCAGGGCCAAGCGCAGAACAAATCTGTGCGCGTCAGTTTCGAGCCACAGGTCGAAAGTTACGATTCTCTGACTCCGGAATTACGCCCTCCGGCACTGAGCCATCATAGATCTCAGACGGTGAACTTTGAAGGGAATGGCCACATCGATGTCTCTAATTCGGTCTCTGGGACAGCGACTCCCGCGTCGGGACAAGCGTCCGCACGAATAGCTGAGCCAGTAATGAGGAGCGCGAGGCCAACCTCTACTCTTGTTCGAGCGAAAAGCGATCACTGGCTTAAGAGCGATGGAGAAAACGATGCGAAGAAAGACGATGATGAAGATTTTGAGCTAAGGCACGGCTGGCAAGAGGAATATACTTCTAGTGAATACTTGAAGATATTAAATTCGGTAAGCTGCGCTTCCCCTCTCACCCTTGCCACGACTTTAGCCTCCCGTGAAACTTATTGGTTTCGAGAATTTCTATATGTATTTCAATGAGAAACGCCACGATACCGGGGGAATCCCCAAGGAACAAACGGGGAGCTGGTTACAACAGGACTGGCGCATGAGGGATCGGCTAAAGACAGTATCCGCTGCGCTCGCTATTTGCCTTAATATTGGCGTTGACCCTCCAGATGTTGTTAAGACGAATCCCAGCGCGAAGCTAGAGTGTTGGGTAGATCCAACCTCATCCGGTGGCGCACAGAATAAAGTGATGGAACAGATTGGCAAGAAACTACAGGAGCAGTACGAGACTCTAAGCCTCCGAACCCGGTATAAGCAGTATCTAGACCCATCAGTGGACGAAACAAAGAAATTCTGCATATCCCTTCGACGGAATGCGAAAGATGAGAGGGTATTATTTCACTACAATGGCCATGGCGTTCCTCTCCCAACTCCATCCGGTGAGATTTGGGTGTTCAACAAAACTTATACACAGTATATCCCGGTATCATTATACGATCTTCAATCCTGGCTTGCAGGTCCCAGCCTATTTGTCTTTGACGTCTCCCATGCGGGTCACATTGTCTCGAATTTCCATAAATTTGTGGAAAAGCATGAAAAGGAGAATGTTGAAGCTCGCAGGAAAGATGCAAATGCTCCCATTCAGAACTACAGTGATTGCATCCTTCTTGCTGCCTGCGATAAAACTGAATCCTTGCCAACTAACCCTGACCTTCCTGCCGATCTGTTTACCTGTTGTTTGACAACCCCTATTCAGATCGCTCTTAGATACTTCATGCTTCAGAATCCCTTGCAATGTGGCGTCCCGCCGGACGAAATTAAAGTTCCCGGACGCCTGCAAGACCGACGAAGTCCGCTCGGAGAACTTAATTGGATCTTTACAGCAATCACTGACACCATTGCTTGGAACACCCTTCCTCGTGCTCTTTTCAAGAAGCTTTTTCGTCAAGACCTCATGGTTGCAGCTTTATTCCGAAATTTTCTTCTTAGCGAAAGGATTATGAGGACCCATGAATGTCGCCCGATCTCCTCACCCGAACTCCCTGAAACACATACTCATCCCTTATGGCAGAGTTGGGATCTTGCCGTTGAGATGGTCCTTTCCCAGCTACCCGCACTTCTTGAACACGAGGAGGGAAAGCGGCATTACGAGTACCAGCACTCAAGTTTCTTTTCTGAACAACTCACAGCCTTTGAAGTTTACCTCTCATCTGGACCTACGGAAAGTAACCCACCAGATCAGCTACCAATTGTCTTACAGGTGTTATTAAGCCAGGCGCATCGGCTACGCGCGCTGATCCTCCTGAGCAAATTTCTTGACCTCGGTCCCTGGGCGGTTCATCTTGCACTGAGCATAGGAATATTTCCGTACGTGGTGAAATTATTACAGAGTGCCGCGCAGGAACTTAAACCCGTCATGGTGTTCATATGGGCGCGGATCATGGCCGTGGACCATACGGTTCAGAACGACTTGCTTAAGGATAATGGCATCCATTACTTTATAACTATTCTTAATCCCTCTATCGGTATCCCGGTGGGTAATGTGAGTGAGCATCGGGCGATGTGCGCCTTTATTATCAGCATCTTTTGCAAGGAATACCCTCAGGGCCAAAACGTGTGTCTTTCGCCAGAATTGATCGAATTCTGTCTTCATCACCTGATGGATGTCGAGAATCCGCTGTTGCGACAATGGTGCTGCCTTTGTATAAGCATGTTGTGGAATAATTTTGCAGAGGCAAAGTGGATGGGAATCCGATGCTCCGCGCCAGCACGGCTTTGCGAGCTCACTATGGACCCCGTCCCAGAGGTCCGAGCAGCAATGCTTCATGCTCTAACGAGCTTCATTGGTATCCCTGATTTGACAGACCAAGTTGCACAGGTTGAAGAGTACCTTGCAACAGCGATTGTTCCGATGGGGAATGATGGAAGCGCCTTAGTACGAAGAGAACTTCTGGTCTTCTTATCCACTTTTGTGAAAAGATATCAGAACAAGTTCCTGGTGACTGCTTATGAGCAACTTTTGGAAGAAAAGCATCTTCTCAAACACTCTGTTTCAGGCTCCAAGGATACTCAGCCACCACCATTCCGCGACCATGGTGTTTCTCACAATACAATATATGGATCCCTCTGGAAATTACTACTTATCCTCTCAGTCGACCCACAGGAAGAGGTAGCTCAGGACGCCGGAGTAGTTGTCGACTATGTCTACAAAATTCTTTTCGATTCACCAGTGGGAAGCTTAGCTCAGGATGTTCGTGATGAAGTCCTTGCTCTACATAGACGTTCGCGATCTAAGAAACCACAGCCTTCCGAATCAGTTGAGGTGAAGAAAATAAGACCGGAAACACCGCCAGTCCAGATCCCTAGCAAGCAGGAGGGATATCTTTCATTAAGCTTAAGGAGGACAGCAAGCGTGGCTGCATCCTTGAAAAACCTTGCATTTGGGTCGGCTGCCACCATTGATCAGCGTCCTTCATCGCCTCTTAATCCATCTGGCAGGCAAACAATGGCTAAGAACCGTATGACCATTACTCCTCGCGGTCGTGCACCTCCCGAATGGACACGACCGCCCGAAGTGAATGATCAACCAGTTTCCGCTGGTCAATATGGCCAAGCACCCACACCACCTTCAAGGGGCGTTAATCCCAGAGATTTAACGAAGGAACCATCGATCCCGCTGAAGAGCAACTTTTTGGAATGGTCGACAGAAGTAAGCTTTCTTCTTCGTGATATAAATCAACAAGTTCTAATTTATACTACAGTACTTCCGCGAGCCGCAAATGAAACCTAACGAGCCGGATGAACCTGGCAGCGCTGATTACAATCAAAGACTATGGCGGCGCGCCCGGAATGAGAGGATAATTGTCGAAACACAACAGCTAAAGGATAAAGGCGGAAGTGGCCGGTGGGATGTAGCATTAACTCTTATGAGTAATCCAAGTCAACCGGCAAAGATGTGCTTCCACCAGTTCGAGGACCACCTCGCGGTTGCTGATGATAGAGATACTATCTGGTATTTGATATTTCTTTCACCCACGGCTGGATAGGACTGACATATCTATAGCATATGGGATTGGGAAAGCAACTCCCGGCTCAGTCGGTTTTCTAATGGCAACCCACTGGGTTCAAGGATCAATGAAGTTCGGTTTATCAACGAAGAC